TTCTACCTCCGTTAATTTGAACATGTGAGCTAGCGCAAATTGGCAGCTGAGCGTGAGAGCAGCAGAATAAGAAAGAGCCAGAGAAGAGAAGAGGAGCGAAGAGAGCAAAACGCGATCGACGAACACAGAAAATAGCAAAAGCAGCTGTAACAAATTAGATCAAATATTTTAGGAAAAAAAGCAAAAGGGGGAAAATAAAAACAACATTATTTCAAGAGGATCTACCGATCGCTTAAAATCATTTAACATAGTATTTCTTTGTACATATGTATTTTCGTATCATACATGTGTATCAAAGGTACAAATACTTCAAAAAATAAAAATATATTTCCAAAAATGCATAGAAATACATATTGTATTTTGTATTTTAATCATTTTCGATTTTACTTAACTCTATACTTCTTCAGTTGATGCGAATGAAAAATCATCGTTTCTAACAGCTGTACCCTTGACTCATGTTTGTGCCTTCACTGTTGCCCGTCTGCCGACACTGCTGACAAATTGACAAAACAGCCGTTTTACAATATGGACGACGAAAGGCAGAGCGTGAAAACAACAGCAACAACACAAACGCGGGACGAGAGCGACGGAAAAAAGAGTGAGGAGAGAAGGGGCTCAGACATGAACGATGAGAGAAAAAAGAAGCGTCACATTTATTCCAGCAACAAGAAAACGGCATGGAAGTGGAAATGGAATGGAATGCGCCACACGCTAGCTTGCATGTGTGTGTGAGCGATGAACCTTAATGGTGGTGGTGTTTTTGTGCCGTATTTGTTTTGTCGGCAAAACGGCGGCAAAAAGCAAACGAGAGAATTAGAGAGAGAGAGAGAACGGGAGAGTGAGACGGGAAAGGAGCGCACTAGCAAAGTAGTAAAAATAATCAATAATTTGCGTGATAAAAATGCAAGCCAAGCTGTTGACTCGCGTGGTTTTTCTTTAAAACAAACAGCACTTAGATTTATACGCAAACTTACTGCAATTCCTCATCCAATTCCTCGGCGCTGTTGTATTCGGCGTGCTCTAGAATAACTTCCTCCGTTTTGATGGCAACCGGTACGGCGGACATTTTTAATCGTGTTTGTGTGTTTGCTTACTATCGTGGCCAAAATGTCTGTGCCACGTGGTTTTTGTTGTTGCGCTGCTACTGCTGCTGCTTGACGGCTACATAAACATTTGCAATTTATTTATAGCCTTTAAACTTTATTGTATTTGGTACACACACATGTGTCAGCTGGTCTCAGCTGCTTTTTGTATTTAGCGGCAAATTGTTTGCCAGTCTCACTCACACTCGCACACACTAGCACTACACACACACAAGAGAGAGAGAGAGCGAGCGAGACACAAGACAGATTGGGATGGAGAGCGCGTCCAAAAGTTCAATTCACTATTCTGTACTCTTTGATATTTTCGCTCTTAGTGAGCATGAGATTTGTGTATTCGAATTCGCAGCTGTTTTTTTTTTTTTTTTTGGTTTAAAATGCAACCGCACTGGCACCAACACACGCGCGCTGGTCGATTTCTGTAGACATTCGAATTGACTGCACTGTACGATTTTTCCGATCGGGAGATGCGATTTCCGTCCGGTCCGTTGCGTGCGTTCGATTCGGCGATAAACTGCAGAGTGACCGTAGTCTGCGAGGGAAAAAACCGCACATAGCAAAATTTATCGATAGTAATATCGATGACATAGATGTCACTATGCTTTAGTGCTTTACAACACTGAATTTGCGTTTCCCAAGGCGCCACCTATCTGTTGAGTGTTAAAATGTACCAACACGCCATCTTATAATTTTCGCCGTACAAATTCGCCCAGTATTATGAATTTGCTTTTCGCCGCCGAAATTCGCCTATGTTTAGTGAAATTGCTATTCGGCGTTTGAATACGCTTTTATTTTAAATTGGTTTCCAATCTTTTTAGCAAAGAACACAACCGAATAGAGTTCCAACAGAGTGACCAGCCAAAGACAATACACTAAAATGATTAGTTAAAAAAAAATACCCTAGCGCCTGAAACCATTTTCATAATATTTACCGTCGCACTGCATTAATTATTTCATCGAATACCTAGTTAATCGGCATTTTAAAGCACAAGAAGCGTTTTTCGTATCCACCAAAAGCCGGAGAATGTAAAGATGTTAAATTACATCAAGAGGCACGCCAGTGAGTTAAACAAACAATTGGAAGAAATTTCGCTGCTGTTTTCACCCAACTCCCCCTTCCCCGCTTCATAACCACCTCTTCTTGTGCTGTTGACACCAATTACGTTTGTTTTCGTTGATTTTATTTAGGCCGACGTCGCAGCAGCCAAGATGCCACGGATGCCAGTTGGCCAGTTGGGCAAATGCCAGCGTATGATGTGGACACCACCGACGGAGCTGGAGATGGAGCCATGGCTCACAAACGCCACTCGCTGCGCTCCACAACCAGTTTTTGCGACGAAGTGTTCCTAGAAGCGGAGGAGGAGGGGGGCGTGGTATCCGCAGCAGGAGGAGGAGGAGGAGCCCCCTCCGATGGCATCAGTCTCGCCAGCAACGATGGTAATTACCTCATTTCCCATTGTTCAATTGCTCATCACGTTAGCACCTTTGAATCGCATCTGATGGGTTTGCAACGATCGGCAAATCGCAGGTTTACTCTCGATAAGGATTACTTCCATGTATGGCCATGTTTAAAAAAACTCGTATCAATTATCTTGAAACAAAGTTTCTTATATTAAAACTGGATTTATTGACCAACATATTAAACACTCACATACGAAAACTAAATTAATGATAAATGAAAACATATACGAGGGCCAGATGCCATCTCGTCTTGATGAGCAGCTTGTAATAACAGAGACTGACTTCTTGATGGGCATTTATGTTAAGCAATCAATAGAAAAACTCATAACTTTTGCTTTTTCCCAGACATTTTCACCTACAACTCACGCCTCTCCATGAATCTCGCTTCCATCGTCAACGATCCGAACTGCCTGAGCTTCTTTGTTCAGTATCTGGATACCCGACAGGCACTGCCGCTAATCAAATTCTACTTGGACATTGAGAACTTTAAGCGGGCGGCGCTTACGCAAGAGAAGGAGAAGCCGGTGGAGCCTCCTCGGTTGGCGATGGAACAATCTTCTCCGCACAAAGATGACAAAGATGTACCTGAATTGAAGACGCTGTGCGATCTCTCCATGCGCAAGCCCCTCACAGACGACGAGAAGAGCCGCATCTATGCGGAGACAAACAAACAAATCAATAGGCAAAAGTCTGGGATGGAATGTGTGATGAACTCCGAGTTATCGCGGGCCAGCATCAGCGATGCCATTGCCATATACCAAAAGTATCTGATAGTGAACGCCAGCCTGCAAGTGGAGCTGCCCATCGTCATCCTCGCGCATATATCGCTGCTCCTTTGCGGAAGGGATAAATCCGAGTGTAGTAGGCCAATCCCGGCTAGCTGCTTTGACGAAGCTAGAGAGTTTGTGCTAGAGCAACTGGAGCGGGATCATGTGCAAGGATTTCTGCAAAGCGGCTACTACTCTAGATACTGTTTGGAGTTGATCGAGGGCGGCTCTATAAATATCTACGACGTCTTGAACAGCGAACTGGCCTTGTTCTACTTTACCGAGTACCTGGAACAGCGACAAGAGCGGGAATGCCTGGAGTTCTGGATCACCGGCATAAACTTCCGCAAGAGCTTTGCTTCTGGCGAAGAGAAGGAGGAGGATCGCAAGGCGGCGCAAAGCGATGCCATGATCATATACGACAAATACTTCTCCCTCCAATCCGAGTGCCGACTATGGATGTCCCAGAAGCTTCGCTTACGAGTGGAACAAGCGATCTGTGCTCCAGGTGAACAGTGGCAAGCCTTCGATTTGGCCCTCTTGGTAACGGCCAAGTATCTGGAGCAAAAGTATTTCGCTGACTTCCTTAAGTCGCACATCTTTGATAACTACGTGAATGAACTGAAGGTTAAGAGAGGTTTGTTCGGATACTTTAACTTGTGTGTCAAAGTTGCACTAACCTAAGCTTACTTTTCATTATTCAGATAATTCTGCGCCTCATCCGAATCTCCAAAAAAAGCTAAGCTTGCGAAGAGCTGGAAACTCCACCAGCGCCCAACAGCGACATCGAAAAACTCTATCCATGTCAGACTGCACGCATATTTCGCAGCACAACACACTGCTGGCTTCCATGGATCAAGCGCCGTCAAAAACAGCGATAAATCATCAGTCTGGAAATCTCAACATCGATGCCAGGCAACTGACGAATCCCCAACTTTTGTGGCAGCGTCCTGCGGGCGCACTGAAATTCGGATTTGTTAACTCATTGGGACGCTATGAGCGGGACTTCGAGGCCGTGGATGCTGTGGCCCTAAAATCGCAACCGTGGTCACTGAGTGTAAGCGGAAACAAGATTAAAAATGCAATGCGAAAGCTGGTGAACCTGCCGGAGGATAATGTGCAAGAGGAGATTGCTTGGCAGGTGGCCGAAATGATTGTCAGGGATGTTACGAGTGTCACTCTTAGTGGCAAGTCATCTCCGCTGGCCTGATGTGCTTTACCATTACGGAATTTATTTCCTACTTATTCTCATTTTTAAAACTACTATTTTTACGCCCAAATCAAAGCGAGAATCTCCCCAACATGTGCACAAATCAAAGTCGCAACAGAAGCTCTCTACTACGCTCTCTTATGTACAAATTGTGTTGAACAAATCAAACATTTTTCTTTAACTTATTTTAATCACTGCTATGGGCTTTGAAAGCGCCTTATCAACTGAACTATCGCTCGCTCATTTGTTATTACTGCAACAAAATCTAAAACTCAAACATGAAACAGAAGCTATGTTACTTCATTCCGATTTTAATATGATTAAATAATTGTATTAACTAATGTATATGAATATTTTTGCATACTGATGTACACAACCAAGGAAAATTTATTGTTATTAATAAACTTTTTCAGTAACCACACTTCCCATTTGCAAGTATTTTGTAATTTCTTCGTGCATTAAAGCAGGCAGAAGTAATCTACATAATTATCTGATGTGGAGTTCTGTCACAACAATACAAAATGTCGACGGAAACAGAGTCGCAGGAAAATTATATCTATATTTTACTGGTGGAAATGGATGCACTAGAGAGCGAACTTGAGCGCATGGAGCGAGAGCCGACGGAGGCGTCCAATGGCAATCTGGAGGAGCAAGTACGCAAGCTCAGGGATCACAATTTGCGGATCAAAAATCTTAACACTCAGCGTCGTCGCATCCTGGACCAGCTGAAGGAGAAGATGTTGCAGTATACGACCCTTCAGGAACGCCTTCATCAAATTGGCGAACTCCTGATCATCGCTGATCTGCATGCGGCTGTTAAGAAAATCAATCAGCGTCTGGACAGGATGGTGGAGGACGCAACCTGCTCTATTTGCCTGTTGCCCTGGACGGAAAATGGAATACATCGCCTGGTCTCGCTGCGTTGTGGCCATTTGTTTGGGAGCAGATGCATCCACATGGCCATTCGAATGTACCATCGCTGCCCAATCTGCAGGCGCCGGGCCCGTCACTTCCATGTGCGCAGGATCTACAGTCGCAGTTTTTCGTCCCATTAAGTCGAATCTTCCAATTTATGCGGTATCATTGTAGTTTTAATATGTGCGTTCTTTCATGGTTGATGTTTATTGAAAATTCTAGTAAACAAAAGTGAGGAGGTGGTTCCTCACCTTAAGTGAGGAATAACTATATACATATACTTATTTTAAAATAAAATAAAGATGATTAAAACGACAAAAGACAAATGACAAAGATCGTTAAAATCTTTAGGTATTGCTACTAGCCAAGCGCTATAAATATTATATTTATATGTATACAGTAAAGACTTAAAACACAAATTTCACATTTTCACTTTCCACCCGTTAAGACTTAAGTAAAGTGAAGCTAGACGGGATTTTAACTAGGCCACCTTATCCACGGGCACTTCACCCGATTCACTGAACCAACGCAGGATGCGCAACATCGTTTTGGCGGAGTAGAGGCAAAATGGATATTCGTTGAAGCACAGCTCCGTGGAGCCGCGTAAGGCCAATCCTCGGCTGAAGGCGCGACCAATCTTGGCCGGAGCCAGCTCCAGCGATGACTCCAGATAATCCATGAGCAGCTCAGCCTCCGGAACTTTTGCTTCGGCTCCGGACATCAGTTGGCATATCAAGGATTGCAGGCACTCGAAGGGATCTCTGGACAGGATCCTCTTCCAATCGACGGCAGGTGGTGGCCTGTGATCCAGGCCTCCTGCAGCGCCACCCCTGCCACCATTCCCTCCTCCCGAATCTGGGGTCCTTCGCATCCAACCGAGTTCATGATTCAGGCTGGCCTCTCTTCTGCTCCGGAATAAATTTAGAGCCCCGCTGGCTTGTTGGATGGGTGCAATAACCTGTTGGATCGGTTGAGCGGCCATTCCGGCTAGTTGGGTTATTCCTCGAATGGGTCGGATCTTCACCCAATCCTGGGCCAGTAGATGCATCATGTACATCGCTCCGAGGCCGGTGGCAGCTAAGAGCACAATTCTAAGGGTTGTTTTATAATAAGAACTGTGTTAAGGTTTATTAAAATAATTTGGTTCCAGAAACAACATATTTTATTTGTGATTTTAAAACGTTTTTTATATTGGAGTTTCTTCACAATTCACCGAACTATTAGACGAATTAGTTAAATCAAAGTTAGTTTGCTAAACTCAATTCAAATACTCGACGATTTAACCACTTTTCCAGTGTAGCAAACTTAAATATGTATGTATAGTGTACGGGTCCTTGTCACTTTGTCGCTGCGCTCACCTGAAACCCATTCTTTCGATTAAATTGCAGTCCTGTCACGTCTTCGCAGCTCGGACGCCAGTCTTCAAATGGGCTAACTTCGCGAGTGTGGAGCCGTGTTAAGGCCCCAATTGGATGCCAAAATTTGATGGCAGCTCCACTTTGATCGCCTGAAACGGCAAAGTCCCAAACCCGAGGCCCCGATCCCCAGAAACCGGAACCAGCGGACTTATCAGGAAAACAAAGTCCATCCCGCCGCTTTCCGCAATGGCAATGGCGAACGCGATGACGATGGCGATGGCGATGACATAATAACCCCATCCAGTCGAGTTGTCCAGGCAGCTCCTCCTCCACCTCCTCCTCCTCCTCCTCCGCCTGCTTACTTTTTTCTTTCCCAACATCTCCATTAATTTCCCTTTCATTTCGAGCAAACATGTTTTTTCTGTTTGCGTTTTCGCGGTTTTCTGAACGCAACAAGTTTTCCTTGACTTTGGCGGCGATGGTGCTCCACTGGTTTCGGTGGCGTTGTCCATGACCATTAATGTCGGTAGCTAGCGTCGATTATCGCCGAGGAAAATGCAGTTCAACTATCCACGAGGCAGTGGGTCAGACGGGTGAAGATTTGGGCTTTAAGGCTAAAGGGAAATGGATAGAGGTCAGGATCTTATGCAATAGTCCCTCAGCGAATTCCAAAAGATACACTTTACATTTATAACAGGAGACAACGCTATAGTCGAGTGCCCCGGCTATCAGATACCCGTTACTCAGCTAGTGCGAGGTGCGAGATCGACTGGGCTAGTGATCCTGATCAAAAATACATACATATACTTTTAGGGTCGAAAACGCTTCCATAAACGCTTACTCATCAATCAAATATTAAAAGGGTATATTAGATTTTCAAGTTCTCTAAGAGTGTCGGATATAAAAGGAAATTTGTTTTATAGTTTATAGTATAGTCTTTATAGTTTCCATATAATCAAGCCCAGAACATTCACCTATACAATTTTGTGACTACCATTTTTCTCAACAATCAACACTTGAGATAACTTAAAAAGGAAAAATCAAACATGAGGAAAAGCTTTTCACAAGACCTCTATAAAAGCGGCGCCCAGCCAACTGAGCGGATTCAGTCGATTTGAGTGAACGTCAGGAGCGGGATCAAACTCTGGACCAAGTCAGCAGGAAACTGTGGATAGACCACCAACTCGAAACTGAAGATTGCGTAACTGGGGAAAAGTGAAAGCGGAGACAAAAACATGTTTTATGCGGTCATATGGATTTTCTGTACCACCCTGTTGGCCATCTGGTTTGGAGGAGTTCGAAAGCCCAAGCGGTTTCCGCCAGGACCTTGTTGGTATCCGGTTGTGGGAAGTGCCCTGCAGGTATTCCAACTACGGTGGCGCCTTGGAATGTTTTGCAAGGTGATCGACGTGTTGGCCCAGCAGTATGTGAATCCATATGGTTTCTTCGGCCTCAAGATTGGCAGGGATAAGGTGGTGATAGCCTATACGAACGATGCCATTAGTGAAATGATGACCAACGAAGATATTGACGGCCGTCCCGATGGTATATTTTATCGCCTAAGAACCTTTAATTCTCGGCTGGGAGTACTTTTGACCGACGGTGAAATGTGGGTGGAGCAGCGTAGATTCATTCTGAGACATCTGAAGAACTTTGGCTTTGCCAGAAGTGGCATGATGGATATAGTGCATAACGAGGCCACGTGCCTGCTCCAGGACTTAAAGGATAAGGTGGTGAAGTCTGGAGGAAAGCAGGCGAGGATTGAAATGCACGACCTAACGAGTGTTTATGTTTTGAACACTCTCTGGTGCATGCTGAGTGGTAGAAGATATGAACCTGGTTCTCTGGAGATTACGCAACTGCTGGAGACCTTTTTTGAGCTCTTCAAAAACATCGATATGGTGGGTGCTCTATTCAGTCACTTTCCCCTGCTTCGATTCATAGCTCCGGACTTCTCTGGCTACAATGGTTTCGTGGAGAGTCATAGATCTTTGTATTCCTTTATGAGCAAGGAGATCGAGCTGCATCGCTTGACATATAAGAACTACGACGAACCAAGAGATCTGATGGATTCGTATCTCCGTGCCCAGGACGAGGGAAACGACGAGAAGGGAATGTTCAGTGATGAGAGCCTCTTGGCCATTTGCTTGGATATGTTCTTGGCTGGGTCCGAGACCACCAACAAGAGCCTGGGCTTTTGTTTTATGCACTTGGTGCTGCAGCCTAAGATCCAGGAGCGAGCCTTTCAGGAAATCAAGGAGGTAGTGGGTCTGGAACGCATACCCGAGTGGTCCCGCGATCGCGCCAACATGCCCTATTGCGAAGCTATCACATTGGAGGCGGTCAGGATGTTCATGCTCCACACTTTTGGCATACCGCATCGAGCCGTGTGCGACACTCGCTTGTCGGGATATGATATTCCGAAGGACACCATGGTCATAGCCTGTTTTAGGGGAATGCTGATCAACCCAGTCGACTTTCCTGATCCTGAGGCATTCAATCCGGACAGATACCTCTTTAATGGCCATCTGCAACTGCCAAAAGCCTTCAACCCCTTTGGGTTCGGACGTCATCGCTGCATGGGCGACTTGTTGGGGCGACAGAATCTGTTTATGTTCACAACCACAGTGCTGCAAAACTTTAAAATGGTGGCTATTCCTGGTCAGGTGCCGGAGGAGGTCCCGCTCGAAGGAGCCACCGCTGCCGTGAAGCCATATGACATCATGTTGGTGGCTAGAGAGCAGTAATATGGATTATGGCGTTTAGTTCATTCAATCTTACCTCGACACGGATTAGAGTTTACAATATTACTGGAATATCCTCCATCTTCCGTTTGAATTAAAATATATGCTGCTTTTTTTTGTTTTGAATTTCGCCTATCTTTATGACTGTATGGGATGGACTGAAAAAGGAATTTTCAATTAAAGCCCCTTGCACTTTCTTCACGTTCAATAAAATATAAATCAGTATATATTACACAATTCTCGTTTACATTCTCTAATTAAACATTTAATTATCAATATCATTATAATAATTATTGTTCATCTGGTTGTTGATTTGTAGTCTATGAAGTATTCACTTAGTTCAATTCCACTCGGTTACTGAGCGATACTAACAGAAGCATTTCCTTATACAGTACACAAAAGAATGAATGAATATACAAAAATCTAGCGTACAAATAAATATTGCCACACAAATGTTCCGATTATAATGCAAATGGGATTTGGCTTTCTCCTCTTCTGTTTGTTATTTAAAGCTATTTGTTTATATGCATACGCTATTGTTAATGGAAAACAATTGTTGCTCCTTCGACATCTACGTATGTAGTTATTTCAAAATTGTAATTTGTGTTCTGTGTTCGTTTTACTTAGGTTTTCTTGATTTTTCCTTTATAATTCTCACTCTGAGCCTGCCGCTAGACACTGGGCTTACATGATCTAGTGTATAAATATATGCTCGTGTTCGTGTATATAATATTTGTAAAACGTTCAAAGCAAGCCAGCCAATTGGCTATAAACTTTCAACTTAGCTGCATTTCTAAGCACTTCTATTCGTAAAGTAAATCTGCATTTTGATTCGCGAAACTTAAGTATCTACACCCATGTGAATGTGGTGAATATATTTTAGAATAATATAAAAGTGGGTCTGAATTGCAATTACTGGTTGCTGCTGCACAAAACTGTCTTGGTCCGTAATTCCCAACGCGCGAGGAGAAGAGTATAATTATTAATAACATTGATTGGTTGAGACTTGGGGCTGTGACGATATGAAATAAATAAAAACGAGTGGGATAGTTTAAGGTCGATATTATAGATAGTCAACAAACCTTTGGACAATGTAAGCAATTTTTGACATAGAAATTAATTGTCTAATATCATGCTTTTGGTTTAAGAGACAATAAAATGTATTTCTTAAAATTTGAGTATCAAAAAATTATTCAAAGATTTTAATATTTATTTTAAGTATGTATTTGGTTTGGGACTTTTTAGCTTAACGAATTGGATTCAATTTTTCTTATGCACAATGATTATGGATTATCGTTTGGAGTTGATATAGAAAACTATTAAGCTGATACTAGGCCTGTAATCTGTATTTCAAAATGTCTTATATTAGCCATAGGTTTTCTCTCAAATTAATCGACCCATTAGGGCAAGGATATGTTCAGTTCAAAAGTTTAGAATCTAACGGGCGACTAGCAGCATTCGAAATTTGTGCAACGTCAAACAGTGGAAAGCCGATTAAGCTTCATACTCCCTTCTTGTGACTCACAATGACTTAATCCTAATGAAATTCCCTAAAACATTGCACCAGGTTCTCTCTGATCATGTACCGTCTATCAATTTCTTCGCAACCCGAAGGTAGGCAACTGATGGGCACAACAGCAGGCCACAATATACAAGATGCCAAAAAAGAAGTTCAGCTTGGCTGTTTGCCGAGGCACCAAGTGCATCGTCTGTTCGTTGCGGAAACGCTTCTCTATCTGGAAGGCTTGTGGCAGGGTAACCAGCGGCAGTAGGAACCACAGAGAGTACTTCAAGCCGAAGATGAAGAATAAGGAGTAGGGTGCGAAGAGCAGCATGGCATACAGAACGTGAGATGCTGTACGTCCTATTAAAATGGCGAGCGTTACGATTCCAGCCCGGCGATCGTTGTCCGCATCTCTAGTGTTGTTACTATGCAGGATGGCCTCTGTGTTGAGGGCCAAAGGAATCGCATAACCCATTGTCGTCCAGTCCACATGACCAGTTTGTGACATGAAGGCGAAAAGAACCGATATGGGTCCAAAGAGTATCAGTATTACCAGATCTCCAAGGGCAATGTACTTGAAACCGATGCCTCCAGTATACAGAAAACTCGAGGACAATCCCCCGAAGTAGATCAGTGCCAGGTGCTCCATTTTCGCAGGACTGAGCACAGCCAGCAAAACAAATCCTCCGCAGCCAGCCATGTACAGAATGGCACCGAGCGATACCACCTGAAAATTAACAAATAAGTATTGTTTATAATTGTGGCAATTGATGTATTTTTTTACTGTCAGTTATTTAATTCCTATTATAAATGAAATCAACGGAATTCAAAGAATGTTCAAAAAGAAATTCTTTAAAATGATCAATTTTAAAAGTATGATTGTTTGACTACTCTCTACTAATATATGTGCCCTTGATTTAAATTAGTACCTTGCTAATTGCTAACATATCTTGATATTGTTTTCTCATCCAAAATGGTTTATGATTTAGGCACGTTTTTTTCTGAACGTATATAAAAATAATTTAATTTTTTTCATCTGAATGGTACACACTGCATTTTTAGACTTTTTAGCCGTTAACAATTATTTCTGTAGAACAAAAGTTCATGGAAATATAAATTTTGAGACATTTTTTTCTTTCTACTGACAAATATGAACTTAAAAATCACGTTTTCCCATTAAAGATTAAAAGTCTCTTCGCGAGTCTCATTGCATAAATTGTATTCTGTTTGGAAATTAGGAACTTGGATGTACACGTCAGAAAAATTGTGTATTGAATTGTGTATGTAAAGAATGCCATATATTATTCTTGGCGGTCTGCTAATAATACGAATTTGTTGAAAATCATTCAAATCGACTGAAGGATATCATTTACTTTGATCTTGAACTGGATTAGTTTTACTTTCCGAAAAAAAATGAGTCAGCCGTCCCGCTGTTAAATACGTCTTATGGACGAACAGCACACTATTCTCTTAATTGATCCATCCGTTCGATTGCTCACCTCATCCTTGGTGAGTATATGGTCCACTAGCGTGCGGTCGTCGGCTTTCTGCTTGTCAATGCCCTTGATGAAGTCGAAATAGGTGTTAACGACGTTTCCGGCGCAGTGGACGGTGACCACGGTGAAGGCGGTGAGGAAGAAGGTGGCCAGCGAAAACTCCTCCGCCCACTGGGAGCGGTAGGCCAGGGCCGAGCCGAGCAGCGTTGGTACCAGACTGGCGGACAGCGACCAAGGACGCAGAGCTAGGAGATAGGTTTTCAGTTTCATAAACGTTCCGGATGTGGATGGGTGTCCTTTTAGTCCTGTTAGTGTTACTCCGGCATCTGCACCTGCTGCACGAGCTCCAGAGACGACTTCCACCTCCTCACCGTGCTCTGTATTAGTCTTGCCATTCCTGGACAAGTTGCCGTTGGGCAACAGCTGGCTGCTTGTGACCATTGCAAGCGGCAAGGGATTACTGGCACTTTGCGGCGAAGCGAAATGAAACTAGCCTCCAGGTATTCGTATTCGCCGGATTGTTTAACCTCTCCAGAATTTGTTTACAAAAGCTTAAATATTCATTAGGTGGTTTTTGGATGCCGGCACATGCGCTGCCTGCTCTCGATAATCGCTAATATTGTATACACAGCATCATTCCAGTGGAGAATGGATTTATTATCAGCGGGAGGTGGAGGGTCCAGGTGGTTGGGGTCGCGAAACCACGAAATTTCACCCGTGCAGCTCCCAGTTTCTCACGCTCTCTCTCTCTCTCCCTCTCTCTCTCTTTTCGTCGACTGGTGCGACGATCGTTCTTCCTGGATGCCTCTCCTTTTCCGGCTGCGTCTTTGCTTTCAGACTGCTGCTTCCAGGTTAATGGATTCCGGCGCAAATCGATTTAGCTGCGCTTTTAATCTTGGTTATTTTAATCAAACAAATCAACTGTCACGTCACGTCAGCGCAAAAACGAAAGGTTACACTTTTTCGTTGAAGGTGGCAGCGCCGTATTACTTGTACAGCCCTGGTTTTACTTACAGTTTTTATTCTATAATTTTTAAATTAAATTAATCTGGAAAGTAAATATTAAATATTAAACGATGCATTTAGGTGCATTTTTGTATATTTTAGAAAAACAAAAGGTCGGTTGTAAAGATCACAACGTTATCACAACCAGCGTTGTATAGGAAATATTTTCAGCTTGGAAAAAAGTAACAAAATATTAGTTCTCCCGCAAAAGTTTTGCAACATTAATCCAAGTATTCATATTCACTGAAATAAGCCAAGTAAATTTATCCATATATAACAATTTCATTTTCACAAGCTAGAGTATCTACTGTACCTTTGTAGCCCTGGTCGCATCAGCTGATAGGCGTCTAAAACAAGACTTTAAGGCATTTATTTGTTGATTTCTATAAACTTGAATTAAAAGATGGACTATAATATCCACAAAATTTGTCGAGTTTGCTTGGAGGAACTACATCCTGTAACTTCGATTTATAGCACTGATTTTGCTATGATGCCCTCCGTAATGTTGATGCAATGCGCAAAAATAAGAGTGGGTATTACAAAGAAAATATGTACTTGACTTTTAATTGGCATATATATGTACATATTGTTTTAGGTTTTTAAAACCGATGGCCTACCGTCGGTGATCTGCAACAACTGTATTTACCGGCTGGGAGTAGCCTTTCACTTCAAGCAGGAATGCGAAAACAGCGATCTCCGGCTACGGCAATATCTTGGCATTTTGGAGTCCTGGCGCCAGGATGCGGCCACCAACACGGACTTTGTAGAGAAGCCATTGCTACCGCAGCGCGATAGCGATGAGGACGAGCCGGTGGATGCCAAAGTGAGCAAGAGGCGGTCACGGTATCAAAGGAAGCCGCCAGAAGAGCACAAAAAACGGGGTCCCAAACCTGTGCCAAAGATGCCTCACACCTGCTACGAGTGCCACAAAAGTTTCAAGTGCATTGCCCAACTAACACAGCATATAAGAACGCATACGGGCGAGAAACCCTACCAATGCAGCTTTTGCATCCAGAGATTCGCCCAGAAGTACAATCTCAAGGTCCACGAAAGAACGCACACGGGCGACAAGCCATTTCAGTGTGAGATCTGCTCCAAGCAGTTCTCGGCGTTGGGAAACTTCCAGGCGCACCACAAGATTCATTTAGGAGTGCGAGATCAGGTATGCTCGCTCTGTCAGAAGGGTTTCTACACAGCCGGTGATCTTTCCAAGCACATGATAACCCATACGGGCATCAAAAACCACCACTGCGATGTCTGCGGCAAGGCTTTCAGCAGGCGAAGAGATATGCGAACGCATAAATTGAAGCTTCATCCATTGGAATCCAGTACAAACCATGATATAGTGGACGATGATGATGATGAGGCTATAGACACGGATCCCGTGGGCCTGGACACCCTTGATCACGCCCACTTCAAGTGCCCGGATTGTGACAAGGCTTTTGATACGGCGGACAGCCTAAGTATCCATTTCCGCACACATGCGGCGAATAATAATCTACTGAATTTGCCGCTGCCTCCCGCACCGCCCATGTCGCATCACTACCATCACGATGCACTGCATCATCTCGGCCCACCAAACCCCGCCACACAAATGGGAATGGCTGCAATGGCTCACATGTTGGCTCCGCCGCCTCCTCCACCGCCAACGCCTAGCGAAGGACGTTACACTATGCTACACCATACGGCGGCACAGAGACTTCATTACTAGAGTATTACTTAAAAAAAAATGTACTCTTAATTTGGTACTTCATCGATAATTATATTTTGATATTGAAAACATTTATTTAGTTTGTCTATATAAAATGGAATATTTTTTGTCATGTTTGCTTTTATATCTTTACAATAAATACATGTAGAAATTTGGCGAGCACAGCTTCTATAAAGATTATTACTTAAATGCAAGAACTAAAATCACTAAAAACTTCTTGCGCATACGTCGCATGCGATCGTCGATATAAAAAAGACATTGTTGTATAAACTAAGCTTGATTTGTGTTTTCTGTAGGTAAAAATTGTAGTATCTCAATATTTGTTTGTTTGGTATTGGTATGCATCGTTGGTATCGGCTTGATCCAGTTTGAATATGTATATAAAAAGCTCAAAAATCAATCAGAGAACTATAAAATATTGCTTTTGACAACGGCCCGGATTGATTGATCCCAGAGATCGAAACCTCTCTACTTGAGCTTGGCTCTTAGCCACTCCTCGGTGAGTTCGTCTAGTTCGCGTATTTCGTAGACGCGTGTGAGATCTACTTCGCGCTGAAGGGCGCTTTTTGTGCAGGCATACATCATCTGCAATTCGATCTGAAATGAATGATAAGAAGTTATGAAATATGCAGGATATTTGGGTATTACTAGACTCCCACCTGACTATCCCTTGGTGTGTAGAATATAAAGCACATTGGGTACGAAATGCGCTGATCGTCATGCACCATCTTATACGTATAGATGACATATCGGGGCTGGTGTCCTGGCAATGTGTCCTGCAGTTCGTCTACTGAGATATCGTCGATAAACTCATCCAGTACCACTGATTGCTTCTCCCGGTCGACTTTCACTGCAAGGGACAATGGTGCGGTCTTACAAACTACAAATGTATGTTACCATGGCAATCAAATCTTACATATCAAAGCGGCATTATTTTTGCTCTTGCTGAATCTGAACTTCTTCAATTCCGTCAGAACTTCGTTGCTTATGTCGCATATCTGGTTATCACCCTGTATGAAATCGATATAATTGATTAATGAATCGGAATCCCCATTGTTATCTGGAAATAACAATCGTCGATTGGAAAACAAAAACACGCCCACACTCCATTAGTCATGTTTTCATTTCGGTAATTGATTTCCCACCTTTTGTGCACATCTTACCATAACTCTAGCTCTAGCCTTTAGGATGGGATCTGGAAATTGTGCAGCACTATAGAATTTTTGGCAGTTATTTGTGGGAATGTAGTATCACTTGTCCTTAAGAAATCGTTTAAATTCTATCGTTTTTTTCTGAGTTTTGTTTTGTTGTTCCTCCAGTGAGACCCTTCACTGAACGCCAAAAAAAATCACGAGCTGAATCAAAAATATCGTTTCGTTAAGTGTTGTTAAACGACGATGATGATGATTAAAAATAATCCAAATGTACCGTTTTTTTTAAGCTTGAACTTGGAAAGCTTTATTGTATGTATTGTATTATGGTTGTATGTGGTTATGTATGTATTGTATTTATGTTTTTTTTTTTTCATAAATTTAAGACTTCAATTTTTGTAATAGTAATTAAAAATCGTGTCTTATACGATATCTGGAGCATGTTTGTCATCTCTAGTCACTGAAGGACTGTCAAAAAAGCACCGTTACTTTCGCCGCCATGTTTCTTACTTAAAGTTCAATTGTTTAGCATTAACTTTTAAAATACTCAATACTATCATTTATGTGCATTTATGTGGTAGATACGATGAACTTAAATTTGTATGAGGGCAACGTCCTAAATTCCTGCTGGAGAGCGGGATGTCGCAAAATGCAGAAATCGGCGTTTGCCCAACTCGATCGTAATGAGATCGCAGATGTGGATGTACTCGCCTGCTGGTAAATCAATAGGTATTTAACTATTTGTTTCAGCTAACCAAGTCTTTTGCCTACAATTTAGCAAGCAAATCACCGAACTAATTGAGAAAAATACATTAAAAACACAATCAGATGTTTTGGCTAAGAGAAACAGACAAAATGTTATTTTTAAGGACATTTCCCGGTTGTTTTTCGGCGTTACGGATATTTTTAGATGCCAGGTGGATCTACTTTTGGGTAAGTATTAGCCTGAATACTACGAAAGCGTTGCTATATAATCACTAATTTGTATAGGGGATACGAAACTATTACTTGATCAATGTACACGAACCAACTTGGATTACGTTCTCACCACCACCAAATCGGTAGTGGTCAACAAATCTGAGACTCGAATCCAACGCAAACGAAAGCGGATAATCACCAAAAAATCTAAAATAACAGCTTCAAAACGTGCCAGACTGCAGGAATCGGAACTGTTGGATGAAATCGCACAGGACTACTTCGAAAAGATGCTATCTGAATGCCAAATGTGGCAAGTGGAGAGTACGCAACAGGTGGTGGAGGACTTGGACGAGGTTGGTCGCCAGGATACTGTGAAACTTTTTCCTTATATGATTTATTTTTCGGAATCAGTCTATTGAACTGCCCCGAAACTGCACGCACTCGGAATCGTATCATTCTATTACAATCACCGAAGAGATAGAACTTCTCGAGGATCATAGCGTTATTATGCCATCAAATGGTTTTGGCGAAGCCGATGGAGCGGACTTAACCATTTTTCAAGAGCTTTACCCCAGCGACGCCACAAGAAACTCCTGTAAGAAATTATCATTTCGATGAAAAACGTATTCAAAAAATTTGTTTTATTATAGTAAAGCGTCACTCAAAAACTCAAGATTCAACTGACATCTTACCAGATAAAATGCCCAGATTGGATGATTCGCAAATTTTCCAAGCTGACAATGCTATCATGACCCAAATCTTTCCGTATAACATTGAACCAGCTGAAGTAACTCAAATAGTTTGTGAACCGTCGTTGCCCTCAGTTTTGAACTCCTTTGTAGAAATAAAATTTAGCCAGCCCATGAATCGGAAAAGAAAGCTAATAGTAGACAAACATATTGAATATACTCGGGAGCAGCTGGTGAAGCATAGACAGAAATATATGGAAGATTACATTTCAAGGGAAGTGAAAGTGCCCAAACTGTCGAATCTACCGAAACACCCAAATGAACTTCTCTGTAAACTAAATAATAAGTGAGGAACATTATCATATTTCGTATATTAAATTTATTACTCTTTCGATGTAGTGTAACTTTTTCAGCTCTTCATAACCACTCCGTCCCCAAGCTCAGTAAAGAAGAAATGGAATACGAGGCTGAAAACACACTGAGAACAATATTTGGCGGTGAATTTACTGAAAATCTTTACAAGGAGATATTTGTACGACCATCTCAGGATAAAAAATGTGGGGATAAAGAGGCATATATATATCAGCCAGGACCAGTTGGAGTGGAAGACATTTTGCAACCTCAACTGCAGCAGCCTGTTAAAAATTTCATAATTCATTCAAACCAAATGTATGAGCACGGCATATACTGTGAGAATAATCATGATGGTGAGTTCAACCAATTTTAACATGTTTACGTATGTTTAAGTATAATCTCATTACAGATGCCTACAGCGTAATGATGATCCTCTTAAACATTTGGCGTAATAATCCGAAAATCACGGGTATCGATGCCTGTGATTTTATAAAAACGTTCGAGGGTCGCATTAAGGCCTCGTTAGCCTTTTTCCATTTGTTGTGTGAGTCCAAAATAAAACCAAAAATGTTTTCGAAATAATCTAGAACTTGAATTTCAGATCTCTTTCGAGACCGTTTTATAGAAATATCTAAGCGAGCTAATTCTCTTGAAATGGACCAAATTACTCTTGGCAAAGAGTCCGCTAAGTTAATAGATAATCTGCCGCTAAATGAGACTTTCTGAATACTTTTAGATAATTGTTTTCTCTATTATCAGACACATTTTGTAGTTCTTACGTTGGTCAACGATGATCGACATCATGTTTATTCATTGTTCTTACTTACAGTTGAGTATTTTCTGTTGTTACTATTATGTTAACGTAGTTATAAGTTCAGCAAATCTCTAGCATACAATGGCGTTAATTTACTTAATTTCCGTACGTTTATAATGTAAATTGTTTCATTTCAAGAATTGAAAGATTCTATAAGTAACTTCTTCCTGCTATTCAGTGTCATCTTAACTTTTGAAAATTCATTGTACCCATTAAAACTCGTTAGATATCTTTGTTACTATTACTTTATCGTAGCTATAATTCATTAACATTTGGGGTAATTCTCTAAACCGTAATTGTTGTCCTTGTTACAAAATCTCTATCTCTGACAACACCAAAAAATAAACCAGTTACAAAAACAAAGGAATACAGAGTGTTTGGCACAATTGCTTAAATTCCGATCTGCTGGGCCAGACCCGAATAGATGTGCAGTGTGCAGAATCCAATTACGGCCGCCACCAGCGCTTTCACAGCCACCGTCAGCCACGGTCCAATGGTCAGGATGTGGAGCATGCCCTCCAGCCAGACGCCTTTGAAAACAGTCACCGCCAGAAGCAGACTAACCAGCGGCTTTAACGCCTTGTTTAAATCGTGACGAGTAAAGAGCCAAATCAGGGTGGCCGTAGTGATGTGCTGCACGAGAAGCACGTTAGACTCCAGACACTTGAGTATGTAGATCCAACTGAACTCGGTGCCTCGGGCTCCCACCCACAGCATGATACCTCGGGAAAGAATTACTTCGGCGGTGGCCCCTGTATAAGTATACGAAAATGTTTGGTTTTAAGTGAATCTTTGGGAGTTGTTAAATTTTGGTTGGGGTATAAAAAATTGAACAGACATCGCAGTTGTAATGCTCATATATATGAACTTAGTACAGTACTTCGGTCATTTAAAACTACCCTCATGAGTTTAATTAAGTTGGTCGTTCAACCTACATCCAAGTCCAGCCGTAATAAGCTTTGAATGACCCTTGCCGGGAATGCGACTCAAGATTAGTGCGAATCCAAGCAAATCGGCGATGTCCACGCTGCAGCGGAGGATCTCCTGCAAACAAGAAAATCCACAACATGGCCTTATTAATTGAGTAAAGGTAAATACTGATAAGAAAACGCACCGCAAAGAAGTTAAACTCGCCGCTGGTGGATGGAGCGTCCGAGTAGAAGAATGTGGCCAGCACTAGCATCTTGACGAGCTGTGTGAATATATAAATGCCTCCCGCCTGCACGCACTTCCAGAAGGCTCCATATTCTGATCTGTAAATAAAAAAATAGGCCGGGACAATTCACAAATAGTTTTATTGACCTGGTAGAACTGCGGACTTGGCAGTCGGCAAATCCCCAGAAAACAGGCGGAAACTCACAGGCCGGAGTATTTGTAGGTGAAGTAGTACGGCGTCAGCAGGGCCACGCAATTTCCAAAGTGGTACAGTGTCATTTTCTTTGATAAACTATGACTATTTTATTTTGGCTTAATTAAGAGAAGAATTAAAAGTTGAAAAGAAAAAAACTAGCGTTGCTCGCCGTTGGTTATCGATATGTGCATAACAGGGCTGACGGCATGGCAGGCTGATAATGAAAAACAAGCTAGTTTTGTTGGTGAGATTTAAACAAAAACAAATAATTTAAAAACATTATTTAAATATATATTAAAAATTAAACATGGACAGAAAAGAGAAGAAGTAGCAACAGTTTTAATGCTGCTAAATCTCTGTCGTGGCTATCGATAGTTGCTTAAATATCAACACGTCATCGTAATCTATCATCTGGAGTTGTGTTTGTGTAGTGTGTGTGTGTGTGTGTGTGTGTGCGTACGAGTGAGTTTTCTGCAATCTTTAGCAATTATTATGAATTTTTTGACCAAATCAATGGGACATGCTTAAACGGAAACCAAATTTTACTTTGTTTAGGACACACGAACCTGCCAGCTAAGTGCCGAGCAAAACAACGAACGGAAAACCAGTGTATGAAAAGAGAAAAACAAAGGGGCAATTTTCGCAAAGGAAAGTCCAACAGATCATTTCGTTCGTTCGTGTGCATATGAAAAAACAGCAACGTCAACTCCCTGGGACAAGCTGCAATCTGAAATGAGATGCAAACCCGAAGACGCCTTCATCAAACGGACCAGCAGGATTACAGCAGCAGCAGTACCTATACCATTCAAGCGGATCATCAGGGAGGAGCAGGAGCAGGAACAGGATCTGTGGGCACGGGAACAGCTGTTGGATCGGTTGGACTATTAACACAGTCCTTGGTTCCACCAACAACTGGCCACGAGGCGGCCATCCACATTGGAGATACCAATCAGTCGGACAATTCCATCCCCAGTCCCGACTACTCCGACGACAAGTACGGCAAAGCGGCCCGCCAGTGGAACCTACGCGCCTTCTCCGGCCACGCACTGCGCACTTTAAGTGCCGCTGCCGCCGTGGTCACCGGAAATCAACCGGGCATCAGTAACGATAGCCAAAGCCAATATACCAACTACCCCGCTTCCATTCCGAGTAGTTCACAGTTTTACCAATCGAAGGAGGAGCCCCAGGAACCGGAACCCGAACCAGAAATATTCATCATGGCCGCACGCGATCGAACGGGCGAGTTCGCCAATGCGATTCGATCCCTGCAGGCTCGAAACATCACCCGGGCAGTCAATATTCGTGATCCCCGCAAAGCTAAGCAGGTTCAAAGCTACTCGGAGTTCATGATGGTCGCTAGGTTTATCGGAAAGAACATAGCCAGCACATACGCCAAACTGGAAAAGCTCACAATGTGTAAGTGCAGGGTTAGCGAAAACCCCACAAGATTAATTAATATTCATTTTGATTCCAATATGTAGCGATAAAATTAAACCAAACTTTAAAATTCTCGTCCTCGTTTTAGTGGCCAAAAAGAAGAGCTTATTTGATGACAGACCGCAGGAGATACAGGAGCTGACTTATATCATCAAGGGCGACCTAAATGCGTTAAATCAACAAATTGCCCGACTGCAGGACATCTCCAAGGATCAGCGGCGTCACACAAACGGGAAGCATTTGGTGTCACATTCCTCTAACATGGTACTGGCCCTGCAATCGAAACTGGCCAGCATGAGCACGGATTTCAAGCAAATCCTAGAGGTGCGCACTGAGAACCTAAAGCAGCAGAAGACGCGACGCGATCAGTTTAGCCAAGGACCAGGTCCGTTAGCTGCACACACCGTCTCACCATCGACAGCGAAGCAGGGATCGTTACTTCTCAGCGAGGAAAACCAAGCTGTCAGCATAGACATGGGAAGCAGCGATACCACACCGCTCCTATCGACCCAGACACAGATGGCCATATACGATGATTCAGATAATTACGTCCAGCAGCGGGCGGAGACCATGCAAAATATAGAATCTACCATCGTTGAGCTCGGGGGAATTTTCCAGCAGCTGGCGCATATGGTTAAGGAACAGGAAGAGATTGTGGAGCGTATTGACACAAATGTGGCGGATGCCGAATTGAATATTGAGGCTGCCCATGGAGAGATCCTGAAATACTTTCAGTCGGTCTCCAAAAATCGCTGGCTGATGATCAAGATCTTCGGCGTCCTCATATTTTTCTTCTTGTTCTTCATTGTTTTTATGTCGTAATCAAACGCCAGTTGCCCACTAAAAGCCCCATGTACCTATCCATGTATACAGCATTTTAATTTAATCAAGATTCAATCACAATATTGTTTATTCCAAGCTGTGGCCTCCCGAAACGATTGTAAAATAAAGTTATAAATACGTTCTAAAGCAAAATGCATTTATTTTGGAAACACACTGAATAGCCTGTGCTTCTTTGGTGAATATTTTGTATAACAAATGATTTCTTTCTAATGGAAGCTTTGTAATTCAAAATTATTTCCGAAATTTAGAACTGTATGATAAAAATGTTTATATTTTTGGGTGTTGCTTGCTTATGTAATAAACTTGTGCTTTACCTAAGAAAAGGTGTAATGCTAGTATAAAAATTCTGACTATATCTATGTTTGCCCTGCTGATAAGGATTATGTACCTTTCATAATCTTTATAATCGTAAGTGCTGGTTGCTCCATGTTTGTCGTGATCAGTGAAAGACTCCGCTGTCCCTCAAGCTAAACAGGAAAATTAAAATTGGTTACTTTGACTCGACTTTTATTTAATGCTTAAATCCAACTACACCAAAGATGCGAAATGCAAAAATAATCATAATAAAAACACGGTACAATCTCTTACTGCAAAAAAAGATTACAAATTATAAAAAAAACAAAGCTTCAAGATGTCTTTATGGATTTACACTAGAATTTACAAGTGAAGTATTGTTCGCGATTGATGGGCATTCTTCCCCAAAAAGGGAGTTTTCTACCCGAGCATAGACAACTTATAAACGACGCGGATGGGCTGGCGCCAACACTGAGATCCCCAGGCAACAGCTGCCTATGTCGAGATGAGCGAATAAACCATGCTAAAATTAGCAAGAAACGTTAGACAAATGAGGACCCTGGCCACCCAGAATATCAATTAGAATTACCCGTATATGTAGTAGAAGAAGCTGATCAAGTAGACTGCCAGTTTAATCCAACCCTCACGCATATTCCGGGATAAAGTGTCGGTTTTTAAGACCGTGGTGGGATCGTAGAGTCCGGGTCCCGACATCACAGGGCGGTTTTTGTAACTGAAAGAGGTGGGGGTACAAAACATGAGTAATACCTATGCTACGCCTAGGTCAATCGTGATGCATTTCGGATCTCAAATCATGTTTATTCACATATCACACGGTCTAATGAGTCACTTACCGCCAAAAATGATAGGCTATCAGTGGTATGTTGATGCATAGTGAGAACCATTCGCCGCAGAACAAGAAGAGCAAGTTCAGGAAGATGTGCAGAAGGTACTCTGGCAAAACCAGCTGAAATACAAACACATTGATTACAGGGCGCACTGTGGGTGTAAGCACCAAGTTTACCGGATTCAGGCTATTGCACTGATCAATTGGGTTCTTATAATCCGTCTTCAGCTCGTCGAATGCAATGACATGGAATATGGCGAAAAATATCAAGAATGCATCCCCGATCAGGGCCACTATGTACGTGAAGGCGGTGAAGTTGAAGGCCATCTTGTAATATCGCTGGAGCACGTCTTCCAGGTGCTAATCAAAGTGACTTGCTAATTATTGTAGTAAAATTCGGCTTCCAATTGTAGCGCTGGGACTTACTTGTTTTTTTTCTACAAGGGCGGCGATGATGACAGCTGTGCGCCAGGGATGCAGTAATCATAACGATCAGGCAGCACAGATGTATGGTAACATTGCAAAAGGGACTAACCTACTTTCAGCTATCAAATACCAATTAATTAGAATTTAATTTAAATAAGCGATTGTAATATCTAACGGATTCTAATTTGTTTAACATTTTTTTTGTTTCTAGTATTTTTCACTACCGATAAATATACCACTTACAGTTAGCCGTTGCGGTCACATTGCATTTCCGAATCGAACCGCCATTTGTGTCGCATCCCGAAAATCGGGATAAGCCCAATCTAAGTGATCTATGAACTTCAAACTACTCTCGTGATATAACCAGGCAACTGTGTAATAAATTGTGAAACTACCTGACACCCTTCTAAAAGATCGGAAAACCATGTCGCAGTTCAATTTTGTGAGCGATTTGCAGAATGCCCTGATCATGGACGGTGAGACGCGCGGACCTGCGCCCAGGTGGAAGAAGAAGCTGGAGGCGTCTCTAAGTGGCAGTATAAATACCACCCGATCGGTGCTATCCGTCTCGTACAACACCAGTTTCTCGGGTGTCCAGGCGCCCACGAAAACACCGGGCAAAAGCAGCGAGGGCAAGACCAAGAAGTCCACAACCACGCCTACTAAGACGCCAGGAGGCGGAGATCGCTTCATTCCAAACCGGGCGGCTACCAACTTTGAATTAGCACACTTTCTGGTAAGGATTCTACTGACAACACGCCCTGCATTATGCACGGTACAGCGTCTGCTCTCAACGGAGTAGAATTATTGTACGTTTTTGATATAAAGCTTGAGATAGGTCCTTCAGAAAATATGAGCCTTAACATATTTGATCGATTTTATTTACCATCTGATTTCATGATCAATTTTCGGTACCTTTATTAGGTAAACAAAGACTCCGGCGATAAGTCCGATGAGGAGAACGAAAAGGCCACCTCGAGCAACAGCAACGAGAGCAATGTCCAGGCGTCGGCCCACAAGGGCGAGCGGCAGAAACTCATCTCTGAAGTGGCCCAAGTCGGCGACTCCAAGGGCGGCCGCATATTGTGCTACCAAAACAAGGCTCCCGCTGCTCCAGAAACCCACAACAATCCCCTGAAGGTTGTGTACTCCATAAAAACGCCCATATCTACGAAGAGTGGCTCACGCTATATACCCACCACATCTGAGAGAATTCTGGATGCCCCTGATTTTATTAACGATTATTGTAGGTTGAAGAAAACTATTTTTACGTTGTATCAAAAAATACAGTTGAAATATTGTTTTCTTTCAGATTTAAATCTTATGGATTGGAGTGCCGACAATATCGTTGCTGTTGCCTTGGGCAGTTGCGTCTATTTATGGAACGCGCAAACCGGAAATATTGAGCAGCTCACAGAGTTTGAGGAGGGCGATTACGCAGGGTCGCTTTCGTGGATCCAGGAGGGTCAGATACTTGCCATCGGCAACAGCACCGGTGCCGTGGAGCTGTGGGACTGCTCCAAAGTGAAGCGTCTGCGAGTGATGGATGGACACAGTGCCCGAGTGGGATCCTTGGCCTGGAACTCGTTCCTAGTTTCCTCAGGCAGCAGGGATGGCACCATTGTCCACCACGATGTACGTGCACGTGAGCACAAGCTGTCCACATTGGCTGGACACACACAGGAGGTTTGCGGCCTAAAGTGGTCGACGGATTTCAAGTATCTGGCTAGCGGAGGCAACGACAATCTGGTGAATGTTTGGTCTGCGGCCAGCGGTGGCGTGGGAACTGCTACCGATCCCTTATACAAATTCAACGACCATCAAGCTGCAGTGCGTGCTTTGGCCTGGTGTCCGTGGCAACCAAGTACTTTAGCCTCTGGCGGCGGCACCGCCGATCGCTGCATCAAGTTCTGGAATGTGAACAATGGCACTTTAATTAAATCCGTGGACTCCAAATCGCAGGTCTGTGCTCTGCTGTTTTCCCGACACTACAAGGAGCTGATCTCTGCCCATGGTTTTGCCAACAACCAACTGACCATCTGGAAATACCCAACAATGGTGAAGCAAGCCGACTTGACTGGACACACATCACGAGTTCTGCAGATGGCCATGTCTCCGGACGGCAGCACTGTGATCAGCGCCGGAGCTGATGAAACGCTGCGCCTGTGGAACTGTTTTGCTCCCGATCCTTTGGCGTCCAAAAAGGCAGTTTCGGCTAGCAAGGCCAAACAGAGCGTGTTTCGACAGAGTATTCGTTGATATGCTTAGGCCTTTATAACTGTTTTTACCCCCTTGATTGCTAAATTTAAGCTTCAGCACTGGATTTGTTTCCACACTAGACAATTATTTCTTGAATGCATATCCAATTTATAAGTTCTCGTTTAATGTTTCGTACTTTGTAGTTATGGATAAATCTTTGATAATGTGCCCCCTCCGACGATATATGAATAATTAAATTTTGTCAGTTACATTTATTTCTTAGAGTTAAGTTTGTGTGCGTATAAATAAAATGCTTGACATTCTGCATCCTTGTATGCTTTATTTCGCTCTAAACAATTTGCGTTAACACAAGGAATTCAATTCGTTTCGGATTCCCACGTACCGGGGCAGTAAGTACATTAAGTTCCAATTTCCTGGCTGCGTTTTGAGAACGTGTGTCTAGGAATAATATTGCATACAATTCTGGGCAGAAAAGGCGTGCTTCTGGGAACATCGATATAACCAGGTCGGGAATTCAAGTTGTGTTAATCATAGGTATGTGTATGTTTAGTCTAAATCGTATGTACAGATTGGATGGGCATTCAGGCAACTGTCATGGGATTGCCACCATTGTAGCTGACAAAATAGCGCGGATCACCGAAGCGATCGTACATCTGTAAGAACAAGAGGTTCGCAAAAAACAGCTGGTTAGAATTAAAATAATACAACATTGTTAGGTACAAGAACAAAAGCCTTATAAAGCCATAAAATAAGCAAACAACATAGCAAGAGCAAGTAAACAAAAAATCTAAAAATCTAAAATTCAAATCTAAATAGAGTTACAAACCTTTTCAATCCATACAACATCAAATTCAACATTTAATTTGCATTTTTGTTTTGCTCATTTTTTTGTAGAATAAAATATTTATTTTGCAACATTATTTCATTCAGTCAGAACATAAAAACATCAATTAGATTTAGCTATCTTAGTACTACGATCTATGATTCAATTTTGTATAATAGATTAGTTGGTTGATTCACGCACACGCGCACGCACATACAAGAATTACAAACATACAGAAACAGACACACAAATACATATACGTGGTTGAGAGAATTAGCAACAGACATCGAGTTTGAAATTGGACACCTTAATATAATTTAAATTGGTACAGTGCACGAAAGTTCTTCGGATAATATTATATTCATCTACGGTTTGTTTGTAAACCTGATTGTAAACGATGCATCAACTTGCTTGTGAGATTGCCGTGGCACAGTTTCAATCGGGCGATACTATATTGGTTCAATTTGCTTTTGAGCGGGTTCTACTAAAACATAGATCCCCTAATCATTTATGGGTGGATAATTTCTTTACTTGCTGCTATCCTGCTGTTTGCTTTTTTCTTTTGTTTTTCATTTAACATTTTCCTTTCTTTTTTTTTTGGTTAACAATACATTGAGTTACAATAAGTAATTTCTCAAGTGTAACAATATTTTCTCGCTGAATACCAGTTCAGCTGGGGACATCTCTCTTACTTAGTGTTTGAACATTTTGGAAGCTGGTGGTGTACCATTTCAAATTGTGCCTTACGCTCTAAGTGATCTCAGTTGATCTTTTCTTGGTACATATTCTTAAGCAGTGACGCTCACCTTCGTGTCGTCTAGATCTTCGATATCGCTACTGTCGTAATCACTGTCCGGAGGCGTTACGGTCTCCGCTCCGCGCTTCTCCAGGATGTTCTGCATCCGCGATTTGTTCATGATGCACGCAAACTGGTAGGCCGTCAATCCGGCGTAGGTGGCCGTTTCCAGATTCAGCTTCTCGCATTCGTCGAGCAGGAAGTTGGCCAGATCCTCGTTGCAGCCCTCGATCGCAATGTGCAGTGGTGTGCGACCCGATTTGCCCTCCTAATTATAAAAACTTGTCATTAGTACGGTAAATTGATGAATTTGACGTAATCTTCTCACTTACCCTGGCGTTAATATCGGCTCCATGGGATACCAAAATGCGTAAGATATCAATGTGTCCCGCCTCGGCGGCCAAATGCACACAGCGTTCTCCTGTAACGATAGAAAATAGAAGATTTTGGTTAGAAAGTGTAAAAAGAGAGGATCATGTACGCTTTAAAAAATAAAAGATCAACAAATATTTCCATTTTTAATACTATTCCTGCGCTGAGGATCGAAAAAGCTTGATTTATGAATGAAACCCAAAAGCTTGTCCGCTGTGAAAAAAGCTGCATTCCGTTGTAAAACAAGTAGTGTTTTATAATGCGAACAAAAAGCTCTGATTACGACAATGACCGGTTGGGTGGCAAACGGGGGGTTTCGAGGGGAGGGAACTGGGTGCCAAGTGGAGGCTTTTGCCTTATAAGACAATATGACAACCCGTTGACTTCGCATGCGAGTATCTGTGTGCGCGATCGAAAGGCATACATATGTATGTACGTGCATAGGTGTGCGTTGAAAAACCCAAGAAATTCCCACAATAAACCAGCAGCAATAACACAAAAGCAAGCGACAACAACAAAGTCGAGTGACGAGCTAAGGCAGGGAAAAAAATACAATAAAATAAAATAAAAATCAAACAGTTGGCGTTAAGTTAACAAACCAAATACAAAGTTGGCTTTTTGGTTTCTGCTTCGGCAACAAGTTTGCCCAAGTTCAAATTGGTTTATGCATATAGAAATCTGATATATGGACACACAAACACAAGTGTCTGAAATAATAATAAAAAAATGTGCAATAATCTAACTGACATTTTGGGCAAAAAATTGCACAGAATTCGGATCATGTTTCATTTTTAAACTCAACTAGCATTAAAAAGCGATATAAACACCCACCCTATCGATATAAATGAATTCATTTAAAGAAGATAATGTAATAAATAAACTAATATTTAAAAGCCAGTTTAAGTTTCCTCTTTCCCATCATGGTTCTTGTTCTTCTTGCCTTTTAACGATTCTTCATCAATTCATTCTCGTATTTTCAGATCGAGTCGACGTTCGCATTCAGATATGTATAAAAAACTACTGCTAAAAAACTGAAAACAAAGGTGAATTGTTTAGTCTCTGTTTGTTTTTGTATTCCACGCCTTTGTTTTTATAGCTTTATGATTAGTTGACGTTGAGTTGTTGTTACTACTCTAGCCATATTTTCTACCCGGTTATTCAAAGTTTTTATACCCGTTAGTCGCGATGTAAAAGGGTATACTAGAATTGTTGAGAAGCATGTAACGGCATTTATTCTTTATCAGGATCAATAGAACTATAAAAACTAGAAAGATTCCAGTGCAAGCATGATTCCTGATGCTTCCACGCCCCCTCTAATCTAATTTTAAAAAATCAAAAACATTTTTTCATAAGGCGAACGCGACTATAGCGTTCTATCTTGTCTTTGTTGTTTCCGTTTTTTTTACTGCTGGACTACACGTGCTGTTGATTGACTTTCACACACAAACAGTTTGCACATTTGCATAAACCGAACACATTTACAGGCCCAGACGGAGATTTCAGGTAGGAAATCCGAGAACTAACTGTGATAATATACTAAAAATTCCACCCATGAGTCATTGGAGGCAAACGAGATAACCCCAGAGGAGCCAAACAAAAACTAAAAAAAAAAAACCAACTGAGGTTATCATTGATTAAAACCCGAATTACGCACGGCAATTTAAGACCGAAATCTGTTATTGCAAAAGAAAGCGGCCCAAGAAAGTCAGGAGCTCTGCACAGTAAAGTTTTTTGTGGGTTTTTTTTAAGGTGAATCTCTCGGTTGACAGCTTACAAAAGCAACAATTGTGTCACAAGATAAAAATAACGATGACCACATGGAGATTTTTTTAAGCTCGACTAACTAAAAGAGAAGCCGATGAGCTAGTAAAAGACAATCCTCATTGTTGTTGCCCCTTCAGCACAGCAACGTGCCAATCGTTAGCATACGATTAAAGAGCCATGTATATACAACGATATTATGTACCCACGTATATTAATAGACAAACGGGCGGGCGGCAGCAGTATAAAACATGAAATATGAAACACAAAAGTTTGTTTCAAACTTTGCTTTACTCTGGGAATTCCCCCATCAGCGGGCCACAGGCTGCGTCACAAGATCACAGCTTATAATCCGATGTCTTAGCCAGCAAGTCTGATTCGAAGCCGAAGACACGTGTCCAGAAAGCGGTTAGAACAGCAATAAATACGCTGATTGCCCAATAATTAGATACATCTGAAATCGCCTTGTTTTAGTTTAGCAGCAATTGAAGTTGAAGTGTCACCATTATTTTTAGCTATTTCATTGCAAGCAAGTGAACGATTGTGAAACACAAAATTCAAAACAATGTTATCGGCGAACGACTATATTTAAAACTTGATGTTGTCACCAACAAAAAAAAAAAAAAAAACTAAGGCAATCTCGAACATAAATTGACGCCACTAGGTGGAGATAATAGGAGACAGAACTGAAATACTGTTGACATTATATAGGGCTATATCCTCCAAGCTCTGAAATACAACCATATTGAAAAGTAATTACTGCAATGGTATTTGAGACGTAGCAATTAATGAAATCGCTTTAAACTGCGCACAATGGGAAATTCTATTTGCCTGGCACTTGAAAATCCAAACAGTTTCACAAATGGCACCACCGCCAACTTGATCTGATCGCACCTCCAACCCGCCGCCTTCCTTTCACCCATTAGCCTGTACGATGCGATGTTGTTACTATTTGCACAGGCGGCTGAAATATTAAAAAAAAAAAAGACAACGATATCGACAACGACCTTATGAGAAAAACCCAACGGCGCAGTTAAGAGTACTCCACAAGTCAACCGAAGTCGCAAAGTTCATAAATTTATTGACAGCGCAAATATTAAACGCACCGCTGCCATCTCTTAATTTTAATTAATTGTGCTTATTGTTTGGTCAGAGTTTTGGAATTTCTACAACGGGTTATTCGCTTATACTTGTGGGTTTTTGTTTCAAATATTTATCTCTTGTATTCCCCAGTTTGCCAGCTTATTTGTCCTTCAGTTTGGGTCATTGTTTCATAATTATGGATCTACATATGTATGTATGCCGAAGTACAGCCAGGTGCTAGTATTTGCAATATTTATTGGAGTGGGAAATATCTGAAAGCTGTTTCGAGTTTTCCAACCCAGCGCGTGCCAAAAGAAGTTACCAGGCAATTGGGGGAATTACCTGGCCCAAAACCCACAAAACAAAAAAAATACCCACAAGACATGGCCGATGAAATTAAAGCCAACTGTCCAAATACGACTGGCTTTTCAAATACCCCAAAAGATGAATATAAGAACAAAAGCCAAAAGTGGGGGAAAATACAATATCTAATTAAAAGTTGTTTACCCCAAAAACTGCTGGGCGCCGTTGGGCAATTTGTATCGCACACAAGTGCCGTGTGTCGATGCTTGACTTTCCCAATGTGGAAATTTAAGTATTAAGTTAAGTGAAAAACCCAGGTAGCGCTCTGCAGCCGGCCGCCAAATGAAGCGAAAACAAACAGCACAATTTAGCACAATTAAAGCCGTGGATTTTCCATGTCATGACGACGACGACGACGACTGACTTGGCAATGAAAGTGTTTTGAAAGCAAGTCGAGCCCAGCTCGAGCTCAACTCGGCTGGTTGCCTTCCCCCGCCCGATCTACTACTATATATCGCTCGATCGTTATGTCAGCGGACTCGCCTTGTTGACTTTCTTTCGGGCCCCATGAATGCGAAATGCAAATAACACCCGACTCAACCAGCCAAAATTGGATGGGGATCGTCGTCAGCCACGTGTGGGACTGCACAGAAAAAGTAATAAGAGAAGTAAGTGAAAAAGAAAACACCGCACGGCAATTAAGACGCAAACGAAATTTGGGGAAAAGCCCAACGAGGTCACCATTGTTGGTGGGAGATCAGCGTTTGGTTTTTTTTGTTTGTCAACTCAGTTGCACTTCGGATTTTGCAGCAAGCGTCAGTCATTATTTATTGCATTCTCTAACTTCCGTCATTTGTTTTCAATTTTTGCAATTAGCATGAGCTCATTAAATGTATCTGGTATTGTTATTCTAGCGCTACTCACTGCTGCTTGCTTACCTTGCAAAAAATAGAAGGAATCATATGAAATGACTGAAGATCTATTAGATATAGGTGCCAGTACTTGCAAGTCAATAAACTCTTATGTGTAAGCAAATGGGAATTCAACTTCTGAGATCACTTTGTTTATAACTGACAGTCTGACAGATAATCAATGAAACGATGAACGCCCATAATGGGAAGTATACATCAAAATACGATCAAAGCCCATAATAGAGAAGTACATATTTTCGTTTGCTATTCAAATTTAACCTTGTGATCTGTACAAGAATGTGAACGAACTCCAAAGCATATGAATTTCAACTCTCCAAAAGTAGATTTCTTTAAGTTATCAGTCAAGAAAAAAAAGAAGTAAATTTCGCAGCCTTATCGTCATCTCTTGGTGTGAATAAACCCGTCTAAGCGGATTATGCTAGTTTCAGATTTTTAAAAAGGAAATGATACTGCGATTTTAGCTGGGATGTCATAGTGCTGGAACTTGACTTGTACCGGAGTCCAGATTTAACCTTGTGCTTATGACTAACTTGTTGTTGTTTGTAGGTGCAACGGACAAGCGACAATGTAAAACTCATTGATTGTCGTCGGATTCCAGAATGTCGTAGATCTCGATTATATTAATGCCCGGAACGGGTTTGCGATGCTGTAAGACTGAGTTAACTTTACAAATTGGATTGGACTTTCTATATATATATGTATATATATATATACTTTCAATACTACTAATAGTTCCAGCTGCAGTCGAAAGTTCCAGAAATTAGCTTATGAAAATCCCAGTGACGATGTACGTATTTATTTCCATATTGCCTTTTATTTTATACGGTCATTTCAGAGGTTTTTCAGAATTTACGTCAACTCCTGATTTAATAGCGGGTTTCTACGGTTCTGAGTTAAAGTTTTTCAAACACGAGACCGTAACATTCGAGTGGTAATGTGGTTAAACCAGCACACTGATAATAACAAAGTTAGCTTCTTGAATGCGAAAGAGGGCGAGGACGTTGAATAGCGCAATTCGGGAGACGTAAAGAGGGTCGTTTAATCGCACAGTAAACGACCACCTATGGGGTTTTCCTCATAGCTGATAACGCACGACTTCCAGTTACCAATGTCTGCTGACGATCGAACAGCAATGGACATATCTCGTTTGCTTTTTTATAGTAGGCCGGCTTATCAGGCGGGGAAGTACGGCAGTGACTGCTCCTAATTGTGCTCCTAGTTGCCAGGCCAAAGATTTCATGGGGTTCTTCGCTTAAATAAAGATATTTATAGTATTTGCAACAACTGGCATACACATGCAGGACAAATGTGTTGTTCTGAAATTCCCCCGTTTTGGTTTAACCGACATTTGTTTATTGCTCATCGGCATACCCTTCGGGAATTTCTACATTATTTACAGATTAATTGCAAAATCCGCAGTAGGATTTCCTGAAACTCCATAGAAACCCAGCTTGATACGGCCCCAAAACGGCACAGCTCATACTACGACAGTAGTTCATATTTTCAGATAACCCAATCACAAACGGTTTATTATCAACAGTGGTAATTTCTGGCCCTCTTGATTTACCAAAGGCCAAAGCCCACAAAGTTGTCAAGCGATCCGAACTAGCGAAAGACGTCCTATACTATTTATAGAGCCTGTCCTCGGGAGCCTTGCGTGCGTTTATTTATATAATAGCAGTCCATTTCCCAGTTGCGTGTCGGGCGCGTTAATGATGCCCAAAAATGGATTACGGCCACGTTACGGGCAGTTGGTCGACCTCAAAGCATTTGGCCGTAATTACTATTGTGGGGATTTCCAAAAGCTACAGAAATATTTGTTTCTGGAGGTGCAGAAGGGGGCCTCTGTGCCTTCGATAACGACGAACCTTTCCCAATTTCCGCTGTTGTCTGCGCTTTTAATCGGCTTAATGCTATCATTTTTCTATTGCTATTATTCGGCATTCTTTCAAAGTCTGCTCTTGCTTGGCTCTCGGCCAAATAACAAAAAAAAAGTGTCCTATTTTCGTCGCCCATGCCTAAATACATGTTCAGTAGCATTTAATTTAGAAGGGAATGCCTTCAAGTTTTAAATAGAGTTGGAATGTCTACCAAAACTATGAGAAAAAACGATTCAAATTCGCTAGCTTTAAGGATGAAATAATGCCATTTGTTCCAAAGTGATTTATTACATTACATCGGTAAGTGTGTTTTTGCCCCAGAAATGCTGACGTCAATTGTTTGGATTAACTTGCAATTGGACCACATATTCTAAGGGCCTTGTGTTTACTTAGTGATCGGCATCAATAGTGAATTGAACACAGAACTGGCCCGGTGTCCCGCCTCGAATATTTAAAATTGCTTTCGAATTTATTGCTGTGGCAGTGGGAAAACCCAGAGGTTTCGAATAGGCGAAATGCTCAAAAGCGTCTGAACGTCTCGTTTCTTGTTGCTTTGTTGGTTTTTAATAGTTTTTGTCGGAAATGTGTGCGCTGTTGCTTTTGGCTAGCCGAAAAATACATTATGTGTCTTGTATGTGCGGGTTATATATAGCATATGCATATGAACATACATATATGTATATTCACGATATGGGGAGCAGCTGTTTTGTGGAGCTTCAAACCGGTTGGCGCTGCTTAAAGCTGGCAAACGGGTAAAAAAAATGTTTGTTCACCAAATGTTTGCCAATCACGAATTCGGATTTTATTTTTGGCAAGGTTATACATAGGAAAAAACACAGCTGCAAAAAGGCCAATAGAAATCGATTAAACAAACGAAAGGTCAAATATAAATAACTTTGGTTTTGCCACACTTTCTGACAAGTTTATTAACCTTTTTTGAAGAGTCTAGTCGTTAATTACCACACTTTTACTTTCCATTCAATTGAAATTAAAATAGCGGCTGATTTTACTGGAAAATATTCCACAGCTTGAGTTTCAATAATAGTATCAATTGAAAGTTCAGTGAACACCTCGTAATTGAAATAATCAAACAAATAAACCGATTGTGCAACCAAAGTCTTAGTGAGCAAATACAGTGTGCCACAAATTATGGATTATAAATAAACGTTCTGATTTAGAACCCTTCCTGTGCACTCCCACGCATGTTATGCAATGAGTGGCAATGGGTGGCACCCCCACAACCCAGAGGCGTTCAAATCGATAATTCGATTTCTGGTCCGCGAATACAGACCAAAATCAAATAAGGAAACAAATGTTAATTATGATACACGCCTGTCCTTACGTGGGGAAAATAAATTTAATTTCAATTATTTCCTCGATGCATTGCATTCGAAATTGAGGCGCCAGAGTCAAACGGAGCAAAACATGAATTTCCAGCTTATGTAAATGTATTTCAGATTCCACATCCACCAAACAAATAAATATTTACCTATCCTTGTGTTGAATTGTTTTTATTATACTTTGCTGACGTCTGAAACTTTGCAAATGTTCTGTTTTCTGAGCGTTTTTCGTTTATTTTGGTTAATCAATAACGCAAATGAACAGGGAACAGGGAGGAGGGTTGTTTTTTTTTTTAAGAATTTGACGAGCGAAAATTTCAAGCGAAATGTATCGGGGAGGCCAATGTATTTTTGGCATCTGCTCAAAGGCGTCTATAGGACCTATAACCATAACGATATGTACGTCTATAACGCATATACTACAATGTGTACTATATGGCAGACAATGTCTCGCAGTGCGGCTAGCCGTTGGCGGGACACCAACTATATGTGCATATATAGAGCTATATATAATGACACATTTTTGGCACAGATTCATATTCTTAATGATATATGTATGCCCGAAAATGCTAGGCCAAAAATAATCACTTTACTAGAACGGAAAAATTCCTACAAGCTTGAGAGACAAATAACTCGTGATTTCCATTTCTCAGCAATAATATTTTTATATCTACGAGTATATACAATTGTGGAATCAATAGGATTAACTAATTGAGTAAAGAAATTAAAACAAATGTTTGGGTAAATCAGTAAAGAAGTTGAGAAATTGATTTAAAAGGCAATGCACTTTACTTACCATCGTAGTTGCGAATCTCCAGATCGGCGGGCAAACAGGCGTAGCTCAGGGAACTGACCGCCTTGTCGTTGGATCGGTGTCCATATTGTCGGTGGGCCTCATGGATTTCCGTGGCTCCGAACTTCTCTGTCAAGGCACGGACGCACTGCTTCTCTCCGGCGATGCAGGAAAGATGGAGGGCTGTGTTTCCATGACGATCGCGCACCGTGGGCTATTCAAATGAGTAATTGGAATTTGTTGTTTTAAAAAACTCGGTTGAACTTGCTTTTCAGAGTTTAAGAAACAAAAGTTGATATGAAATTGCATTCGTTTATAAGGGAGTATGCAAAATATTAAGAATCATTAAATGTTCAAATGTTTTTTTGATTTTCGTAGAATATTACCTCAGCTCCGGCGAGTAAAAGTATCCTCATGATATTGGGCTGGGCAGTAAGAGCGGCCAGATGAAGGGGAGTTTGGGCCACATCGTTCTGGATGTTGAGCAGGCACGGATGAGGAGCCATGCGAATCAGGGCCGCCACTACGTCCACTGATCCAGAAATACAGGCCAGGTGCAGAGGTCTGAAACAAGAGACAGCGAAAAAAAAACAACGTGAATTTGTGGGTTTCTTTACCTGCCGCTCGGCACCCGCACTTTCTTCCCTTTCGGTACACTTGTCGTCGGTCATGTGGCGGCGTAAAAACCCAAGTAAGTTAAGTTGATGTAAAGTAATGTGAAGAAAGAAGAGGTGCCCCGAAAAACCTGTTCCCGTACCTGTCCACATACCAGGAAAACCCCAAAGCCTGACTAAAACACATGTGTCAGTCGCGTTTCTCGCCTCAGACAATGGTCTTTGAGTGATTCACGAAACTCTCCCCTTAGCACGCTTGGTGGTCATCGGGGCAATGCCGCGATGTCTTTGTTATTTTGGGAAATTTGAGGATTCTCATCGGAAATACGGCACGTATAAGATCATAGAAATTCGGAAATGATTCAAAGATTGTGCTATAAATCTATAATTGTTACTTGTGAATTTAAAGAAAACCTTAATTTTTCGGATTTTGCTTCTTATCTCGTGCGTAACTTTAGCTGTCATAAACCGATTAATTTCTGATCTTATAAATACCTATATATGTATTTGTACAAGACTACTAATTAATGTGGGTTTATTTAAATATTTTTAGCTGATTGTGCTCGCGTTCATAAAAACACATTTATAAAACCATATTTGAAATATAACTAGAAGCATGGGAAAGTTTTTGAAATGACCCAGAGATAAGCCGCTAATATTTTTAAATCATCCTTGGAAAATTCCACAAATCAAAAATTCACAAATGTAATCTATAAATGTGTTCGCATATACATAAATCATTTAAAACTCTAGCAACCACGCCGGTGGAGATTCCATGTCATTTACTTACGTGTCGCCGTCGTCGTTTTGTTGATAGAACTGCTCCCAGGCGTTCATGATATTAATGCTGCTGGGCGGAGCGGATGATGTTGCTCCCGTTCCCGAAGGATTCGCGTTCGCCGTGCTGGCTGTGGAGGATTGGACCTTGCTGCGGCCGGTGATTTGGGTGCTGCTGCTGCTCTGGCCGAGATTGTTGAGCTGTTCGCCGCGACTGACCAAATGGCTTTCGACGGTCCATTGTGGGATGCCTGTGTCCGCGCTGTGTTTGAGTCGCATTGAATCGGCGGTGGCAGTGGTGGTGTCCTGGTGCTCCTCCTCCTCCTCTTTCTCCTGCTCCTGATCCTCTTCTTCGTCGATAATACCGGAATCAAGGACAACGGGCTGTTCCTTTTGGGTTGCCGACTCCTGCTGATCCTTATCCTGCTCCTCGCTATCGGGGACTATCTCCTCGGGGAAGATCTGCGAGGATTGCGGGCCGGAGATGAAGCCCGAATCACTGGTTTCGTTTGGCACGGCAAATTCCTTTTGCTTGTTAATGGCGGCCGTTTGATCTTGTGTTTTGCCGCCAATTTTACCGCTAGTGGCTAGTGGGGACGAGGGGTTAGCCGCGTTTATGGGGCCGCGCTGCTCAACACTGGCAGCGCTGCAGCTGCAGTCACTTGTTGCTGTTGCCTTAGTTGCTGCCTCCGCTGCTTTTGTTGGGCTCGGCATTTTCGTGCTTTTCCTCTCTCAGTTGGGCTAAAATATATGTATATATGTTATATATATACTCCTGTCGTTTTGAACTTTGCTTTTGAGCTCAGTCTCTCAAACACACATACACACACACAGTAAGCGCTCACCTCGCGGGTGCGAGTGAAACAAACATATAGGCTTAAGCGAACAAGTGAAAACGCAATAATTTTAGTAGATTAAAGGCATTCTATGAACTTATGTACAAATGTAGACACAGAAACATAAAATTACGGTTTCATACTGGTTCACAATTTTCGATTTTTCAATCTGCTCAATGTGTTATTTGCCTTTTCACATTTGTTTCACCCACACACACCCACAATCACACACAGAGGTCGATTTTTGATCTCCCTTCTCACACAGCTTCCTTTTAGCTATTTTTTTCTGCACAGATTTTGTGTTATTAACTGCGGCACTATTTTCTATTGATTTCTCACTACCTTGCTGGTTAATTGTCTTGCGAAGCTGGCTTTAAAACGCGTATTTATGGTTTATATGTTTGTAATCTGCAATTCGCATAGTACCCGGACGCACGTCTGCTTTCTTTCACGTCTCGATAGCGAATGAAATCGAGGGAGCGCGCTTATATGTATATATTTATAAGGCAGTCTATACTGTGAAGCCCCGTTTACACCATGGGTTATTACGATATGAAGTTGGTTCGATTTTAATTCTCTTTACCTTAAAAACTTTTAATGGTAAGAAAATCGCCTCTGTCATATTTTCTACTGATAAAAATAAAATAAAATAAAATGCGACTATTAAAGAGTGCTAAATTCAAACTTTTTATAAAAAAATGGAGCGATGGTGTAATCGGGGCTTAAATCAGCTTTATATGTGTTTGTGAGAGAGCAATCTGATGTTATATGTTAAATGCGTATGACGACGAGGCGGAATTCTCCCGATTACCGAACGGAAATAAGATGCAGGATTCTTTCGTTGGTTTTTCATAGATCTGCTGAAATCTCATCTGAATTTCAGGGGATATTCTGAGCGACCGATTTGTCATAAGCTCTTCTTCTGGGATTTTTTAATAATCAATCACATCTACGGTTTATCGCTAGGTCAATAAATATTTTATAGAAGAATATTTTGGTTTTTACAAAGTGGTATTAATTAAATAATTCTCTGAACCCTAGAAATATAGGGACTTTACAAGCTTATCAGAAACTTCCCATAAAATACAATGTGTCAAAGATACTTTTATAAGTTTCAATGGTTTTTATATATGAATATATACGGTTTAAAACCATTTTATTTATTGCATTGCATTTAAAGTTAAAGAGCTTTCTTTAACATATCTTTATAATCATATATTCTTTAATCATATATTTTAAAAATTGCGGGTCACAAAGATTTTTAATAGAACCAGCAGCTGTACAACTACTAAAAATAAGTTGGCAGCACTAAATGGCCAATAATATAAATAGTTCCACAAAATCTTAAGCAGAGGAATATATTGCCATCAAGGATCAAGGACATCAAGGGATGCTGAGAAGGATGAACACCATTAGTGGTCAAGGTCTGGCCGCTGTGGTCAAGGAGCTGGAGAACTATGCTCCGACTTCATGGGCGGAGAAGTGGGACAACGTGGGACTCCTGATTGAACCACACCGCGAAAAGCAAATCAAGAAAATACTATTAACTAACGATTTAACCGAGCCCGTAGTGAACGAAGCGCTGGAGAAGGAGGCACAGCTCATAATCAGCTATCATCCACCCATTTTCAAGCCCCTGACAAGGATTACGCAGTCACATTGGAAGGAGCGCGTGGTGGCCGCATGCTTGGCCAACGATATAGCCTTGTACTCACCCCATACGGCTTGGGATAAGAAGAGTGGTGGGGTCAACGACTGGCTGTCTAAGGCAGTGAATGTCCTAAACATTCGCCCTCTGGAACCGGAGTTGGGTGCTCCTCCGGGTACGGGATCCGGTAGATATGTTGAAACAAAAATGGAGCTTTTCCAGGTGGTGCAATCTTTGCAAAAGCATATTGAGAACAGCGTGCACGTTGCTTTAGCTGTGGGCCACAATCCCAAGACAGTCATCCAATCCGTCGGCATTTGTGCCGGTTCTGGAGCATCTCTACTGAAGGGTATCCAAGCGGATCTAATCATCACCGGCGAAATGTCCCATCACGAAGTTCTGGATTTTACTCACAACAAAACAACCGTCCTACTCTGCAATCACAGTAATTCGGAAAGAGGTTTTCTCTATGAGTTTTGCCAAGTATTGGCTAATTCCCTTAATGGACAATGCCTGGTATATGTATCTGCAGTGGATAAGGATCCTTTGGTCACCGTGGCTAGCGATGTAAACAAAGACCTGAGTGAATTTGTTGACGTCTACAAACATTAAGCAATGGATATCAAAAGAACTGCAAAGTTGTAAAATGTAAAGTTCAACTTTATACCTTTGATCTTAAAAGCATTTTTGTTTGTTTAACAATGCATTTTCTGGCATCCACAAAAGATTACAAATAAACTAAAGGATTTAACTTTCTTAAGTTCTAGACTTGATCCAGCTTAAACTTTCCGCCCTTGCTGGCGGCGTCGTTTCGATTAAGTTGGTATAGTAGACGCTGCTCCAGATGCTTTACTGCAGCCACTGTCAGCACCAAAGTGTCGTGCTTTAGCATAGAATACACGTTTAAGCCAAAGGTTGGCATCAAGTTGACATAGCCAAGATCATCGCTGGCCTGGCAAATATTGGCGGGGAACATATGATCTCTGTAAAAATCAGAATCAATATGTTGTATGAATATAGAACAACCTACAAGAAGTACTCACTCGTCTACAATCAAAACGGAAGGTCCCCAATTCCGTTCGGCGATTAAATCCTTAAGGAACTCTGCATCCCCGGTGGGTATGTCCACACTCTCGATGATGTGCAGATCATCCTGCGCTAGCTTAACACTCAGTGTGGAGGTCAATCCCAAAACCCTCTTATAGAAGGGCAGCATGTAGAAATGGGTCGTGGGCGACCTGGGGCCGTGCACCACGCCACCGCCCTTGAGCATGGGCGATCGAAGGGAACCGTGGCGCGCCCGACCTCCTCCCTTTTGGGGCCACGGCTTCCGGCCGCCACCGCGCACCTCGGCTCGGGTTTTGGTGTGCGCCATGCTTACATAACGATACTTGCGCTGCCACTCCACATTCTCTTGTATGATGTCCACCCGCGGCTGTGCGGCAAAGATATCAGGATGCAGTTCAATTAAGCCCACTTTGCGCTCCGCCACTGCATCCGTATTCTCTATCCACGCCTGGCGCGCCGTGCTCCTGCTCACCGGCAAGCAATCTGTGTAATCTTGCGGCAGAATCAGAGGTGATCCCGCCGCCGGAGGTGCGGACACTGCCGCTGGGGCTTCGGTCACCACATTGCATTGGTTGCTGCTGCGGCTGAAAGTCCTGGCCACGGGATAAAGCACCTGCCTGGATGTTTTTAAAATATTGTTCAACATTTTATTTTGCAGGCTGTGTAGCTTATCGATAGGTTAGATTAAACATTGGCACCTTAACGCCTTATATCGATTACTTGAAGAATGCTGATATCGATGTGTAGACTACATTGCGACACGAAAATGTTTGAAATGTGTTCAAACTCATAGAACACATAGTGACGAAACGCACCTGTTTGTATGATGCCGACTACTTTTAGCAGATAAGGCTTTTTGATACATCATTCTAAATAAAAAGTTGTACAAATTAAATGATTAAGCGGGAAAATTTGAAAAACTTATACTGAACATTGAAGCGAAAGTTAAAATGTTTAAAATTTTTGTTGAAGAAATCAATTTTTATTTAATCATCCGTCTAGTTTAAGTTCCAAATGAAATGCAAAAGTCGTTGTGAGAGCTATACATAAACAATGCACAGCAAACGAATAAATCGCGTAACCTTAAGTGCTATAGATATACTTAATTTCAAGCGTATGAATGGCATTGTGTGTAATCTATCACGTTGCCAAAGGATTGGCATGTATGGTTACTCCATTGATCTTCTTGTCCACATGGGGGCGATAGTTCTTGGGATTGACGGGCAGCTTCTCCAGTTCGTCCAGGGCATCGAATCCATCAATCACACGGCCAAAGAGCGTGTACTTTAGGTCAAGATTTGGCTGGGCGGCATATGTAATAAAAAACTGGCTGGCATTGGCGTTGGGTCCGTTGTTGGCCATGGAAACCATTCCTCGATCAGTGTGCTGAAGAATTAAGGGTTTGATATTTAAAAGATGTTGCATTCAACAATATGCCCGTTAAAGCCAGAATACAGGGTACTTATTAAAGCCAGCCGGCTTGGCCCAACAGAAAAGTAGTTTTTCTGGAAAAACCGTGGTAACCCGCTTACCTTGATGGTCTCCTTGAATTCATCGTCGAACTTCTGGCCCCATATGGACTGTCCATTCTTTCCGGTGTTGGAAGGATCCCCAGTTTGGACAATGAATCCCTTTATGTTCCGAATGAAGACGCAGCCGCTGTAATAGTCGCTGGCGCACAGGGCGAGGAAATTTTCGCAGGCCTTGGGGCAGGCATCGCAGAAGAGCTCTATTTTGAGGTCACCCACGTCGGTGTGCAGCGTTACAGACTGTTAATTACATAAAAAATGTGGTAAAACTAGAAGAAATCAGAATTTACAACTTTTGTTTACCATTTTAAAAGAGCTTGTGCAGCCCTCGTCTCGCCAGGCAGTGGCTCCGTCAACAATAACAGGAATCGATAACACCATCATTTGGTATTCCCATGGCAAAAGGTCACACTTTTAGGCGCGAACTCTGCCGCATAAAGTAATTTTTCTCTTCGCACTTCAAGCAATCAACGGCGGCCAATTAAGTAAATAGGATGAAGTGCAAGATACCCGAGATCTCGTGGCACAACCGCGATCCCGTCCTAAGTGTGGATATACAACAAAATGGCCTGGGACTGCGCTCTCCGACGATCTGCCGACTAGCCTCTGGTGGATCGGATGCCCATGTCCTCATTTGGTATGTGAACCGAAGCGATGATGCCGAGGGCGTGGATGTGGACCTGGCCGCCGACCTATCACGGCATCAGCGTGCTGTCAACGCGGTCCGCTGGTCGCCGAACGGTGAACTGCTGGCCTCCGGAGATGATGAGAGTGTGGTCTTCATCTGGAAACAGAAGGCAGACCACGAAGTTGTCAACATTGTGGACGCCGATGGCTGCAGTGAACAGGACAAGGAGGTCTGGATGACCCTCAAGGTTCTGCGCGGTCATTGCGAGGATATCTACGATCTCAGCTGGGCGCCAAACTCACAGTTTCTGGTCAGCGGATCCGTGGATAACACAGCGATGCTATGGGATGTGCACAGTGGGAAATCAATGGCCATTCTAGATGACCACAAGGGCTACGTACAAGGTGTGGCATGGGATCCCTGCAATCAGTACATCGCCACCATGAGCACAGACAGGTAAGCAATACAGTCCTAAATAATGTGTTCGAACTTCAACCAAGTGGAGTATAATTTCTTTTAGACAAATGCGGATATTTGATGTCAATACCAAGCGAGTGCTGCACCGAGTCAGCAAGTGTGGGCTTCCAGTAAAAGAGAGCCATGAGATGCACGGCAAAAGCATACGATTGTACCAAGATGGAACCTTGCAGACCTTCTTCCGCCGCTTATGTTTCACTCCCGATGGCAAGTTGCTTCTTACGCCGTCAGGAATTACCGACTACGATGGTGTTGTGAAACCTATAAACACCAGCTATGGGTTTAGTCGCTACGATTTGTCCAAACCCGCCTTTGTGCTGCCCTTTCCCAATGAATACGCGGTGGCTGTTCGCTGCTCTCCGGTTCTGTACCGTCTGAGACCGTACAATGCGGAGAAGAATTCTCCGATCATTTCGCTGCCGTACCGCATGATCTATGCTGTGGCCACAAAGAACTCTGTGTTCTTCTACGACACCCAGCAGCCGGTGCCGATTGCCATTGTCTCCAACATCCACTACAGCAGGCTCACGGATTTGACCTGGTCGAGGGACGGCACCGTCTTGATCGTGTCCAGCACCGATGGCTACTGCTCACTGATTACCTTCGAACCGACCGAGCTGGGCGACCGCTATGAAGATATGGAAGCAGTGCTGAGCGTTGTTCTAAAATCTTCGGAGAATATGCCGGCGCAGAAAAAGAAGAAGCAAAAGCTCCGTAAGGTATCGTCAGATGAAGTGACAGCTACACGGAAACCACTGAAGGAAACATCGAAACCGAATACAATCGGAAAGACTTCAAGATCAGGTATCAAAGACGAAGGGACACTCGAGCTGGATGCTGAAAACGACTCTTCAACGCACAGTGTCAGTTCGTCCAACACGAACAGTCCCAAGACAAAAGCCAGTGAAGAGGTGAAACCTGCTCCCATCGCCATCAGGCGTTCGCCCCGTAAAAATTCGACTACACCCATGCCGATTGCTATACGCAGAGCTCCGCGTAAGCTGGAGGATAAGGGGGAAATCGAAACAACCAAGACCAAAGGAGAAGCTGAAGTAACTCGCACAAAATCAACTCAAGTAAAGAAAACAGAGGCATCACCAGTCAAGCGCAAAATGAGCACAGAGGTAGTGCCTCCAGCAGAGACATCACAGCCGGCACTTGGAGTGATTCCGGTTATCGACAAGGAGATCATTAGTTCTGATGAGAAGTTCGAGTCGCCTGAGAAGAAGTCCCGACCCGCAACACCAATTCAAGTGCGTCGCCAGCCACGAACTCCTGGCAGCTCCAGCCATTTCAATCTGACGCCGAATAGCCAACCCGCCAAGCAAGCTACTCCCATTGCAGTGAGGAGAACTCCACGCGTACTCATCGAAATGCCGATCAACTCGCCTGTGGTGCCAATGGAGGAAGCCATGGATGCCTGGCCCCTCGATGAGGGCATCACACCCCTGCCACCGACAGAAAAGGTTTCTCAAAAACCCTTGCCGGAGATCACAAAGACGGAAACGAAGCCTGCGGTAATAGAAGCCAGCGAGGCCACCTGCGAGCGAACTGAGGACATTCGTTTGGTCTACGAGGATACGCAGGAAGAAACGCCGCAAAACCGCACTGATACGGGGCCATCCACGCCAAACAACAAGACGCCTCGTCGGGTGTCCTTGCGAACCATATCCACGCCCAAATCAAAAAAGAAACTTTTAGAGTAAATAATGCAATAGATTAGACGTAGCATATGTATGTTAGAGGAATTCCTGAAACTGGTTAAGATATTAAGGCACTTTGGGGTTACCCCATAGAAATTTGTATAAAATAACCATGATTCTTTCTAAAACAATTCCAAAATAAAAGGCAATACCCTTGTTTAATTGTATTGCTTTGGATGGAAACTTAATTCACCTGGTGGTTTTGCAGGGTCTTAAAAACGAAAATCATGACCTTCAGCTAAAACACCATGTAAATTGTACAGTTACAGTAGTTACTATATCTACATTCACTGTTTTCCCACCTGTGACAATAATCATCTAATAAGTTATGTGACTGTACTGGTCGACTGTACCCCGAAAAACATCAAATTCGAACTGCTTTAAGTGGGCTGTTCTACCTGATCCTAAGTTTAGGTTGCTTGAATTTGAACAGCGACGTCTTTTTAGAAAAGTCTTAAAATTTATTTTCAATCAGGTAATTATTTTTGTGCCAAAATTTCCAGGAATTTGAAACTATTTATAGCAAGCAAAAACACATCTTAGAATTGTGAAGATCGTACCTCAAGGCACAAAAATTCTGATTTTATTTTCCACTACGAAAATACGATATAAAAAACTAATTTACTCCGCATGCTTCATGAGCGGGTAAAGTGTCTTGCTATGCAATCTGTCAACCCAGTAGATTGATCTCACTCTTTATTAAAAAACAAAAAGCTTGTTTGGTTTTATTTATATTTATTTAAATTGTAGATGATCTCTAACGTTTTGAGTGTCTTTTACATACAAACATTTTGGTTTACTTCAGTTTTTATATCATTATTTTTATGTTTTATATATTATTTGTATTTTTTAATTCAACGATTCAAATTCATTCATCATGTTCGAGCTTAGTTAGCTCCATGGGCCATTAGCTACACTACATCCACGTGGTCATTAGAGAGAGAAAAGGAGCTCAAGAATTGAGGAGAATTATGTTTCCACATACGTTAATATAGGTAAGTATATAAATAGTTAAACAAATCTGATCTGCTGCATGGGACAACCAAAGCATTTTTTAATTAGGCTACAAATTAGATTAGATACAATCTGTAAACTTTGTCTAACCTATACTCTTGGTTCCACTGGCCATCTCCTTTTTTCCTCCAGCTCCTCTTAAAATGCCAAAGTTTGGTATTTGCCACTCACAAAAATCGTGTGTCTGAATGTCCTTGGACATTTGATTCGAAGTAATTAACATTACCGTTGTTAGCTCTTTATGGATTTCACTTATAAATGTTTTAACTGCTATTAAAGTAATTGTAGTAGTGGTGCGACTTGCGATTTTATGAGTTATGTGGGTGTGTGTGTGTGGAGCAAAGAGGTGTATGAGGTTTAGAAAAATATGAATTATGTTTGATTCCATTTCCGTTCCATTCTATTCTATTCCGTTTAGTAGTGAAAATATGCAAAAAGTTTAGTCGATATAATGCGGTTAACACTATGCTGTACTATATGATCGAATGTTGCTATTACTGGAATGCTGGTTTCATTACTTATTTAGTTTTGCGATCTTTGTTGATTCGAAAGTTGAGCGACGTTGAGGAGGTAAATTATAGTCGCTACCGTATGAGTATTCGATTAATAATTATTTACGAGAAAAATATAGTACATATGTATGTATGTATGTTTTGTAGCAATTTGTTGTTCTCCCTTTACTAAATATATTTATTTAAATTTATATATCTGTATATATAGACCGACCTTGTTTACTTTTGTCTCGAAGGTAAATGAATAACTTTCTTGTTTGTGGCTTAATTAAATTGTCAATAAATATATCGATTTGGTATTTATTTATAGTTACATACAATTATTAAACTTTTGTGTTCTTGTTCTTTTGCATTACTGGTCAAATGACTACACACTGATCGTCTGCCGTGTTTTTTTTTCTTGTTTATTACCCCAAATTCAAAGCCAGCAGCAACTACATATATGACTACATATGTAATCTAATTCATGCAAAACCTTTTGCTGGCTGTTAGGAAATCATGAAACGATAACGAAAATAACAAAATTGCTGTTGGTTTTTGTTTTTGAATAAATAGTTTTATTTGAAAATGGTTTTTGCGTTTTTGTTTTTTTCTTTTTGGTAGAATTTTACAAGTTGAATGGAAATACATACGTATTAAATATTACAGTATTTGATTGGGCCAGGATATAGTAGAGAGGTCGGGTGGGGTCATGGAAATGGGAAAGTGTTGGCTGGCCAAAGTAAATGCGTAGAAGTGAATGTTCGCTGATCGGTATATAAAATCTTGGAATTGTACGGACTTTGTGGCCAACACGGTTTTTGAAAAGTTTCACTGGATCTGCTGGGGTGTCCAATAAAAAGTCGAAACGATGTCGTTTAGCTTTTTTCTTTTTCAAATTGTCCTTACTCTTTTTTTCTTTGTTCTTTTTGAAGGTTAAATAATATTTATTTTGCTAATAAACTTACTTAGTTGATGTTTAAGTTGTGTGTGTTTGTGTGCGTTTACATAAATTAGACTTAAAAACTATAAAACATAAATGGATTTCCGTCCAACTAGAGCAAGAGCACAAGTGGGGATATTTCCGTAAAGGAGGAGGAGGAGGTGGAGGAGAGAAGTAGAGAACTGGGCAGATACAAAAGAAATACTATTAAAATAACAATATAAATTCATTGCAGCTAAATCGTCATGTAAAATCAAAATGCACAAAATACATACATACAAAGCATATACATAATAATTATAATAATAAGTCTAATCAAACAATTCAACATACTCGGGGTTAAATGCCATTCGCTAGATACAGTCACATACATTGTAGGTACATGTATGAAGATGTTTTATCATTAAATGTAGAATTTATAAATTATTATATTATTACATACAATCCTTAGTTTCATTGTGGGAGATTTGAGTTCTGCGTTCCATTCATTTTGATTCATATTTTTGTGTGTGGGTGTGCGTAGATATGGCAAAAATATATAGCATGCTTTTGTGCGCCGCCAAAGTTGAATTGCGTGTTTGATCTTCGCTGATTTGCCTTGCTCCTCGAATAAATGCCACAAATCATTGTAAGTTACAACAAATCAGCTTAATAAGTGAAGGAAATTATATTTAGTTTGTGTTCAGTATGCGTTTGTGTTCGTGTTTGCTTGTTGTTTGTGTGTTTGCCAGCTAAACTTCTCCTATACACGTAAACTCAACAAAGTACAATTTACATTGAAATATATCAATCAATTATCGATGGCTGCTGCTACTGCTGCTCTTTACATAAGTTAGTTAAGTGGCCACATACGCTTTGCTTTACTTGACTCTTATCTGGATTTTAGTTTAGTTTTGCTTCGTTTTTGTTCTTGTAAATACAATAGATAGATTTTATATCCGTTTCATTTATCTTTAAATTTTACTTAACGTTAAAGATTTTGCTTTTCATATATTATGTTTTCTTTTCCTCGTTTCTTTTGTTTTTTTTTTTTCTTTTGGTTTGGTATTTTATATTTACTTTAGCCCACACGCTGACACTCAATCAAATGAATATTGATATTTCCTTTGCCGCTGGATTTTGTTGAAACTTTCGAACTTAAGTCTAAACAAGCATGACAAATGCAGAGCGTTGATGGCATGAATAATTTTAAAGAGAGATTGCAACAGGAAACATTTAATATATAATATTTATATATATGTATATATATATGTATAGAAGTGTATGTATATATATATGCGGTATATGTAGATATACGCTCGTTTGGTTTTTGTTTTAATAAATACATGAGGAAACTAAACTACACATAAATTATGAAATTCTATAAAAATTATTCAGACCAAACAACAACTGTATGCAATGCTGGCGCTTGTGTATGTCGAGTGAGTGTGTGTTAGTGTCATGTCGTACATGTGGCTTTGCATAATGCATATGTATGTGTTTTGTATATGTTTATATATAGGAAATGCCTTTCAATCAACTGCCTTTTTTCAGATGTGACTTTAATCGCGTGTCCCAGTGTCAGTTGCCTGCCGCCTCACTATCATTGTCGCCCTGATAATCATTAGCATTGTGTGTATCTGCATCTGCATCTGCATCAATATTATCGATATTATGTAATGTACTTGTCGCTCATTTCCCCTATAACATCCATTCGGGATTTGCGTCCATCCGCCGTTTTTTTTGTTAAACAAATAAAAGTTCTTTGGGCTTTGCTTGTTCAGTGTCCTATGTTGTCTGTGTGGTTGCGGTTGGTTGGTTCTATCATCTGCTCCTAAATTGTTTGGTTTTTGATCAATGCTGGTGGGTTGTTGTGCTCCCGCGCTGCTCTTTAATACCGTTACGGTGTTCCCTGCTAACGCCCCCATTCTGCTCCACATAATCGTCATCATCATCAACATCGACTCGGCCTAGAATCCATCTTAGTACAGTCCACAGCCGCGCAGGTTGTTTGCTATGATGACATCAGTGACAGCATCGAATACAAACTGAATGTTATTGGTATCTGTGGCACACGTCATGTGGCAGTAGATTTCTTTTGAGGTTGATTTGTTTTTCGCTTCAAATTGAGCCTGAATGTAAGCAGCCGCCTCGCCGTACTCCTGTCCACCTGAAATTTTCAAATATAAGATTAGTAAACGGCATACAACCGAGTTTGGACGGACCACTCACCTGTGTATTCGGGGAAGCAGATCGTCAGGGGACTCTTGCGAATCTTCTCCTCGAACAAATCCTTCTTGTTCAGGAACAGAATAATCGAGGTGTCCGTGAACCATTTGTTGTTACAGATCGAGTCAAACAGTTTCAGCGACTCTTGCATGCGGTTCTAAAACGATTAAGATATCAAAGTAGTGAGATTTGTGTACAGCAAGTAGTATAAAGGTATCAGACTCAATCCTACCGTGGTTTCATCCTCATGCAAGACTTGATCGTACTCGGACATGGCCACGCAGAAAATGATCGCCGTGACATCTTCGAAGCAATGTATCCATTTCTTACGCTCCGAGCGCTGTCCGCCCACGTCAAACAATCTATAAGTTTAAAATATGACATTATCAAAAAGATGCATCCTCTTAAATCAGACGTGTTTACTCACTTAAAGTTGAGGTTTTTGAAGGAGAAGTGTACCTCAACGATGCCAGTGGTCTTGACGCGAGTACGCAAGATATCCTGTTCAGTTGGCTGGTAATCCTTGGCGCCTAACCGATCCAAATCGTCCAGGAAACTGCAAGGAAATGGTACAAGGGGAGAGTGTTACAGCCCAAGGAGCTAAATCATTCCATTTCCCATCACACATCGTTTGACCAGACAAATGTTTGTCCAACCCTTCCACCCGTCCATTCTCAATTTTCCGCCCGTAACTGCCAAGACTTGAGCAAACAATTAAGGCGCAGACCAAAGCGCTGAGCAAACAATTAAAAATAAAAAAAAACCTGAGCGCGCGCGTGTCGAGACCAAAGGGAAATGGGAAATGGGGAAAAGCCGCCGCACACACACTTACACAGCTCACTTGGCTATGCAAACAGCTTTCCCTGCAGAAAGTAGCCATTCAAAATGATTCCTATTTCCGTGACTTGTTCTGGTTCTAATTTCCGTGCATACAAGGCATATTTGCATATTTCCCATAATAGTTTTATTTGCCGGTTATGTAACCGTCACCCAACCAAAGGCATCTGTCAGATACAGATGGAGGCGTTCAGATCCATATACAGAGTCTGCGTGCTCGGGAGCAAAAGCGTCAACAAGTAGGTCATCAAAGAGAGGCCACCAGTGAGTCCAGTCGCCAGTTATATGTGTGTTTTGGGGCCATAATTAACGTGGGGCACGCAATGCCTTAAAAATAAAGGGCTCTGCGGAAGCTAATGTTATTTGTTGGACAGGTTTTCTTCGGGTAGTAAATAGTTTTTTGAGGCCGGTCGAGGAATCTGCGCTTGTTATCGCATCAATCTCCGCTTGACTTGCTCTTGTGCTGAAATCGGATGCATTGGTCAACTGGTTTTCGCCCAAATTACACGCACAATTGCCCAACAAGTTGGCCAAAGTAGGCAGCACCAGCAGCAGCAGCAGTAACTTAAGAAATGGCCATGCGTCTTCCCCACAGGGAAATTGGTCAAGTCATGCTCGCCCGACATAACCGCAAAGTGCCAACTTTCTTGCGGAAAAGTTGGAGGTATGGTAAACTGCATAATCAAAGCTAATGCCCGATATTCGTTACAATTTCCTAGACAAACGTTAATTGAACGGCTGCAAACGGATCCGATGGGTTCGCCGATTGGGCAATAGCTTGGTTAGCACTTGGCTGCCCGAGATCTTATTTAACATGTCCATCACAAAAGTTTTCTTTTCTGTTTACTGATCCAAAACCGCAGACACACATGCAGCTGTAATTCGTAAGCCCGGAAAATGTGTTGCAATGTGTGGCATGTGCCTGAGTTGTGGTTTCTTGAAAGTGGATCATAGACCTGACAAACAAATTGCAGGGAAAGTAAGCTAGAGATTGAAAAATTATGCTTGCTTTGACGAGAGAACAGAATCAGAGAATCAGAGAGTCAGTTTAAATACTTTTGCAATTCCCTATTCTAATATTTTTAAATATTTGTAATCAATTTGTATGAATTGCTTAAAGGATTAAATATTCTTATATAAAAAGTATTACTCCCACGTATTATTATACTTGTTTAAAGTATTTTCAATTCAGTACTAAGCCTAGAGAGGCTTGCCGAGAAATTTAAAAACAAATCTCCAAACATTTGACAAATTTAAAGTTTCCTAAATCCCTGAGAAAACTATTTTTTAAAATTGGCCAAGCCCTTCGTAGCTGAACTAAATGAAGAACTCCTTCATGTTGTTTGCACCTCAGCCTTGTTAATCAATTCAGCTGACTTATGCCAGATAAGTAAAGCCGTCATGCGAAATTTATTTGCCGGTTTCCGCTGACTATTGTTTTACTAGCTTTTATGGCCTTTTCAATTAAGCGATTTGCGCGCAATTTAGCCCAGCGAATGGGTCGTTAGTCCCAGCAGTGTTTTATAATAAATTATTTATTTTACATAACCCTCAAACCACGAACCTCCTCCGAAACTCGTCAGGGCCCTCATTAATGTCAATCAAGGGAGTACAAGTTGTTATATGTATATTATCACGAACTTTTCCTTTTTGATTGCGATTATTAGGCACTTTCAATTTCGTATGGACAAATTGCGTTATTTATAACAGAAAACCAAAGCCCCAGTTTCTGGGCAATAAAGTTAGCTGCTGCAGTGGCACCAATTAGCACACATACCATAAGTGACAAAACCAACAGAAACGAAAAGATTGCCGATCGGCAGTTGGTGTGGCTATAAGCGTATGGCGTATAGTGTATAAGTAGACTAAGAAGCCCGGCGATCGCGTTTAGTGCGTCGCGGTTGGTCTACGAGGCAACAGCTCCAGACTATAGAGCTCCATTCACAGCTCTCGGACTCGGATTCGGATTCGGAATACGTTTCGGTTTTGGTTGCGGTGGTTTCAAGTCAGAGATACCGCAGATAAACTTCGCGTTGCGTGACAAAAGACCTGGCGAATCTCCCCGCCTATTCAAGTGCCTGTGAGCGAGTGAGTGGGATATTGGCCACAGCAACAATAGAAATCCACACAACAAAAGGCATTAAAAGCTGTTTTTAATTGTGCACCAACGGATTGAAAGTGTTTGGAAAACCGAGACCGCCAAATAAATTAAAACTAAAACTGAATCGGCAACAAGTTGATTGAAAACCCAACCAACTGGCAGTGCAGGCCGGGAAAAACGCTTTTAGCCAACTAATAAACTAAAAAAAAAACACAAATCAAACGTACAAGTGAGTTTTCCTCGAGAGGTGTTTTCCCAATGCAATTTGGGCGTGTCAAGTAAACTAGTTGCACTCTGAAAAGCATTCAGTCAACTTGGCTGTCAAAGAAATCAACGTTTAGCGTGAAAGGCCAATTTGATAATACCGGAAAATTGATGGGGGCAGAAAGAGTATCAAGTATTTAATAGGAGGCTCTTGAATGCAAGTGGTGTAAAATAAATCATGAAAAATAGCAAAACTCATAAAATTTCTACTACAATTTGCATTGATTAACGGGTATGTAAACAAATAGATAAACATTAAATGCAATCTCAAATAGGCGATAAATAATTTGACAAATTTTTAGAAAAAAAAAAAAAAAAAACAATTATCCGCATAAAAGACAAATTAAAGTGATGAAAGTGAGTTTTCCCAGCTGCATTTTACCAGCACATTAGGCAAGCTGGCTAAACTAGTTGTGCCTCGAAACTTGGGCTACTTGGGCTACTTTGGCGGCGTGAAAGCCAACTTGAATATGCGTTTTGGCCACACCTCGAAGGGCGAGTCGAAAACCAATATCCAACTGATTTGCCAAGATGTCGAATGCCAGCGAGAGTGACATAATCGTTTTGGGATCTTCCGACCACCTTTGCTCATTTAGCAGCTGAATGCTAATAGGATTCCTTTCGATTTCGTATTCATTCGAGCGTGAATTTAACGCCACCCAGCTGTCCTCCTACCAAATCCCCCGGCGCAACCCACTACTGTTTGGAACAATGGCCATAAAAGTCAACGACAAGTTGCTGCTTGACATTTCTTCTACATTACTCGCAGGCGCTAGGATTATCACTCAAGTTCATTATAACCGCCTGGGCGATAAAACCGCGCTACATATACACATGTATATATACATATGTATTTCAGATAGTTGTTGTTGGTAGCGCTCGAGAGCCTCGAGGTCGTCGCTTGTGCGACAAGGGCAAGGATAAGCCGCTCTGCTCCGCTGCCATTGTGGCGCACAAGTGTACACAAAAAATGAAGGCAAACAGAGAGAGAAATGAAAAGAATAATGGCGGGCTCAGCCCAGCTAACTTTCTGAATTCGGGTGCGCAGATTTGTGTTTCATCAAATTTTCGGCATTTAAATTATATTGCCTTTCGGGGAGCAGGCGCACAAAAAGTCTGAAAGCAGCAGCCCAGTCACAAAAGTGCCACTGCCACCATTGTTCGATGGCATACGCGGCGTATGAGCAATCTTGCCTCGTTGCCACTTTTTCCGCCTGCGGTGGAGCAACTGCTCTTCATATACTAAATGCGTGTGAGCTGGCCAGTTTTGTGAAATTTTGGGGTAGAAATCAAAGTTTAATGGCACTAAGTCCAACTTAAGTTACAACTTAGGCTGTTTAAAACTTTGAAAGTACGTTTTTATGGTTAGTAAGTTCCGCAAATTGTGGCAGCCGTTTTAACTGGCTTGGTGAGTTGAAAATGATAGAATTGCCAGACTAACTGACATAGTTTTAAGATATTTTTGTAAAGTAATTATGCTATTCGATTAAGAACTTACTTTTCGTAGTTGCCGTTCTATTTCCAAGAACTATTCAAACGCTTAAAAGCACTATAAAATGTTATTTATATTGCTTCCCTTCAAAGCCTTCGTTGTATAAGACTTCGCTTTTTGCACAACAAACTAGACTTGCCCTTCATTGGGGCTACTTCAATAACTCTTCAATTTGTGTTTTCTTTGTTTGAACTCACATTGCACGAGAGCTTGTAGCTTGCTCAATTTAACGCTAGCTAACTCCGAGCCAACTTCATTATTGGCAGCAACCATAAAATGGAACGCACCAAGTCTACCCGATAAATGGGAATCCCCTGCCCCTCCTAACATGTATTCCTCTTAAGTGCTCCACCGAGATCCAAAATTCGAGGACAAGGGACAATTGTCGATTGTTTGCTCGGTTTTGTTTTGCAACCAACTCGAACTAAGTGCTGTCAGCGTCTGAAAGTTAAAATGAATATGGATTTTGCGAGTGTGCCACAATATTTGCACTCTAACCGAACGCTGTTCAGCGTTTTAGACTATAGAATCCAATGGGGGCAATTGGGGGGAGGGGAGTCGTTTTGAATAATAAACGCGAGTGGCCTTTATTTATTATTGATTGATTTTCCCGGCAAACCACTTGGAAATGCATCAAAAGTTTTGCCGCCAGGAGGAGCGAAAGCAACGCCATGAGAATCAACATAAATACACAATTTAGTTTGCCGCCGGCAGCAGATTGCTCAACTTGCTCAACTTTTTACATAATACCATTCCCCAGCAGGACCGAGTGGATCCGAGGACCAAACCGAAGATGTCGGGCTTACGCAAAACATCCATTGCGCTGATGAGGCGCTCCACATCCAGCACCACCATACTGCCGCAATCCGGGGGCGGTGGTGCGGTCTCGCCGCCCAGCAGCGGAGTGGGCGTGGCCACGGAAATTGAAAAATCAATTGCAATGCAACGGCTGCGGACGGGAGAGTCGGCGGATCTGAAGAAATTAAATGTCAGGTTTGTGATTTTCCCCACACCAAATACTTGGCTCACAGAGAAAAAACAATCGGTTACTTTTCCAGTACTTTTACTGTACATTTTGTGCTTAAGAATATTGAATTCAATAATAACACATTCCACATTGAATTCAAATAATAACACTCGCTACTTACCAAATGCATTGATATGTAACAAATTATAAATGATCTAATAATGTTTTCCTCACTGCATGCAATTTGCACTAATTGACAGCCAGCAGGCCGTTACATCAGTGGCAACAAGGAGTGCTACAACAAGCGCACTACCAGCAGAAACCACCACTTCTCCGGCGGCTGCAGTGCGTCCTTACTCGGAAGTGCCGGGTCCATACCCCTTACCACTGATTGGCAACTCCTGGCGCTTCGCCCCACTAATAGGTGAGTGGCCATTGGTTTCCGTTGCAAATCCCCGACAAGGATAACTAATGCACAACTGCATTCGACCGACAGGAACATATAAAATCAGCGAATTGGACAAGGTCATGAATGAGCTGCATGTGAACTATGGAAAGATGGCCAAAGTGGGCGGCCTGATTGGTCATCCCGATCTGCTGTTCGTCTTCGATGGCGATGAGATACGTAACATATTCAAGAAGGAGGAGGCGATGCCGCATCGGTGAGTAATGAATCAACTTTTGCCATCATCCTACGGTGGTGCAGTGCTAAATTGCGTATACGACGTGTGTGGCATGTCAGTTCGATGTGATTGATTATCTTCTGCTTGTTCATAAGTCGTGATCTTATACATATAACTCAAAACCCCATTGAGTGAATTGTTTAATCTGATTGAAGTGTTAGGCTATAAGATTATTGATCGTATTTTCAACTGTTATGGAATAGCCATTATGGAATTCGCCATTCGCTAAGCGGGGCGGCTGTTTACCCAAGATTATGCCTATGTACTGCATGGCTGCACCTGGTCTCGGTGTAACGAGAAATCCCCCACATAAATGCCGGAGCCCACGCACATGGTATAGCAAATTTATCCACCGCAAAGGCAGTCATGCATGGGCGTTTCCGACCCCCTTCCCCTTCCCGCCCAATGCAAATGCAATTGCTGTTCACTTATGCGCATACCGAATGAATGCAGCCTGTCATTAAATTATTAACTAACGAAGGCACAAAATGGCGATTGCGCCTGGGAAAGCGGATTAAGCGGGATGTGTGCAAATATGGCGACAGATTGGAATCAGAGGTAGAATTCGTACATCAGTGTAGTATTGCCTTTACTTTATCTGACTAAATAAATGATTACTTTTGGAAACCATAAGCTTTACTTATAAATATAATAAACAGACATCCAGATAAGTTGGCGTGTAAAGATGTCATTCCGATTAAAGGGCTAGCGCTTGATAAAACAAAGCCATCAAATTGAAATTAGGTGGGACTTTCACTTCTCGTTTCTATCCGATCCGTAGGCCTAGCAAACCGTGATCCAACCAAAATAAATCCAAACAACCGAACGATTCACAAAGTCCGACAAGCGTTTTGGCATCATAGAAATAAATAAAACTGACCGAAATGATGAAGGAAAGAAGTAGACAAAATGAAAAACAAATAAAACGAAAGTCACACAGATCGCTAACGTGTCCATAACTTTATAAGCTTTCTTTTCTCCGCCTTTCATTCCGCCTATCACTCGGATTTATCTGCGAGCCCAGCCATGGCCATGAACCAAATTTAACAAGTTACGCTTGTGTTTGGCATACCTCGAATCGAGTATCTTATGTATGATATGGTTTGATGGTTTGCAGACAACAACACGGATCGATAGTGAAGCGCAGACAAACCCCTATTGTTTTGCATTTGGCGAACGCGTTTAGCAAGTCATCATTAAAACGACTGCAAAGAATCACTAATAGATTGGACATGAGACAACATCAACGTAATGTTGGCTCTTTTTCGTTTTTTGACCGCCAGACAGATTGATGAATGAACCATTTGCCGGCGCAGATGTGTGAAGTTAGCTACTACTCACTGGTCTACTGGTCAACTGGCCAACTGGCTAACTGACTTATTGACTGACTGACTGACTGACTGACAGACTGACCAACTGATTGATGAAGATATTTGGCTAAGGGAAATGTACACAAGTGTGTACCAGAGGCGTCGGCTTTGTTGACTTTTTACGAGGCCCATAAAATCCGAAAAGACACCCCATTTCACGGAAAAGCATTCCGCGGCTTTGGGGCCAAAGTTCCGATCGTGACAATCTTTGGGTTCAAGTTGTGGTTACAATCTTGTAAGCTGCTGGTTTCTGGGGGTTCCCGGTTTGGTGTTCGGAATGCCTATGAAGTCACTTCGGATTTAGCGTGAAATCTTCACTCAAACGAAATTTTGTTTATTTCCGTGCTTCTTTTTATACTTCACGTCTACTAGTACAAATTTTATATACAAATAGATTTATCTTTTACAACGGAATTTACTTTTGGATAGTAAGTTGAAGGAAAAGTAAAACCGGCCTATTTTTAAACTATTGCGTTCTTCACAACTGACTGCTAAGATTGAAATTTGCATAATTCGAGGGGTATATTACCTGTTCCATAGGCATTTCAGGTTTGAGTTCTCTTGACGTTCGAAAACATACATATTTACACTTAAATCTCGCATTTAATTGAGCATTTTGTTGCCTGTGGCAACCCATTGTAGCTACGAATCGAGAAACAACAGCCAAGCCAAAGGCGGCAAATTGTTGGCTAAATTGTGGGCCAGGGTGGTGCATAAAACAAAAGCCAATAAATACGCTTCTTCTATTTGCCCAGTGACATGCGAGTAGGCAAATATAATGCAAGTTCGAGGTGGGCATACATACATAGGTACGAGTATATCTATATATATGCTTGTATATCAGAGCAACTGGAAACAAGAGTAGATGGAGTTGAATCGCTTCATTTTCTGTGGGCTGTATTACGAATTTGTGTTTGATGTTGTCGTCGCCGGTCTGTCTGCACGCAAGGGCAAGCGACCTCAAAGAGGGCGGTTGGGTGGCCAACAGGGTGCGGGGTTTTAGCCACACCACACCCAGCCATGCTCACACTTATACAGGCAGAGAAATTGGTCAAATGAGAGATAACATGGCGCTTCTTTGACTCCCCGACTGATGTTTAGTAATGCAATTTTCAATTATTTAAGGTTGTCTCTCTTTTTGGGCATATGTTTTTGCCTGAATTATGATTTAAAAGAGTTCGTACTGTGTATTTAGCAATAAAATTAATTGATCATTTAACATTTGCTCTGATTGGGCCATAATTGAATACGATTTCTGCTTATTAGGCATTTGAGAATTTTAAATGGCCATAGTAATAGAATGTCTAGCTTTAACTTGTTAATTTAACTCCCATATGCTAGTATTATTGACAACATGCTAATAGTTTTCGTTCTGTGCACTTTCCGGCATGTCCCTTTGTGAACACCCTCTTTTTATTTGCTGTGCAACCCAGACCGTCGATGCCCTCACTGCGCCACTACAAGGGCGACCTGCGACGCGATTTCTTTGGCGATGTGGCCGGCCTAATTGGCGTGTAAGTAATGTGCTTATATAACGGATATTGTGGCGGGCACATCCATCGTATTTACCAATTCTACTTTATTCAGGCACGGTCCCAAGTGGGAGGCCTTCAGACAGGAGGTGCAGCACATCCTGCTGCAGCCGCAGACCGCAAAGAAGTACATTCCGCCGCTAAATGACATTGCCAGCGAGTTTATGGGCCGGTAAGTCGGAGCCTAAGCATCCAGCTGGCGGCCAAGCTGTGATGCAATCAAAATGTACATCGATATAACTATATGTACCTATGTATACTATATATCCATCTGCAGCATTGAGCTGATGCGCGACGAAAAGGACGAGCTGCCAGCCAATTTCCTGCACGAGCTGTACAAATGGGCCTTGGAATGTAAGTTGTTGCCAATTTGGCTTTACTTATGCGATTATGACACTTTGCTGGCAAATCGTATTAAAATATTGCAACGCAATTAGGCTATAATGATTTCGAAGGACTATTGCAGTGCACTCTTGACAGTTATAAACTAAGTTTAGTTACTTCTCAAGTGTTTTTCCGTTTATTTTGTTTAGACTGTAAAGGAGAACCCATTTAAAATTACTTTGCGCTGTGAATCCTTCTAGTTAACTATTTATTAGAAGTTTTAGGGACAATTTGTTGGCTGAGCAACAAGAAAACCCATCAACTCTCCATATTCGCATATTAGAAAACTTTTAATTGGCTGTTTTAACTATTGCATTTTTTCTTGGAAACTGTAAAGCGTAGTAACATGGCTCTTCCCAGTAGAGAAACGGTTGTGTTTATAAAAAGTATGAGGAGCAGGTTTAACACAACTTTGTTAATTCATTTATGAAAACGAACTCTAGCTGTCGGTCGCGTTTCCCTGGACACGAGATTGGGCTGCTTGTCCCCTGAAGGCAGCCAAGAGGCCCAGCAGATAATCGAGGCTATCAACACATTCTTCTGGGCCGTTCCGGAATTGGAGCTACGAATGCCCCTGTGGCGGGTATATCCCACCAAGGCATATAGGAGCTTCGTCAAGGCTTTGGATCAGTTCACAGCGTGAGTCGCATAAAAAGAACGAATAATTGGGCAAATAATCACTGGATAAAATCTCTTTGCACCCCAGAATTTGCATGAAGAACATTAGCAAGACCATGGACAAGGCCGATGCCGATGAGGCTAGTGGATTGCCCAAATCTGAGGCAGATATATCCATTGTGGAGAGAATAGTGCGAAAAACGGGCAATCGCAAACTGGCTGCCATTTTGGCATTAGACTTGTTCTTAGTTGGAGTCGATACAGTAAGAAATTCTACTATATAATACAAATAATATTATTTAATGCATAAATTTATATCGTAGACCTCTGTGGCAGCCTCATCCACAATCTATCAGCTGGCCAAGAACCCAGACAAACAGAAAAAACTCTTCGATGAACTGCAGAAGGTGTTTCCCCATCGGGAGGCGGACATCAACCAGAATGTCCTGGAGCAAATGCCCTACCTGCGAGCCTGCGTGAAGGAAACTCTACGGTACGCCAGTTCTCTCGTTAATTGTGTTAAAGTGACCTCTTTGAAAGGTAAAACCCCTTTTAACCTTTTAGCATGCGACCCGTGGTGATTGCCAATGGACGCAGTCTGCAGTCGGATGCTGTCATCAATGGTTACCACGTGCCCAAAGGCGTAAGTTACCTGAAAGTGGTGACCATTTCGAGTATGAGCTCATTGGCATATTTTTTCCTTTCAGACACACGTTATCTTCCCCCATTTGGTTGTTTCAAACGATCCCGCATATTTCCCAGAACCCAAGCGTTTTCTGCCTGAGCGCTGGCTGAAGCAGTCCACAGATGCAGGTGAGTTGGATACCAAAAAGTGTCACGTAAGAGCGCTTTCGTCGAGCACTTGGCTCCTAAAAACAGTGACGGTTTTAGTGACAGACATATATTTATATATAGGAGAGCAGAAAAACTGCTTTAAAAGTACAGTTTGAAGAAATATAGTCAACGTTTTGAACGCAGCAAACACCAAACTATTAAGTATCTACCACTTATTTGTTTGATCTTGCATGGATACATATTAGATGTGTATCTAAAGACTTGTTTATGTATGTACAACGTTTTACGTAGAATGCCTAATTGTTTATTGTGCTTCCGATATACAAAAGTACAGTTTCGTGTGCAGATATGATTTATTTTCTTCACGACAGATTATATGGTGGTATATTCTGTTCCAAGTTGAATCCCATATTTTTTTCGCAGTGCTCTAACCAGATTGCCGTTTATTTTCAGCTGGCTGTCCCCATGCCAACCAAAAAATTCACCCATTCGTGAGTTTGCCCTTTGGCTTTGGGCGTCGCATGTGCGTGGGTCGTCGGTTCGCCGAAATCGAGTTACACACGCTGCTGGCCAAGGTGGGTTTATTCATGTTCTGCACCTGGCTTTGCCAAAAGTACAACCCCCTTTTAATTTGCCATTTTTGATTCCCGGCACAGATCTTCCGCAAATACAAGGTCTCGTACAGTGCCGGAGAGTTTGTGTACCGTGTGAACTCCACGTACATACCACAGTCGCCTCTGAATTTCAAGCTAACGCTGAGGGACGAGTGAGTGAGCAGTCTGCACCAAAGGGAACTGGGAACCCATGGAGCTCAAAGCTGCAGTGGCAGTGGCACACGGCGGATGTGTGATATTTATAGTCAAAGCCCAGCTGCTGCTGCTGCTTCTGCTGCCGTTGCTGTGCTTCATTTTAATTAAGCAAATGTACATGGAGCACAGTTCCGACAAATTCAGTACATCCCATCGCCATGAGCGCAGTGTAACTAAACTAAATAATCGTTGTGTATTTATGCGGATACATGTGTATATAGGACCCATTATATTTCAACATGCTTAGTAGTAGTTTTTTTCTCGAAGAATAATTGTACCCAATAAAGCGTCGAAAAGTATGCAGTAAACAGGCTGTTTCTGTTTGTTTTTCTTGCCTGGCATTATCATTAATCAAAAGCCTAGTGAGCTTAACTTGGGACAAAGTGTGATGGCTAAGGTCAAGCAAACGTCAATCTAGGCTCATGATTAATTACTTTTTAGTAAGTGTATCATTAGTTCTATTGGCTGAATTTAAGGGTTTATAACCCGAGCGATGTTAAGGCCACAAAGCTGCAAAATTCATTTTATTTTTAGCAAAGCGTACAGAAAACCCAAATATATTCAGTTTCAAAAGTAATTAAACGGGCGAATATCACGTATTCAAGAGTCATTGTGAAGAGGCTTAATATAGATGTGAAGAAAGCGCCGATAATGATATGCCAACATTTATTTTAGCCTGAAGAGCTTGAGAGTATTGCATTTCAGTGGCAAAAATGCCAAATGTCTTAGTCTTAATTTGAGCTTTCTTGCTCATTTGGCCTGCTAAACAATTACATTTAAACGTTATCAATTAGCGCCACATAAGATTTGCTATGCTTTCAAAGCAGACTACTTAATCACACCCAAATATACCATTTAAAATATGATTCAACTATTCATCAGCCGGCAACAACTCATTTGGAAACTGATTGCAAATACAGCATTTGAAATAATTCGCTTCACCATCTGCCGCATCACTTGGCAGCCCAACCAACATGGATAAACACTTGTGCGATATGGTGTGGTACTCACTATTTTGCGGAATCGTTTAGTTGGTATTCGTTGCTGCGCGAGAAGCACTCCTGGACACCGGCGTCCTGCCAGAGGCGTTTCATGGCGGCCAGCAGCTCCTCCGAGAAGGGCTCGGTGTCGTGCATGCGTTGGCACACGTCGAACACCATCTTGGCATCGCTCTGGGATGGGTGGTAAAGTGGCATGAAAATGGACAGGTTAGTGACTGTGACTGCGAATGCGACTGTGAGTGTGAATGGGGCACTCATTGGGGACTTACCTCCCGCTCGTTATTGCTGTACTGAATACTTAGGGTTGGCATCGCGCGCAATATTGCAACTAATGATTGTATTGTGTTGCTGTAGACAACCGGTCGATATTGTTTAAAGTCCTCCGCAGTGAAGCCGCTCTCGTGAATGATTTTCATCTGTTTGACTATTGTGCTCTTGCCCGACTCACCGGCACCTAGAAGAAGAAATGGTGGGAGTTAGGATTACATATGTAATGTGTATAAACAAGTATAGGGTCTTTATGCGTCTGGTTATGCTTTATGGTTATCGGCGCCGACAAAAGAGCTCGTGGGGCGGCGGTTGCAAATATTTATGCTGCGTTTAGTTCTCGAGCACTAAATGTCTGTGCTTTGTATTCCTCAAGTGATGGGCCTAATGGCCTTTGAGCACACAGAGCCAGCCAACCACCCACATCACCATCATGATTACTATCATCATCGCCGTTGTCAATGTATCATCTTGAGATGCCGTTGGGCAAAAGAAATGAGAAAAACGCAAGGGGTGTGGGTGGGGCCAAGTATAAATGGCAAACAAAGGATTAATTGTTTGGCCCTGGTCATCCGGCAACTGTATAGACTCCTTTCCTCGTGTACATCTCTATTTCATTGAGTTGTTTTTTTTCCATTGAGGCTTTGAAGGATTTGTGAGCTGCAATTCCAGCAGAATTTCCATGCAATTGAATGCAATTTGTTAATTGAGTGTCTGCTGAAGGGGGTTTTGTGATAAACGAGATAATCAAGATAGCAGGCAGCTCGGTTGGAAAATTGCTTAGCCTAGCTGTCCTTGGGAAAATGGCATAATTTGATAAATGGTAATTTCATTTGCCTATTTTCGCTGCCTACTAAGCTTAATCCTCTCTAAGAAGCTTTAATTAAAACACAATTGGTTGGCCATAAATGAAACTGCTTTATATTACTTCTAGTTTAGTGCTTATAAACTATCATATAATCATATAATAAAATACTAAGTCTTTGGAGTTTACATTATTTGAATGTCTTTATTTTCTATCGCTGCAATATTATAATGATACCAAATTAGAGGAGATCTTATTCTGGTATCTAAACATTAGTTTAACTTATGATTTCTATCAATGCAAAGTTGTCAATTCTTCATAAAACTATAATAAAGCTAGCAGTTTAAAATTATTGTTCAAGTTTCCACGAAACTCTTTTATATAAGGGCCATGTAACAGAATATAGAGTTCATTGTCCACCACTTGAAAAAGTCCACACATCTTTAAAATATCTTCGAACAGTCCACGACGTAGAGCACCTCTCAGAAAATGTTTAGATTTGGAAAACTCAAGAGCAGCGATCAGAAAATTTTCCTGGGTTGTTTATAGAGGCAATCGGGGGACTGAGTAGGCACCTGAGATTAATGTTTTGTTTGTGTGGAAATCGAAGGCAAAGTGCTTAATTTTAATGCTTTCGTGGATTGCAGGAAAACAAAAGATTCGGCAACGAAGCAGGATGGTGCTATTTTCATACGTGTTGCTCTGATTATTATTATGAATTCTTGGATGTGCACGGCATGGCAGTACAAAAAGTACAATTTTTTAAATAAACATTTCCAGTACACTCGGCATCACACACACACGCAGTGGGTGTTGCCTGAAAATGAACATTTTTATTCTGAAACACACGCAAAACTGTCAGAAACTGAAATCTTCTCCCCCTGCCAAACATTTTCGGCTTTCGGTCCGAGCAAAAGAGGAAATTAAATGAAATACCCAAAATGTAAACAGCGAAATGGGGCTGTTGGTTGGTTGGAAATATGCAGCCGGAGATGAGAGCTACTGCAAAGTATATGAAAAAAATGGATATTACTCATGCGCCCAGCTGAACGAAAAGCGAAATGCAATTTTCCTACATTTTCCGCCTTGATTAACAGCACAAATTTGGTCAATTCACATACTTTTCGCAGCGGAAACAATTCGCAAACCTTATTTATGCCGATGCAATGTCTATTTTTCATTCGGTAATGCCTCCCAGCGGACATGTTTATTACGCCCGCTTATCACAAATCGGAATCCAATTGCAATTACAATCAACTGCCATATATTATTGTACATATGCGCACACTATATCGCCCGACTTTTGCACACAAACCCTCTATTCGATTCACCCGCAAGCGAGTGACCTTGAACTTTCCGTCTGATACATGAAAAATATTATTGTGATTATTAAATTGATGGCATTTCACATTCGCTCCAAGGGAACTGTGCCAAGAAAATGGAATCACCACTTGCAGTTCCTCTGTCGGCACAATCGATATAATGTAATTAAATAATTAAATGGCGAAGTTCAGTGGGATTTATTTAACGGGTGGCATAAGTTCCACTCAGGATGACTTTCATTTTCGAGATGGACTGTTTATATTATGCTTTATTCCCAAGCAGTTCGATCATTTTTAAAAAGACCCGACTATAACTGACTATGTTACAATTATAATTTAGCAGACAAACGAATTAAAATAAACAGTTGAGAATGACGTGATTTAACTAAAAAAAAACATAGCCCTTTTAGCTAAAAACGTGTCAAAGCGAAGGACCTTAGAGTGTCCTGTCTCGCACCACAAATAGCATCGGTCAAAGGCCAAGGCTGCCATAGTGCCGAAGCTCATGTCCTAAGGACATTTCCGCGCATTTAATGAGACGCCAGGGCAGCCGCTAAGTATGCTACACTAATTTTAGCCAAGCAGCGAATTAAATATTCATGTGTATGCACACTCAGCGAGTTGGGTTACGTTCGATTCGAATTGTTTCGATTGTTCGTTCCCGGGGAAAACTCACCCAGAAGCAGAAGTTTGATGTCCTTTGCCGCCTGTATGCCGTCCTCCTTGAGATTGCGCTCGATGAGGCGACTCCTGGCGGCTGCGGCTCGCTCCTCGGCAGACTGTGCGCAGCCCATGGTGCGTATTGCCTCGACGCAAAACGTTTTGAAGGTCGTTTGGTATCGGCCAACTCAATGGCCGACTACGTTGCCAGCGAGAAAAACCAGGTGTACAACGTGCGGGGACTCGAATTTGGGGGGGGACTAAACTAACTTCGCTATCCGAGGGATTCGATCTTGTCACTAGACTTCAATTTTCAGTACGGCACTTCAACTCGATATTCGATTTGTTAATCACTTCTATTGGTTTATCAGGTTTTTGATCTTTGGATTTCTTCAATTCAATACTGCAACATATTATGTCACCAAACAATTCAGTTTTGTTTTTATCTGCGCATTTTGTTTTGAGCCGCACAAAAAGGATTCTCAAGGATACCCGATTTGACCGCTAACGGTAGAGTCTAATTGTAAACTGAAAAATTCGCATGTCCAAGAGCGAGGAAACCCGTTACTCGCTATGAAATTTGGGAAATTTTGTTGTCTTTGGCTAGGAAAAACTAGAAACTAAGAGACCCAGAAAGAGAAAGAGACTGAAAGCAGCGAGTAGAAAAGCTCTAGGCGAGGGCTTTTTGAGCCACGGAAAAATGTGTAAGGAGCTTGGATTCATTAACCAAAACTCAAAATGCGTAGAAATATGGCAAAAATCAATAATTTACGATTACTGCATGCTCATTTATTTTTATTTTTTTTTTTTGTTAATTAGTTTCATTTTTAATATTTGCTTTTTATTGTAAAAGGAGCATACACTTAACACCTCCATAATGACAACTTTTGTTTAAATTATTTTATTCACGCGCTGTCTTACAAGTGGCCATAAACAAAAGAGAGGGAGTGAGAGGACTGGAAAATGGGCACATGCTGACGCAAGGAGGCGTTTTATTTTTTGTATTTTCAGCCAAATAAGAAAAGCACAAACAAAACTTTTCTTTTGTACACTTGGCAGCTATTTGTTTTTGTATTCCAGCAGGCCAAAATGATTCATGCGTTTATCAAAAAAAAAAAAGGAGGGGAGAAAACGGGGGTAGATCTTTGGCGAATCACACATTAAGCGCCAAACTGAATTGTTGAGGTGGCTTTTAGTTTACACTTTTTATTATTACATTTTTTCATATATATTTTACACTTATTTCACCGTTTTCTGAACTTTGGAACTTCAAATTAACGGTTTTAGCTCCCTTTGGTGCGAGTTTTCTAGAGAGCTGGCAGAATTCAACTGAACTAACGGAACTGTGTGCCTGGATGCGCTGGAAGTGCTCTCGCTCTCGTATTCTGGTGCCGCCCAAGAGGAGAGCTTTCTTAGTATACACGAAAGCTCCCAGAGACACTGAGAGAGGATGAGAGAGAACCTGCGCCTGCTCCACTGGAAAGTTGGAGAGCCAAAATAACGAGTCTGCGCAGGACGAAATCAGCGAGTGGCCGCAAGACAAGGACAACCCCAAAAATCAACGAGTGCGCCCACGCGATATTCGTTATTCTTTCCTTTTTCCCCGCTGCGTTTCTTTTTTTTTTTTTTTTTTTGAGCAACTTAAAGTGGCTTTGCAGTTTAAATGGAGAATGCCAGTGGTACCCCTCCCCACACACAATTAAGTCGATGGCTTTAGAACTTTGCCACGTTTATGGGCCAAGCCAAAGCGCATTAGAACAAAACAGTTGGCCAGCAGCAGGATCTTTTGTGTCCTTTCTCGCTCTTTCCACGCCTACATAACGTTAGAGCGGAAAATCGAGAAAAATCACCATTAGAGAAAACAATCACATTCGTTCGATTGATGGGATTCCGTCGACGGGAACTGTGATTGAATGGCTCAATGGCTCAAGTACCTGCAACTGCAAATCGAGATAAAAGTTATGCCAATTAAGGCTATCATAAAAAATGTCATTGTTCCTCAATTAAGGAATTGACATGGCCATCAGCGGTCGAAATGCCGACAATTATTTATGGTTAATTGTACAGTAGAGCCTCACTGTCATTAGGTTATGGTTCGTGCTATAATTCAAATAGAAAGGATGCATGACTATTACATGTAAGCTTTGGTTCTCAGTTATGTGATGGCAAATTTTTCTGAATATATAACTAAATGTTTTATTAGACATGTTCAAATAAACTCAATGAACTTAAAAATAACTTAATTTCCTATGAAAAATTATACAAATACGTACTGTAATTAAAAATAAAATGTAATTGATTGCATCCCACTTGTAATGAGCCCTCACATCTAATAATCTTAAATTTCCAAGAAGGGATACAATTGACAATTTTCCCTTTCTGCTTATATTTTGCCTTGAACTCATCGGACAGTCAATTACGTGTTGACATCTTGATTCTGAACCTACAACAAGGGGCAATGACGAAGAAAGTTTTCCGGTAAGGTTTGATTTTCACAAGAATTCTGGCACTACCGCCCCAAAAAGTTGAAGGCGGCGCTAATTACCTGTTGTTGTGTCAAAGAGTTAAGAGTTAAGGGAAAGCGGGCAATTTAACTCAATACGAGCAAATGGCGTGACAAATAGGAAATGTTGAAGAAAGGACTATTGAAAATGCAGGACATGCACGGAATAATGAAGTGACAAATAGTGAAAAATAATTCAACATTTTCTAATTCTTGTATTAAGTGTTAAATATAATTCTAAATTGAAGGATTTTACTTGTTGGCCTATTTGATATGGTTTCGGTACTGAAAATCAAAACGACTAGCAATAATGAATTGATTAGTTGTTAAAGAATGGGTATTCCCGAATTTGCTGAATTTTTTGTGCAACTTTTATAACTAAAACCACCAATATTAATATTGCTCTTCGCACACTATTTGAAATTCAAAAGGGACCCCTGTTGTCACCTCGATGCCCCTGACGAGTTTAATTAAATTATCACTGTGCGAATATGGAGCAAAACGATGGAAGTCAAGCAAAATAGAATTGAAAACAATGAATGGGCCAATGAAATTATTGAATGAATTGGGAACCAAAAGCAGAGGGGGAACACTATATGTAGATAAATGCGATTGGGTGAGGGGCCGGAACCACAAACCAACCGAACCACAGCCAACGACAAACGGCAAGCAAATTGACAACTTTTTTTCCCCGTTTTTGTTTTATCACGCGAACTCTTCGCTCTTTCGAATAAATGACAGACAGCGGCAAAGTGGAGCACTTGTGCACTTGTCCGAAACAATCTGCACCTACCCCAAACCCAAACCCAAGCCAAAACCACCCATCCATCCACTGCGATTTTCCATTTTCTGTCGCGTTTCATGGGTTGCAGGTCGCGAGGCCTTTTGGCACTCGGTCGACATTTGACTTTGCTCAATTACGTTCGATTTGTACTGTATTTGGCATCTTTTATAGTTTATTTAACGAGCCCGTTTATTGTCATTTTGTGGACTGCTTGGCTCCGAAAGTTCGGAGAAGCGGGTCCATACCTAATTGCTTTGCTACATTTGTTTAATGTTCCAGATTGGATGGGTTGTCGACAGCTACATACTTATAAGTGCATTTCTTTCGATCAGGAAATATAAGTACATTTTCAATTATTTGGATTCAAAAATTTAAAAAACATGTGTGGCACATTAAAGGCTTTAAAAACAAGCGTTTTATTCTCGCCAAAGTCATGAATCGAGATGTTTTCCAAGAATAGGGGTTAATAGGTTCCTATTAAATTATATTCTCCAGCTCCCAATAAATATAACCAAGAATATAATTAAGAATCTATTATTTCGACAAATGAACGACTGATTCATTACTTACTAAAGAAGTGATATTATCAATGCAGTTCCATAATATAAAAGCCTGATCTTCAATGACTATATATACTATTAACTTTCCCACTTGCTGATTGGAATATAACTATTATATTATCCCAAAATGAAAACAAATCTCATCAAGTTTATAAAAATGGAACCTTGTCAATTTAACAATTTACCTATATTTATTTCTGTGTCTTACAACAGGCTAAATTGTACGACGTTTATTTCTCATCTAGTCCGGCTGAGCCAGCAATTGTTTCTTCATTGTTTCACGTAGCCATATCACTCGGCACAAGGGCCGGCAAAGTGGCAAACAAACGAGCATCGAACGTTTCCTCAATAGACTTTCCTTTCGGCTTGAAAATTATGCCTCAAGTGGCGGTTTCTTCAAACTTCCGCCAGGAGGCGCCACTCGAGTGGCACAGTGCTGTGGCAAAGTATGCAGCCACACCCAGGACATGTACACGTTTCCTCTGGCTCCCTTCCGTCCTGTGCCACTGTGTCCATTGTTTCGTTAGTGTTTCCTGGCCGCCGTTCGATGCTTCCGCCTGCCATTCGTCTGCCCCTCGACCTGCCCCCCGCCGCCCGCTTTTGGGCACCACCCCCTGCAGAGGAGTTCCCCATCACACCGCACTTTCAATGGGCCTTGTTGCAACATGGCTGCAATTCACTCCTCGGCACTCCTCGCCACTCGACTCTGCTCCTTGTTGCTTGTTAGGGCGTTTAAAAGTTTTGCCTGATTGCACAGAACAACAGCGAGCAAGTGTGGGGGAAGTAATGGGTCTACACAGAGAACAAAATCGGGTTTGAGGACCAGGGAAAATGTATTAGTATGAGGAACATTCAGATCAAAAATCATCACGCTCAAGTAAGTCATACTGGGCGTACAATGTATTAACTTCAAATCTGGTTTGGGGTTTAGATTTATATTGTTCCTAAAAAAATGCAAGTTTTGGTACGTTTGAATACCACTTTAAGTGTATCCATGATATGGAGATTTTGTATGTTTTTCGCAACATGTTTGTGTACATTGTTAAAGTTAAAGAGATATTCCTGTGTACATTGCAGCGTTGTCCTTTTTCTGCCTGCCTGCATCCCTATATTGTTTTCGGTGGCGAGTCAAAGTCAATGGGATGAACTGACATTTCGGTGTCAGTGGCGCAACCAGGTTAACAAACACTGTACAGCGAAACCATGGTGCATGAAGCAACCGCCCACTGGCACACACGTGCCCACACAATTGTTTCAATGTCAAGTGGCGTCGATTGCCCTTATCTTTTGGCGAATGCAGACGCACTTGGCTAAATCTAAGGCTAAGGCTAAGGCTGCACAAATGCACTCGACGATGACTGATGCAGAATAGGGATGACAACAATTACAATATTCACCATATTTGCATATTTCAATACTTCAACTATCAACTAGATGTACTGCTTTCTTAGACATGGCTCATTTTAGTACTTTTTCTATATTTTTTGTAGAATATTGTAATTATTTCATCACTATCGAGCTGAATGGTACTGAATCCACTTTAATCGAGGCGAGTCATCCACAGGCCACATGGCTCCTTGAAACTGTTTAGTTTTCACACTCGGCTGCCACGAGGGAAGATGCAACTGTTGCTGCTGCCATTGTCTAAGATGTTGCATGCACAGTGGTGCATGAGTTCATTTTATTTTGGGATATACTTTCCACATGCAACAGCCAAAAGTTGACCCAAATTACTGCGGTTTCGCCTTGGCCAAAAAACACGCTAAGAATAGTTTTGTCATGGAATCGATTCATCAGCAATCAAATAGAGTGGAATAACCTTGAGTTTGTTTCCTTTTATGGGGCAACAAGTCGTTACATTTAATTTCAATAACTCTCAAGTTCCCAACTTGGTCAGTTGCCAATACCTTTGTAAGGGAAATAATGTGAAAATGGAATGAAAGGGAAATAAGGTACCTTATATACAAAAAACATAGTTTTAGAAATCAGTTTTCCCAATTGAAGTTTGCCGCTGAACCAGAACGATAACTTAAATAAATTTAAAAAATGTGAGCTCTGATAAAAGCCTTGATAGAAAGCAAAATTGCGCTCCACACATTCAGCATTTCCGCCGCAGAGTAAAAGTGTGCGCAGTAAATATTCCCCTATCTATCGGCACATAAAACCGAAAATAAAATTTTCCAAGTGCTCCGGAATCTGGCGGCCGATAAACCAGCAATTTCCCTCGAAATAGAACAATAGAGTCGAGTGGAAAGGTAAACGCTCAGCAGGATTTCCATTTCCGGTGAGGGAGAACCAAGTGGAAAAACGGAGAAAAAAAGGTGGCGAAAAGTGCACTTACCCAGCAGCAGGAGCTTGATGTCCTTGGCCGCCTGGATTCCATCCTCCTTCAGATTCTTCTCGATCTGTTTGGATCGCTGGATGGCGGCGCGTTCTTCGGCGGATGTGGTGCAGCCCATTGCGTTTGGGTTTGGATTTTGATTTGGATTCGGATTCGGATTTACACAGGGCTATTCGGTTTTCGGGCTTTTCTTTTCCAATTTTCCTGGACTTTTTCTCTTTTTGTCTTATTTGCTTATTTACAGTTTTACGGTTTCAACTGAAATGGAATATTGAACCCATCAACAATAACAAATGCACGGGTCAGCAGATGATTCACTATAAACAGTGCGCGATCGATAAGGCGAACCAATGAATATAAAGGTTGTTCTAATTATACAGCTGAGTTCAAAAGAATAGTAGCGAGTTTTCTCAAATGAATTCTTTTTTTAATTGTCATGCTGTTTTCTGTGTATAAACAAATTTTTTGCAATATTTTGTTTACTATTATAAAAAACACAGCTGTATATTTAAAAAAGCTTATTTTTATTTGGATGATCTCAGTATATCACATCTTTCTTAGCTGCACACATGGTTTATGGAACACCGCGATCGCTCTACCAAGGTTGCACTGTACTGAGGCAAGCACTAATTTTATGACCGCCACTGTCTGTGCACTGGTCCGCGCACTGTATCAATTATGTTGCTTTTGTTTTTTATCAGCAGACGCAAAGTAAAAATAAAAGCAATGATAGCCAGCTAATTTGCATATGGAGCATGTTTGCGATATCGATACAAAATTCATCAATCGCGCTGATAAGATAAATCCATCAGATAATGCTGGATGCGATAAGAACGATGGTAATTTATCTTGTAAGTGAATTAGTCCCGAGGTCAAAAAGCGAAAAACTGAAGCTTCGTTTTTTTTTCTCGTACTTTTAAAACACTTTTTAGATTTTTTTTTTTTTTTTTGGTTTTTATTTGTATGTTTTTTATGCAGTGTGTATGTATTAGGCGTGGGCGTAGGCGCTAAAAAGGCGCCGGGTTGTTGGAAAAAAGGCGGTGGGCTGTGGAGTTTTCTTTCGAGCGTTTGGTTAAGCACATTAAAATATGCAAGAAGTAATGCCGTTTTTATGCAAACTGTTAACCATTTCGGATGTATAAATTTTCATTTACTTGGTCGCTGTTTCACTCACACACGCGCGCACACTCACTTACTCACACGCACGCACTACGCACTCTCACGCGCTGCACACGCCACACCCCCCGCCCACTGGGCCGCCACCCACCACCACCCCCCGAGTTTTCCTTTTTTTTCCGCTTTTTTTCAGCTTAACATTTACCACCGCCTAGTTTTCCAGTCGTATACACACCGCACTAGTGTATGTGTGTGTGTGTGCCTCTGCCTCAGCCTGATCTGTGTGTGTGTGCAGGAGGCTCTCTTTTGCGTTTGGCTATTCTTATTGGTTCCGTTCGCTTTGCGCTTCTTTTTCGCGACTCACTATTGTTATTGCACCGATCGTGATAGTTTACCGTTGCACTTGCCGAGCACTTGCACTTGTATTTTTGGCCGCAGTGATATTGGTAAATTGCACTTTTCTGGTGTGCGAAAATTTAGCTGCTCTCTCTCGCTTGGTTCGCTCTTTCCAACTGCAGAGCGGGGCGTTCGAACAGCTGGTGGCGGCGTCGGTTCGCAGCACTGGTCGCTGCGGGGGTGGACGCTGACCAACACTGGCCGCAACAGCTGCCGCAAAACGAGCTTAAAAATATTTAAATTTTTTAAAATTCTTTGACCATCAATATGTCCCATTTTGCTTTTTATGGATTGGTTCAATATGCTTCATGTAAAGATAAAAAGTGTAAAGATAAAAATGTGCTGGAAAGCACTAGTTCTTGTTATCGATTATTATAGCACAAAATCTATCGTTTCTAAATGTTTTGTGCAGCAACTTGACCAACACTGTCGTTATATCATTGTTTTGTTCGTTTCCTAAAATGTTGCGGCAACTTATAGTGAGTTTATGGCCCCAAATCTAGTTGAATATAACTGATTGCTTAATTGTACACAGGTATCGACAGTAGGCCGTCGCATGCCACTGCAGATGATCTCCCAAAGTCGACTCGCCAGCAATTTGGACAAAACTGAGTACACGACACCCGGGGAAATTGTGGACTACGACGATCCGCCGCATTTGCCAGTTCCGGAATATCCTGTCCGTCCGGATGAGCCGCTGCAGACCCGCAAGCAGCGGTATGACTTTATATTGAAAATATTCCACAATCTTAGTTTCATTATATTACATTACTTCTTATGTTGTGCAGCCTTTTGTATCAGAGCCGAAAGCGCGGAATGCTGGAAAACGATCTCTTGCTGAGCACTTTTGTGGCCAAGCATTTGAAGGACTTCAATGCGGAACAGACGGCCGAATACGATCAGTTAATAAATGGAGTCAGCAACGATTGGGATATATTCTACTGGGCCACCGATACAAAGCCCACGCCCCCTCAATTCGATACCGAAATAATGCGTCTGCTAAAGGAGCACGTGAAAAACCATGAAAAAGTGCAAAGGATCAGACAGCCGGACTTGTAGACTATATAAACTATATTACATATAAGCATATAAAACAATGTATTAAATGATGTGTTATTTTGTACAGCTGAGCCTTAAAATTCCCTATGGTCTTAACTTGCATTTTACCTAAACAGAAAATATTGGTATTTAAAAGCCATCATTTATATGGAATAATAAATATTACTGTTGCAAGTGATTTTGTAATTTGAATACGGTTTATTTTTATTAATATTCGTTGAAAACTTCACTTTAATCAAAGAATGATGACATAATTGATAAAACTTTTAAATGAATACATTTACTGAACACATTGTCAGAATTGCATATATTCTGTAGCATTTAAAATGAATTAGGCAAAGACATTTCTTTAAAACATCCCTTTAAAACACAGTTCTTGAGTACTGAAATACACATCCATACAATATATTTAAACGATTATCCAGTTAAATTCTATTCATGCTTGCCGAATGTGTGTATGACCAATCTTGTATATATAGATTACAATTTAATATGCTTAATCACTATAGCGAAACATTAGACTTAAAATTTTCATTTGCTTTTGCTTAGTCTTGCCACAATACACGGGATGAATCGCTGAAAACACGGAGAATTAGAACGCGGATGTCTACCAATTAACTATGGGTTCGGTTCTCTATTAACTTGCTAGGAGATGATTGAACAGTTTTTGCTCCAGGCTAGTCCCTTCACTATCAATTCTAGATTATATTTTGGTGTGTGAGTGTTGTGTGTCGGGCGGTGGAAGCGAAAAACAAAGGGTTAAATCAGTTGCAAAGGTCGTGTCGCAGCACAGTTTGCAAATTTAATTATACATCATAATATTACACACGGTATGCTTACAGAGGCTATATAAAATATGTGTTAAAAGTTATTAAAAATCACGCTAAATCAAAGGCCGCAAAACGCATCGCATCTTTAGCATAATCGAACAATTAAAAGAACGGCGATTAGTTTCAAATAGGCGCACTGAAGCCTGGGGCGCAGGTAAAAAATAGAGAACGGAAGTAACAACAAAATTTAACCTACTGCAAATTGTAAATAATCTAAATTTAGTCCAGGGTCTCAAAGAAGTCTTGCGGATCGACGAACATCGATGGGCTGCTGTTTCCGCTCAAGGTTTCCGCTGCCTCCTCCTGGCGCGCCGCCTCCGCTTCTTCCGCCTCCTCCTCCGCTGCCGCTACTGCAGCCGCTGCCGCCGATGAAGATGAGCTGACCCCGCTCCTGCGACGACCCCGACGCACTGGTCCCGTGCCCGCGCTCCCGCCCACCGATGTCGCAGCTGCCGACCGGAGTGTACTGCCCGTCATCACGGGATCGTAGGTCCGGGACGACGGGGCATCGGTATTGCTGGACAGGGAGGATTTGCGGCGACGTTTGTTCCGTCGCCTTCGGCGTCGTTTGCTGGTCTGAACTGCCACGGCAGCCGTTGATGTGGAGGGCCCAGATCCGGTTCCGGCGCTGCCCAACGGTTCCGTAAGCACACTGGTTCGCGGCAGGGTCAGCGTGGTCTCGAACATCTTCAGCAGCGTCGGTGAACTGGGTCAATTTTGCGGGAACACATCGTCGATGGTAATGAAAGCGTCCTCGCCCAGCGAATGCTGTCCGATCACCTTGATCAGTTCCGAGGCGTGAGCCACCAGATATTCCAGCGGCGGACGACGCTCGAAGTTTAGGGATTCTGCATAATCGGAAATTAGTAACTTCGTTTCGAAAAGGGAAGACAAGTTCTTCAAGGACTTACCCAATATGGCCGAGTTGAGCGTGGTGGAAACACTCTCACGTCGCGAAGGACACAACAGCCAGCCCAGCGGACTGGACCAAGGATTTGAGTAGGCAATCAGACTAAATGCATCCTGTAAAAATTATAGATTTAATATCTCTAAAGTAGGGATTCCTCAGATAAAAGATCATTCAAGGTTCCTAATAATAACATTCTTATTGAAGTAATTTTTGAAGTACAAATCGTGTGATATACCCGCATATTTAAGATATCAATCTTAATAGTTTACCTCCAACATTTGACGCTCCTCTTCAGTCATTAGGTTCTCCTTCTCCAGCTGCTGGCCCATGCTGGACAGTTCCTTGCCGAACTCAAGGATCTTCTCGATCACACGACCACAGTTACGCGATGAGGGGGAAACATCTACATCTGCAAGTGCTGGGGATTACGGATCTTCCCGAAAACGCCGCCAATAGATACCTACCCATTTCCTCGTCGATGGCATCTAGAGAGTTGCGCACAGCCCTGGCATTGCCATTGGAGCTGGAGTCTCCGCCGTTGGAGTGACTCTGGCAGGGCTCCATTTCTACGTCCATGCTGTTGCTGTCGTGCTCCACACACTTGTTGGAGTTGTCGTCAACCAACATGCTTGAATAGTAAGTTATGGTTAACGATCACAAGTATTACATACTCCTCAATCTGACTTACTTTTTTATATCTGGCCTATCGCCGCCTTGTGGCTTTATCACAGCAGGAGTCGCAGTGTTGTTCTGTTGTTGTGTCTGATTAATGTTGACGTTGCCATTTCCGTTGCCGCTCTTGCTGTGCTTGAACGTCTTGGTGGACTGTATCACTGACGTCTGGTTTGTGGGCATGGTCTGTGTGGTGGCGGTGACTTTGTTGTTCACGTTCTGTAAGACAATCCATTGGTTATATTTATTTTCCTCATGTACTGTTTAAAACCCCACCTCAATGTCTGCTCCATTGATCATTTCAATAAACTGACGGCACTTCAATGCAAACCAGAGGTTTTTATTATTCTCCAAAAGTCCGGGGAAAGAGCGTAGTGTGTGCTCGATGGCCTGGCTCATTTTGCCTGTCAGTATAAGCTTAATGATCTCTGAAAGAATGGATTTAAAGTCGGTAATTGCCTTGTCATTTCTTAATGGCGAATATACGAACTTTGACGTGTCTTGATCGATGCCAAGTCCTCGTTGAAAGTCTGATTTGTGTAACCATTAAAGGCCTCGGCGGTCTTGCTGAACGCATTATGCACCAGATAGGTGGAAACCAGGCTAAGCAATTTGAAAAACATTGAATTAGTTGGCACTTTGTTCATTAAACATGTTTGAGAAAAACGCACCGATTCATCAGGTTTTCCGGGGTCTCCAGCAGATGTGGATATCGATCGATCTTGCGCAGCACATTGGAGCGCATCTCCTTCATCATGTCGACGATCTTGTCGAACTTAAATGGTTCCTGACCAAAGTTGGCATCCACTTCCTCGCCAGGAGTCTGTAGGCCCACAGTGGGATAAAGCTTAGTCTGGAAAGAAATGAACATAAATATAGCTGGAAAATGATACATTATGTAAATTGCATTAAACACGCACCGGCAAATCCCTAAATGCGATGCCCAGATCCACTCCGTTCTTTGTGTAAAAGCACGTGTTGTTCACAAAGTTGACGCAGCATCCAATCACATCGCCGGTGGTAAAAGTGGGGCCGTAGGTTTGGCCATTTCCCGAGGAGCTAAACGAGTTGCCATCGTCGCCGTGGTACCCGTACGACTGTTTGTCCCAACCTACTTGAGGGGGGTGTGGTTATTAGGAATCATGGGGACATCTCGCCGAGCAGCACAACGCAACACAAACCTGGCAGGCGGTTCATACGGAACTGCTGGGCAGTTAGTCCAATGCCCATGTAGCCGTTGCGTCCCTTGGAGATGATCCGCACCTCGAAATAGTACAGTCCGCAGGAGGACGGGATCGGATAGGCAGTGCGCACTGAGGCGGCATCACTGTGCTGCTTGCCCACACCTAAAAAGTCATGGTGTTTAAGTATTTGCCAGATCTTGATTTCTATAGGCTACAGCATTGCAGTAAGATATTATTATCTATTTCCGACTTTCGAGCTTAGTACTTGGACTATGTTCTTATAATATAACAAAATCTACTGAAACAAAGGAGTAGATTTTCTGGACAATGCCAATAATACAATTGATAGCTTTATTAAAAAGCTATTAAACTTTTTCCAAAGTATCTAGAACACACAATAAACAGGTTAAAATAAAATTTAATAATTGGAATCATTAAGTTACTTATTTTACCTATTGAAACCAAAAAAACCCAAATATACATTTTACACCTTTGCTGCGCATAAATAAATCTATACATTTTACACGCATTTTACATGTTATGTTGCACTGGTAATACAGCTGTTGCTGTTAGCGGCTTAACAGCCACGCGAATGAGCGTGGGAGAAGTGAGTAATGAAAAACAAAAACCACCAGCGCACAGCTGAGAGCACCTGTCTGTGCATGTGTGTGTGTTCCAGAGCGAAATAGAACTAAAGAGCGTGAAAACTGCAGATGCACTACACCTCTTCTTCTTCCTACTGACTTCAATTACATCCTTTTTGGGGATGGTGTTTCGAATAAATCTGCAGTTCTCAATGGTTGCAGGAAATATCTGTAACTACTTAATGCCCTTATTAAATATGCAAGTAAAAGAGTAATAATAAACGTAGACCCAAATTTAGTTGAGACTGGCCATATAATCGAAGGAATTGAGTCAAAGGTTACACTGCCTTTTTACGCATTAGATAAATAACAATTAGGAAATGTAAGGACGAAGCTGAAACTTTATAATACAAATAAGCTTCACAAACTCTACATATTATACAGCCATAGATTTCTCACACTTGGCTACAGCGTAACAAATTCCAATTATAATTAGATCTTGTTCGTTCCATAACTATGCATATTTAGACATTCATATTTAGACCCTTTCAGACTCCTTTTTCAAATACCGATTACCTGCTGCTATTGTAGCTGCTATGAATTTGGGGTCTTGGCACATCGCAGTGAACTGTATTATACTTTGAATACTACTCACCCTTGTAGGTGACCCTCAGGTTGTTCTGCGACAATCCGATGGACAAGCACTTGTCATGGGGACTCCAGCACCGGGGCAGCGGTGTCTCGCTCTCGTTGACATTGGGATAGAGCAGCCTCAGGGGATCCACGCCCTGGTGCTGGGGCGAATTGGAGCTGGCGGCGGGGGTCGAGTGATGGCGGCGACCTCCGACCCGCGGCGATGATGCCTGGGTGCTGCTGCGGGGGGCGTGGCTGGGGAACATGTCGTTGCTGAAGTGACTGCCGTTGTTGCTGTAGAAGTGGCGAGTGCGTCGCGAGAGGCTGCTGCTGCTGCTGTTGGTAGTGTTGTTATTGTTGTGGTTGCTGATATTGTTGTTGTTATTGTTGTTGCTGTTGCTGCTGCTGCCACGTGGGGCGCGTGAGGCTGAGGAGTAGCGCGGCAAAACTGCCACCGAGTGCAGCCGCTGGGCACCGGAAACGGAAGCGACTTCGCCGGCTCTGTCGACCCGGTCCTCTACCACCTCCTCCTCTTCATCCACCTCCTCGTCGTCGTCTTCGTAGTCGTCGATGCGCTCCACGGCGTTGGCGTCTATGGTTTCGGCTATGGCGTTGGCGTCTATAATCAGTGGCGGCTGCTGCTCGTTGAGATCCTGCGATCCGGAGTCCTGCTCGTCCAGATCTTCGAGAAGCAGCGGTGGCGGTGGCTCGGTTTCTGGTTCGATATCGGGATCTCGAACGTGTGGCTCATCCGGATCTTGGTTAGTATCTTCTTGTACTGATGGCTCCCGGTTTTCAAGCGATGCTTGTGGCGGATGCTCTTCCGGATTCAGCAATTCTCGGTGCCGGATAAGCCCCTCAATGTGATGCAGCTCCTGATTTAGCTCCGCTTGTTGATTCTCCTGCACTGCCGGATATTCGTGAGCGTGTTGGTCGTGCAATGGGTGCAGCTCTTGGTCCTGTAAGGGCGGATTCTCCTGCTGATCCTGCTGCAATGGTGGCGTCTCTTGCTGCTGCTGCTGCTCCCGCTCTTCCCGCTGCGGTGCCGTCGATGAAGTCGTGGGTGGCGGTGCAGTCTGGTGGAAAGTAGGAGTGGGTGAGTGATCATGTGGTGAATTCTCGCGAGCCTCCGTTTCAGATGCATTCAATGGGGGGATCGGGTGATCGGGATGGGGGGGTTGGTCATGAGATGGCGCCGGGGCGGGGGGCGAGGGTGTGGGTGTGGGCGAATGAGAGTGTGACCGAGACGAAGAGGGGGCTATTTCGGCACCCATGGCTCCCGACTGAGAGAGCTGGTGAGAGCTGCTGCTGGCGCTGCTGTTGTTGCTATTGCTGTTGCTCTCCGAAGAGAGTGGCGGAGCCTCTTCGACGTTCTCCATGTTATGGTTGGGTTGTCGTTGTTGTTTATCTTGTTGTGGTTGCAAAAGGAGGCTGAGAGAGAGACGTTCAGCGAGGAATTAGAGAGAGTGAGCCAGCAACGAGCGAGCGAGACAGAGAGAGATCCGATGAAGTGCATATGCAGATGCTGTGTGTGTATACGTGAGGAATGGCAAAGGGAGGGGTAGGGAGGCGGGGACACTAGCAAACACAAACAACATCCAAAATGCAATGTCCTTTGTCCGTTACACCGTTCACCTCATTCGCACTCTCTCATTCACTCGTCCACTCTCTTTCGTTAACTGACCCAAAATACAAACAACAACAACAGCAACAGCAGATTACAGTTGCGACGCGCAGCTGCAGCACAAAAAAATACAACAGCAACAACTACAGCTACAAAATGCATGCACGAAAATGCAAAAAATCAATAGCCAAACGAAATTAGCCAATGCTTTCTGCACTTTGTTACATTGCTAGCAAGTTAGTTTTGATTATTCTACATTTGTAAATGCCTTTTTACGTCGTACTTTTCTGAAGTTTTCTTTGTTTTCCCTTCTAACCAACGAGTCACGGTCCACACACACCAGCAACAGCACACACACTGGCAGCACTCTCTCCCTCTCGCACACACGCATATATGCATGCAGCACGCACACACACTCGCAGTCCCCACACGCACAGAGAAGAAAATTATCATTTTTTTTTTAGCTGGGGCAAATGATCTTTGTTGTGGTTTTAATTAGCTGATGAATTCAATTGGGCTGTCATACGATGCTGTTGAACGGATCTACGGTTGATATTTGCTTATATTTACCTTCGAGCGATTGCTATGATTCGTTAAGTCTACGAAGTTTTGACTTTATGCTATAGAGGTGGAACAAAAACCGATGTTTATTCGATGCTATCGATTCTATCAGACACTAGTCTGCTCGGCAGCTATCGATTATTCATATCGATTAAATTCCTCTTGGCGCCTAAATTCAAAATCTGATAAGCAATAGCAAGCTTCCCAAAAAGCCATTAAAAGCTAAAAATAATTATTATTTGAATTATTATGAATTTTGCTGTCTCTGAATATTTCTAAGTTTAAGACTTCCGAACACTTTATATATATGTATGTATATACATATATATGTACATCCTGTAACCATTTTCAGTTTCGCGTCACAAAGGTTAATCGCTGAACTTTTGTATGTTGTATAGGGTCGGAAACGATTTTTATATACCTTTCCATGAAGCTATAAAAGTCTATCTAGTAATGGGTATGTAGTGTATAAAAATAACCGACATAATTAAAAAAATTCCATTCGATTGACATATTAGCAGACTATCGCTGACGCAGAATTTACCGGTTCGCTCTATGGTTGCTCTCCAATACTTTGATTTTCTCTATCTCACTCTTCTATAGTTCTTGTTCTCATCGTCTCCATCAGTTATGCCTCCTTTTCGACTAAAAATCCCATCACGAAACTGATAAATAACAGCAAGTGGAAAATTACCACAAAACGATTATTATAGACAAATGTTACTGGATTTTTAAATTAGACTTTATAACTAGCAGCACGGAACCAAACACTGTACTTTTAACAAACTTTAAAGGTAACCCTCCTCTAAATAACTGTTTCACTTGTTGCATTTTGAGTATCCATTATAACTAGAGCATTTATTTTTTATTTGGGTTGCTTCCATGTGTACTGTCTTTTGCCTTCTGAGTTAGCGCTCCGATTTCCCAAAACCCACTCGATCTATTTGTGTGACTTACTGAGAGAAAACCTACGCTGGTGTGCAAGTTTTCGATGGCTCCACGCACACAGTCTCAAGATTTTACTCGCTCTCTCTGCGAATTGGAGGCTCGTTGTGCGTAAGTGAATGGGAGAGCCGGGAGATCTATGGAAGTGTGCGATCTTTACAGGCAGCTATTTATACCATCACACTGCTCGGCGCTCTCTCGCTCTCACTATCCGGCTATCGGTGTGCCTGTAAGTTTGCTGGTGCTGGTGCTTCGCCTCTAATCACCAATACCATTTAACATTTAAATGCGCTCTGGCTCTCTGTTTATGTTTGGAACCGGCTAAACTGTCAGCTGGGCCAGATCAGCTGTTTGGATGCCAGGTCCTGAAGGAAATAATTCTGTACTGACTGGGTTATTCTAAAGCTGTAAAGGAAAATAAATAAACTGTACTTTACTATGAAATACTTCTAGAACCTGTTCGTCACAGAGTCCATACTTGGGTGAGGCCCCATCAGGTTTTTAGAGGCCCCTGTCGAGTTCCACACAAATATGGAGACCTCGCACGAAGCCTCTTCATTCCCCTCGCAATGTCCCTCAATCTTCTCTGAGTTGTTTGTTAATCTACACACAACACCACGTACTATACTATACAAATGTGATACGATAAGGCAGCGCCCATTCCCTATCTCTATCGCACCCGCGAATCGGCTCGATCCAGCTGGGTATAAAAGACAGCGAGTTCTCCCAGTCAGTATTCAGTAAGCAACAAGTGTGCGAGCTAATAACAGCCATCAGCCGAGCAACTAAAAAGGTTTTTCCAGTTAAACTAATAATCACACAACAAGATGCGTTTGGGACAGACCGTACCTAACTTCCAGGCCGACACAACCAAGGGGCCCATCAAATTCCACGAGTGGCAGGGCAACTCGTAAGTGCCATCAAACCTCTTTCTGTAATCAAATCTCACCAATCCTCTCTATATCGCCAGCTGGGTGGTGCTCTTCTCTCACCCCGCCGACTTCACTCCCGTCTGCACCACCGAGCTGGGCAGGATTGCGGTACACCAGCCGGAGTTCGCCAAGCGGAACACCAAGTGCCTGGCGCATTCCGTTGACGCACTGAACTCGCACGTGGACTGGGTGAACGACATCAAGAGCTACTGCCTAGACATTCCCGGGGACTTCCCCTACCCAATCATCGCCGATCCCACTCGCGACCTGGCCGTCAGCCTGGGCATGCTCGACGAGGAGCAGAAGAAGGATCCCGAGGTGGGCAAGACCATCCGCGCCTTGTTCATCATCAGTCCAGACCATAAGGTGCGCCTCTCCATGTTCTACCCCATGTCCACTGGTCGCAACGTCGAGTAAGTACTTCTTACGGGCTACAACTATTGATAATCCCAACTGACCTGTGATCTTATAGCGAGATCCTGAGGACCATTGACTCTCTGCAGCTGACTGATCGCCTCAAGGTCGTGGCCACTCCTGCCAACTGGACCGTGAGTATTTCTACCTACTTAATGGAAACTGTGTCGTTCTAACTATGATTCCTAAATAGCCTGGCACTAAGGTCATGATCCTGCCCTCTGTCACCGATGAGGAGGCCCATAAACTGTTCCCCAAGGGATTTGACAAGGTCTCCATGCCATCTGGAGTAAACTACGTCCGCACCACAGATAATTATTAAGGTTTATTTTGAATAGCAACTTCATTTCTTCATTTTCTACGTTTTATATCATTTACATAAAATACAATAAATATGCTATACAATACGATTTCTGGCGCAATACTCTAAAAAACTGCATTCAAATTTAGAAATTTATTTTTTTTTTTTTTTTGTAATTTTTGTGATTTGTAAGTTCAAAAAAATTAAAAAATGTCCCAAGGCTGAAGTTCTATACTCCATAACTCAACTTATCTTAATCGGATTTTGAAGCGGCATACCTCTAAATGTTTCTGGCGCAATTCTCTAAAAATATGCATTCAAATTTAGAAATTTATTTTTTTTGTAATTTTTTGTGATGTATATATAATGTTGTAGAAGTTAAAAAAAAATTTTTAAAATGACCCAAGGCTGAAGTTCTATACTCCATAACTCAACTTATCTTAATTGGATTTTGAAGCGGCATACCTCTAAATGTTTCTGGCGCAATTCTCTAAAAATCTGCATTCAACTTTAGAAATTTATTTTTTTTTTATTTTTGTGATGTATGATGTTGTAGAAGTTCAAAAAAATTAAAAAATGTCCCAAGGCTGAAGTTCTATACTCCATAACTCAACTTATCTTAATCGGATTTTGAAGCGGCATACCTCTAAATGTTTCTGGCGCAATTCTCTAAAAATCTGCATTAAAATTTAGAAATTTTTTTTTTTTATTTTTTTTTTTTAATTTTTGTGATGTATGATGTTGTAGAAGTTAAAAAAAAATTTTTTAAATGACCCAAGGCTGAAGTTCTATACTCCATAACTAAACTTATCTTAATCGGATTTTGAAGCGGCATACCTCTAAATGTTTCTGGCGCAATTCTCTAAAAATCTGCATTCAAGTTTAGTTTTTTTTTTTTTTAACTTTTTTTTTGTAATTTTTCTGATGTATGTATGCGCGCCGGACCTAATGCCAACAAACCGCCCAAAAATGTTTTTTGTTTCGTTTTAATATTTTTTGTAGAAATCTCATTAAAATCTCGAAAATAGCGATCTCTCTTGTTTAATAATATTTCTACTGAGCATGCCTTTTAAATAAATTATAGATAAAAAACGGTTTTAAGTAATAGTTTAAAAATGTATTTTTCAGTAATAAACTTATTATGGCACAACGGGAAGAAAATACGCAGGTCTTTAATAGTTCTCAGTGGTGCGCACGTAGTTTACTCCAGATGGCATGGAGACCTTGTCAAATCCCTTGGGGAACAGTTTATGTGCCTCCTCATCGGTGACAGAGGGCAGGATCATGACCTTAGTGCCAGGCTATTTAGGAATCTTAGTTAGAACGACACAGTTTCCATTAAATAGGTAGAAATACTCACGGTCCAGTTGGCAGGAGTGGCCACGACCTTGAGGCGATCAGTCAGCTGCAGAGAGTCAATGGTCCTCAGGATCTCGCTATAAGATCACAGGTCAGTTGGGATTATCAATAGTTGTAGCCCGTAAGAAGTACTTACTCGACGTTGCGACCAGTGGACATGGGGTAGAACATGGAGAGGCGCACCTTATGGTCTGGACTGATGATGAACAAGGCGCGGATGGTCTTGCCCACCTCGGGATCCTTCTTCTGCTCCTCGTCGAGCATGCCCAGGCTGACGGCCAGGTCGCGAGTGGGATCGGCGATGATTGGGTAGGGGAAGTCCCCGGGAATGTCTAGGCAGTAGCTCTTGATGTCGTTCACCCAGTCCACGTGCGAGTTCAGTGCGTCAACGGAATGCGCCAGGCACTTGGTGTTCCGCTTGGCGAACTCCGGCTGGTGCACCGCAATCCTGCCCAGCTCGGTGGTGCAGACGGGAGTGAAGTCGGCGGGGTGAGAGAAGAGCACCACCCAGCTGGCGATCATAGAGAGGATTGGTGAGATTTTATTACAGAAAGAGGTTTGATGGCACTTACGAGTTGCCCTGCCACTCGTGGAATTTGATGGGCCCCTTGGTTGTGTCGGCCTGGAAGTTAGGTACGGTCTGTCCCAAACGCATCTTGTTGTGTGATTATTAGTTTAACTGGAAAAACCTTTTTAGTTGCTCGGCTGATGGCTGTTATTAGCTCGCACACTTGTTGCTTACTGAATACTGACTGGGAGAACTCGCTGTCTTTTATACCCAGCTGGATCGAGCCGATTCGCGGGTGCGATAGAGATAGGGAATGGGCGCTGCCTTATCGTATCACATTTGTATAGTATAGTACGTGGTGTTGTGTGTAGATTAACAAACAACTCAGAGAAGATTGAGGGACATTGCGAGGGGAATGAAGAGGCTTCGTGCGAGGTCTCCATATTTGTGTGGAACTCGACAGGGGCCTCTAAAAACCTGATGGGGCCTCACCCAAGTATGGACTCTGTGACGAACAGGTTCTAGAAGTATTTCATAGTAAAGTACAGTTTATTTATTTTCCTTTACAGCTTTAGAATAACCCAGTCAGTACAGAATTATTTCCTTCAGGACCTGGCATCCAAACAGCTGATCTGGCCCAGCTGACAGTTTAGCCGGTTCCAAACATAAACAGAGAGCCAGAGCGCATTTAAATGTTAAATGGTATTGGTGATTAGAGGCGAAGCACCAGCACCAGCAAACTTACAGGCACACCGATAGCCGGATAGTGAGAGCGAGAGAGCGCCGAGCAGTGTGATGGTATAAATAGCTGCCTGTAAAAATCGCACACTTCCATAGATCTCCCGGCTCTCCCATTCACTTACGCACAACGAGCCTCCAATTCGCAGAGAGAGCGAGTAAAATCTTGAGACTGTGTGCGTGGAGCCATCGAAAACTTGCACACCAGCGTAGGTTTTCTCTCAGTAAGTCACACAGATAGATCGAGTGGGTTTTGGGAAATCGGATGGACAGATCGCTAACTCAGAAGGCAAAAGACAATACTCATGGAAGCAACCCAGCTTGGTATCTGATTAATAGAGGATTATCAGATCAAAGTAATAGATACAAATATAGTATAAGCAGTGTGTACTTTTGAAACTTAAGCTTACAATTTTTCATGTGCTAAAAGTACAGCCAGTGCATTCGATTGAATGTCGTTAGTTTCAGAGTTAAATTCAAGACGCAAAACCATTTAGTTCCACAACATATATTTTGCGGTAATTTTCCATTTCTCGTCGTTTACTGTAGTCCAGGCTGTTTGTAAACAACCTCAAATTTGTAGTCAAGGGGCGTACGATTGCTTTAGTGTGAGTGAGAGCAGCGGTCTTACGCAAATGATGCGGTTTATTGGAACATACATAGGTTGATTAAGTGATCGGGAGGGAGACACTGAGAGGGAAAGAATATAATGAGCGAACCGGGTGATAGCGAACCAAAATTGATAGTCTGAATTTAAATCGTTATCGATAATTTGAGCGCCAAAGCGATTGCCTGCTTAAATATTCTAAAAAAAGGTGGTTATTAAATTTAAATAAATAACGTTTTTACTAATTTTTTTTAGAACCCGCAGGCTTAAAGTGAAGATAGCTAGATGTGCACGATTTTAAAGGAGTATAGTTTTAAAATTATTTGTTCTGATTAGGCCTTTTTTTTGACAGCTATTTTCAATAACAAGAAAATGCAAAAATACTCAAATTTAAGTGTAGGTATTTAAAATTATTTTTATTGTACAGCTTATAACGCGATTAACCACTGAAGGCTCTTACAAATTTCTTATCAATATCACCGTGCAAAAAAATATGATAACGACTATCTTCAAATTTCATTCACCAAAAATCGGCCTCAATGGCAAAACCTTCCACTTGGTCAGCCTTGTTTCGGTCAAGATCTGGCATATTCCCAGTCCCGCGGAAATAGCTCCCAAGTAAAGGGACGAATGCTTCATTCCCCAGAGGTAACCCTTTGGCAAAATGCAGATGGTGTGAAGCAGGTCGACCGAGAAGCGAGCAAGGGACAAAACATCCTGGTGACTTAGTTTAAGGAAAGTCCTTGATGTCCTCACGACGTGTAGGTAAACAGAGAGCATGCAGAGTAAGGAGTTCACATAGCGCCAGGAGTCCTGTTTTCTGACATCTGAAACCTTGTGCTTGGCCAGCCAGAATATTGTGTCGACGGGATAGAAAAGCAGATCCACCGCATTGGACATCACCGCCAATACAGCCGTAATGCGATCCGGCTCACAGTCGTCCAGTCCGCAGTCCAGAGTGTAATGGAGCACGGGTGGCTCACCAGAGTCTTCTGAGCAGACATTGAAACATTGGTGGGACAGGTCCGGACGCCGCTTCATTTGGTATCCCGCCACCAATTTGGCACTTTGGCATAACGCCTCCATCAAAACCTCTCGACCTCTGCAGGATTCAATGAGTTCACTGATCTCATTTATAACTTTAGCCATAATTGTATGTTACTGGCTAATGTGAAGTGGTAATCTACACTGAATTGGATCAACGAAAACGGAATGTATGGCCCGACTCTCGTCCGATGTCGATAACAACACTTTGATTGATACATATGTACATATATTCGTGTTTGCAAAAGCTATCCTATTTTCGCAGCGATGACTGTAGAAAGAGCTTTTGCGCCGGAAAGCTGGCGCTTGAAGTCAGCTACCGAACAGCTGATTTTGATAAGCACCGCCTTCGCCCACGCCGCATGTTTTCATTCTGCTTTGCTTTCGCTTTGGCGCTTCGGCTCAGTTCAAATTTAGCGATGCGCGCGTGCGGTTGCTGAGCTCTCGAAACATAACGGTAAACGGTCCTCGAAACGGTTTTTTCCCACATCTGTCTTATCGAATCGCCGACTTTTTGGGCCCAGGGAACGCAGTTCCTCGTATTCTCGTATTCTCGCATTCTGACAAAGGTGTGCAACCTTTTTGGGAGGCGGCGAAAACTTTTGTCCGCGAAAACTTTTCCACTTGTTTGCCCATGCGGTGCGCTCGTGTGTGTTTGCCAACTAATCCAAACATGTGAGGCTACAAACAAATCATCTTTAACACTATATTCCTATTCCACAAGGAGCGCTCCCCAAGTGATCTGATCGCCCGCACAGAAAAAGTTTTCCCTTGACCAGTTCTAATGGTAAATGCAACGATAAAGTTGTTTTCCGAAATTCGGCGAAAAGTTGCCAGCCAACTAACTGTCCTCATAAAATATGCTAAGACATTTACATCGCCCGGCCCAATTCTTTAAGCCCGCCGGCACCCGTTGGCCATCAAAGTGTTAAAGTGCTATAAAAAAAAGGTACAAAAACATATTCCCTCGGCGGCCATTGAATAATGCATTCAATTACGAATGTCGCCAAAATAAAAAACAAAAAACAAGCAACAAATTATGCGCACGTGAGGTGTGTGGGTACAAATGTTATTATTTATACACGCTGTTGTTCATTTGGCCAAATGCTTGTTTTCGGACCGACTATTAATATTTAAAAGGTACTCTTAATTAAAGGATTGTTTAGCAGGTAATGCTAGGCTGGCAATTAAACATTGCAGTGGCCCATTTGAATTAAGTTAGCTATTACAGCCTATGACTTAAAAAAAAACTTTTAAATAGAAATGTGAACATGTTTCTTATAAACATAATAATAAACTTTTGAAGATTGCTTAAAGAGATTATGTAGAAACAATAACCATTAAGTTTTTAAAATAAATAGTTATTATGAGTATGGAGTTTCACAATTATAACAAGTGGCCAACAGTAAAATAACATTAACTATATTTCCTTAATAGTACATACCCACCATTAAGAGTATTTTTAAGGGAAAATACCTTTCCGCGAATTTGGATTGAATAAACCATTTAAATACAATTAGCAGCTTATTCGAGATTATTCAAAGCTTCAAAAGGTGCCACAGTAAATCGCATTTAAATTGAAAGTCAGCGGGACCCAAAATCGTTAGACAGATCAGACCGCCATAAGCATTAAATATTAATAAAACGATTTAGCAAACTTTTTATTTCTTTTTGAGTTTTTTTTTTGGAAAGTCCCATTTGCACCCCCTCAACGGTTTTACCTTGTTTTTTTTTTTTGTTTTGGTGCAATTCATGAAATGTTAATTTTAATTAAGCGACGCTGCGCAGCTGAGAAAAGAAGTTAAAAAATAAAAACCGGGATTAAAGGAACGTGGAAAAGTGGCAGGAAAAGTTGGAGCGTGGGGGAGGGAGGGAGGGTTGATAGGGGGGAGGTACAATGATAAAACACAACCAGAAAATAAAACAATAAGTCAGCAGTTGATGATGAGCAGGTGTGTGGCGTTGTAAGGGACAGGAAATGCGGATTTCCTTCGCTTCTAAAAAAGCGGGTCAAGTTTTTGTTATAAAATATTCCAAGTGTCACAAAAAAATAAACCAACGAAAATAATAATAACGAGTGGATGTGCAAAAGGGGGACGTGGAACGCGGATGCGTCTTGTTTAGCAGCTCCGGGGTCCTTTGGTTAATACTTGTGCAACAGCAACAGCGACAACAACTACAATAAAGCCAAAAGAAAAGCTACAACAAGTAAAAAAAAAACAACAAAGACAACTTGCGACGACTTCTTGCAGGACATTGTATAGGCCAAAGAATAATAAAGACCTGGAAAAACAAAGACGCCAAGAAAATCCCCTCACATTGTTGATAATGAAAGAGCGGAAAATACACCTGCAAAATAAGTGTATTACTTTTTAATATCCTACATGCATGTATGTCAAACAGAGTTTGAACGCTCAACAATTGTTTAATGGTCATTTAGGCCAAGTGACTAAGATACTTCAAATAATATTTCTGTCTAAAATCAAATGCTAATCTACTTTTTTTGTAGTAGCCCTTTTTCTTAACCCTTTTTGAGGTAGTTATTCTGCAAGTGTAGAAGGGAAAGGTTGGCGCCAACTGACCGGGACACGCGAGAGCGAAAGGCTTAGGAGCACAGGTCTGGGCAATTATTGTTGATGAATACACCCACAGAGACCAATAGGAAATAGGGCTAGCACCCACATACACGCCACCCCCCTCCCACCGCCCATCTAACAAGCCCTTTTCGGCACGCAAAGTGTAGCTTTTCTTTTTGGAAGAAAATGGAAAGCGGCCCTCCATCCTGTGCATGGAAAGCAATAATTTGTTATCTGTCCGCTCGGAGGATCCTCTCACTTTCGAGCCTTTCCAGTCTATAAATCACAAAAAACCGAAAAATATCCATCTATGCGTGGGCTAGCAAATCGTTTTGTGTGCGGGCAAAAAGATAATTAAGACATTATGGCATATCTTATCAGCCACATATAACAATGAAACGAATGCTCAATACGCTGGCATTTCATAAATTATGATTAGGAATTTAATGGGTTTCGCACGGCGCAGGAAGCAGCTCCATTTAGCAGCGCCAAACAAATTACCAACCAGATAGGAGGAAATCAATATTAAAATACAACAGATTTATTCCTGCACAACGAAACAAAACACGTGTTTGCTTAAAATATTGCAGAAATTCAATTACGGTTGTAAAGGAAGTTATGTTAAGGCGTTCAAACACTGAAAGCAATTGCATGTATTTGGCAGCTAAGAACACGGAGAATGGAAATTTAAAACCCATAACCTTGCAAATTTATTTCCAGATAAATAAACGGCAGAGCTAAATTATTTTGTTAAGCCACCTGAATATAACCTGTTTGGCAAATAATCCTTGAAGATGCTTGAATGCCCATTAATTTTTCACTGAAACTTTAATGCCAGCACAGAGAAAGCACTATAAATCTAATTGAAAAACTAATTGGCCAGATGCTGCTTGCAAATATGTTAATTCCGCCAGCGCTAATTTGCTGTAACTAATTAAAAAACACTTTAAGTGAAATACTTCCCAGTCGCATAAATATGCCAAATTGTGAGGTAGATCCCTTCCGGAGTAAATCTAATTAATGTGCGAGACAAACGGGCGGGAAATTTGTTTAGCGCGTTCGGGGAAAGCAAAGGACACCTGCCCACTGCCCCACTGCCCCCTGCCCCCTGCCCACCCACTACTTCATTTTCATCCTAGCGGCAATAATTGCGTACATTTTTCAGAAACAGACAACAACAAGTGGAGCACTCCAAGTGCCTTCAAGTGCCGGCAATCTGTGTCCTGTGTGTGTTTTGGCTGTCTGAGCGGCAATTTGATTCGGCTGCCCGGATTTCTGTAGCATCAGCATCTATATCTATACTCGTATATGGATAAATTCTACCATGCTGCATTCTGTATAGGCCAGCTTTGTACCTTTCTCACTCATATGTCTAACTGTCTGTTTGGTTATCTGTTTGTTTGTTTGTATGCTTGCTTGTTGGTCCTTGGCGCTTGTTTGCGTGTGCTGTTTGAATTGAATTTGTTGCCTTTGACGTGAATTAGATTGCTGACAGACTGGATTAATGGGCCAAGCTGAAAAGATTTCGAAAATGCCAGATAGAATTGGTCAAATGAAAAATGGCTAACAGAAATTGTTTTTAAGTCATTTTTTAAGTAATAACTTGGACGTGTTTCTTGCGCGCTCTTCCAGCTCATCTTAAAATAGTAGTAAGAAATGCTTTAATAAAGAAAAGCGCTTAAAAGTATTAAACAGCAAAATGTATAGTATACTTTTAAGCACCTTCAGCGACATGATGATATGACTCTGCCATATTCAAGCACAGTTAAACGAATGCTAGGTACTTCTTTATCGATTTCCTTAACTTCCGTTTTTTGTGCATATTTCCAGAACCATGTCCGAATTGGGATCGATACACCTGCACGCACCTGTCGCGAGGCCGTTGTAATGCTAATAAATTCTCGGGTGCCATTGGTTTAATTAAAGAACCGTCAGAGCCGGACTCCGTGGAGGGCACTCGACCAGCCTGAAGAGGTGGACGGGCCGAAGGTAGGGGCATTGTTCGACCAGAAGGACACTCGCCAATCTGTGGACGCGCCTACGCTCGCCGCGGCCCAATCGGGCCACTGGCGGCTATCTGCTGACGGGCACAAGTGCGCCGCGTGACGATGAGTTCGTCGCAGGACGGAGGCATCTCCTGGATCAGGGCAAGGATAAGGATAAGGTGCAAGAGCAGCAGCAGCAGATGGGGCGGCGGGGATACGCGCCTGCCGATGAGTGTTTAATTAATGTGACGGACTTTAGTGATATTCAAATAAGTGAGGGGACTGGCGAGGCAGTGGCCAAGACCATCACCGAGCTGCGAGTGCCCACCATAACGACCACAAACAGCAGCACCATTCACAGCAACAGCAACAGCAGCAACATCAACAGCAACAGCAACAGCAACATCAACAGCAACAGCAACATCAACGGCAACAATAGCAACATGTCGCGCCTTATACAACCACGATATCGTTTTCGAGATCTATTACTGGGCGATTTCTCCTTCAACGATGACGGCGAAAGGTGAGTGAAAATGTCCATTACTTTGACATTGCGCATACGCCCCATTGGCGGTGCAGCAGTTAGCGTATCACCATTTGCTTACTGCTTCCCAAAATAGATACTTAATTACTCTCGCCAACTGCAATTGGCAAAATGATTTTCTCCCACCGCTACTTGCGATCGATTAATCGATTTTTACTTAAGGCGGGGATAACGCCAATGTCCTGTCTTATGAATTATTCAAGCGAAGGTTTAAAGCTCGTTACGTCATTCGAAGTCCAAGATAAAATGACGAGGAAATCGAAGGGGTGGAAAAATTAGTTGGGAGTTTTGTGTATGGTGGCGTTTCTTGTAGCTATAAAAAATTGTAATGTAATTTTCTTTTGCAACGAAGTGCCAAAAAATGGTATTCAGATTGAAAACTTCTAGGAACTGCAAGAAAAATTCGTTTAATTCAATATGAAAAGCAAACACACGCAGCATGGCCATTTTTGTAACCGGTTCCCATTCCCCCGATGCAATTGTTTTAAAAAGTCGAACATTTCGCATGAAAACCTGTCTAAAAAGGAGAACCCCAAAACCAATCAATATCTGCAGCTCTTGCCATTCTGTTTGAGTGCCAATTCAGTGCCACGAAATTACAAAAACCTAAAGTGGATTCACAGCAGAGAAGGGGTCGCGAATAATTTGATTTAGCTATTGTGTGCTTCAACCATAAAAACTGAAAACCATATCGGTATTCTACACATTCAGCGCTATAACAAAATGACTGCGATAATCGTTATGGGTTTTTAATATATTTTATTTCGGTCGAGCAGCTTTCAGTGAATGCTCAGTTAATTTAGTTATAATCCAATGATTGACCACAGTATATGTATCACATTTTTTGTGACTCTTTGCGTGATTACAATGGGATCAAAGGCGAAAGTAAGGTGTTTACTATTGGATATTTAATGTAGTGTACAATATTATTGTTTTTAGGAGCACAAAACAAAAGCCCTGAGCTTGGGCTTGGAACTAAAATACAATAGAACAAATGTGGAATACTTTGGCTTTGTTCCAGGACAAACCCAGATGTTGATGGTAAACTCGACCAAGGTGTTTAAAAACGTGTTTTTGGACAATCGAATTGAGAACGCAGACTCAAACCGAACTATTTATAATATCAAAAACTTAGCCATCTGTAGCTTTTTAAACAATCGCTTGATGTCCAAAGTTTACTCGGTGATCTATGAAGGATTTGTAGGTAACTCCACGGTTTTCAGATGCCCAGTCCAGCCAGGTGTTTACTACCTAAGCAATAGTGTCAGAGAAGTCGAAGTGCCCATGTTTCATCCACCTGGAATGTTTCGATTGACCGTCAGACTAAATGCTGAAAAGGATGGCAATATGCTCACAGTGCTCATGTGGCGATATCGTGTTAGGCGTATATGAATTTCCTTTGGCTTAATATATAATATATATCACAAGCATTTTGGAAAAATTACTCCCCTCATGTTTCCCCTTTATTAAACGTGTAGATGACACAATTATAAGCTCATTTATATTCTGAAGACCAGACTAATGAGGATTTTGGCTGGTTTGTTCAGTGTGAAAATGAAGTTCAGCTTCGGTGGATGTTTGTGGACCTTTCTATGGATCGGTGCAGTCGTTTTAGGTGTGCATAAGGAGGTAATATCGATTTCAGTAACCAAATGAACACTGATTTTGTTCACATACCACAGCAACCGCCAGTTTTCAAAAGAGGAGGCTCCAAGTTTATTATGGAATCCTTGGTGACCAGTTGTGATCACAAGATTGTGGAGTATTTTCATAAAGTGCCCGACACGGTGGATATTTACAGCTTTCATGTAGTTAAACTGGCTAAATCCTTCACCATCGATTTTGCTGTAAGGGTGGTGAAGACAAAGAGGTTAATGTACAAAGTCGATAACTTTGATGGCTGCCAGTTCCTGACGAATCCCCTGATGAATCGCGTTTTCGGTACTGTATACCAACGTCTGATCGTCAATGGCAGTTTCTTTAGTTGCCCGATTAAGCCAGGTGTATATTACATCAGGAACGAGGGTTCCGTGGATATGTTGCCGGTTTTCCAGCCGCCAGGAAGATACCAAATCACAATGCGCGTCAAGATGCACGAAAGTAGGGAACCCTTTGTGATGGAAATGCTGTGGGTATACAGTGTAGTTCGAATTAAATAAAATCGGGCTTTCAGTGAAATAAAGACTGCAGCTTTCAAAGATTATTATACCTTTACTTTTTAAAAAAAGCTCTTTTTTTTTTATTAATATAAAGTGTTTATAACCGTAACTGGTTTTTTCCGCTTTTGTTATTAAGTTATTAAGGCGATTAATAGCTCATCAGTTGAGTATCATGGCTGGGAATAAAGGTCATATTTTTTATCTTTGCCTAATTGCCTTAGTGTTTTTCGTAGAGGAACATGGATAATCTCATCTCTTTTACTATCTGAAAACCGACTGCATTTTGTCCATGATACCAAGCGTCCATCCAATTGCTCGATTGATAGAAAGTCGTACACCATTTGTTTTAGAAATGCTACTAAAATAACAAAATTGTGCGCATCAAAGAAATTAATTGACAGCTGTGTCTATCTATTGTATTATTTATTTATAATTTCTTTGAAAAATGTGTTGCATCGTAGAGTCCCTAGAGACAATTTGCAACCTCGATTATTTGAAAAATTTTAATTCCTTTTTAACTTTGGGGCTCTATACACTCACTATTCGGCTGGTGAAATTGGGACCTGTCTTCAGCAGTGATTATCCACTTAAAGTGATAAAAAACACAAAGAATATTTTCATGAAGGAAAACATTAGGGGTTGTTGGACAACCCTCTACTTTTCAAAGTATTACTCCAAATTTACAAGCAGCTGGTGGTCAATGGCAAATGAGGGTACAGTGTCAATTATTTCCAGAATCCATCCACCTGGACGCTTTCCACTAACGACGCGGTGAAAAATGCAAAAAGGCCCTTTGTGCAAGTATAAAATTGTACGCACCAAGTAAAGGCATTTGCTTTTTTAGCTGTGTGAGCACTTTACAACTTTGCGTAGTTTGTGGTCATTAAGGAGAAACTTACTAATTTGTGGGGTAAGTCGCGGCAGTTCCTGGTCATTGCCTGTATCGTCATTCACTACTTCATGGAAATTCTGATTGACAATCAGTTGGGGGTATAGAAATTCTACTTCCTCGCCTTAAAAGATGTTTTATTTAACTTTAATATGTCAAACGCTCTCGTTAAATTTCTTAAATCGCAGCATTCGTAATTGGTATTAAGTAAACGTTATTAAGTAATTTTCCACCTGAACGATTGGATTGTGGCCAATTAATATACCATCACTCGAATTGTTGTGAAACAAATAAAAACATTTATTCAGGTGCTCCATACGGTTAAGTGGCCTTTTCCTCTTGCCGTTCTGGCTGCAAAAAAAGAGGTATTCCCGATTGCCGAACAACAAAATATTTTTTAAATCGATATACCCAAATGTCCTTCAAAAGGAAAATTGGCAACAGCTTTGAACAAGTATTTTATATTTCCCAACCAAAGGCTCCCAACCAAACGGGTAAAAGTGTCCAATAGTTCTCATAGTAAATATGTCTGACAGTTTTATATTAATTAAACCAATCAAGCTTATCTTTAATCATGAACTGGATTTGTGGGCAATTAACTGCTCATCAGTCGAATTGCGCTCCGGAAATAAAAGCAGTTGGTCAGTAGGTACATGATGGCTTTCATTGGAAGTTTCATTCTTTTCTTCCGCCTGCTTATCATACTTCCGGTATTAGCAATAAATGAGGTATGTGCAATTTGAAAGCATCTTGTATACTGAAATTGAGTGTCCAAAATTATCTTAGCCAATGGTCTTCCAAAAGGGCAACATAGAGTTCATCATGGAATCTCTGGAGACGAAGTGTGACCACGATTACGTTGAGTATTTCCGCAAAGTTCCAAATACGAAACTGCTTTATACCTTTCGAGTGGTCAAACTGGCAACCGCTTTCACCATCGATATTACAGTGAAAGTGGTTAAAACACAGAGGGTTTTCTACAAAATGGAGAACATAAAGGGCTGTGAATTTCTAAGGAATCCGCTGCTGTTCAAAATGTTTGGCGAGGTCTACAACCAGCTTGTGGTCAATGGCAGTTACTTTAAGTGCCCCATCAAGCCGAAGGTGTACTACCTGAAAAATGAGGGTGCGGTGTCAATAATTCCCAGCATCCATCCACCTGGACGGTTTCAGCTGTCGATGCGTGTGAGAATGGCGGAAAGTCGAGCGCCGTTCGTTATGGAAATGTTGTGGAAGTATAAAATTGTGCGTATCAAATAAAAACATTTGCAATTCGGGTGGTGTGCTGCCAGCAAATTGCTTGAGTTGCATATACGCCGTGTTGTTAGCAGTCATTACTTCATAAGTTCCGCACACAAGTACCCTACGCCACACAAGTTGCTCATACGCAGCGTAGTCCGCACTCGTTGCTCATACGCAACGTTGTTTCCACTCACTCCCAGAGGTGCCATAATGTGTGGGTGGGTGTGACGCCAGTGTGCGTTTTGGCACTCGCAAAATCATAATTCGCCGGCAATGCCTTCTTTGCATTTAATGTAGCGTAAACATTTTAATTTTTTATAAGCCTGGCCGCCTCAGCCATTGCCAATTTCGCACGGCTCTTCCCTGCTCAGCTGACTGCGACGTGCGCAAGTGGCCGTGGCTGTTGCCTTTATAATGCCACGTAGTCCCAACCACTTGGCCCGGCCCATAGCACATAGCACATGGCCCATGGCCTCGGGCCTCGGGCCCAGAACTCGTGACGGGGCTGTTCACTGTGTCACGGATGCCTGCACGTCCTGCCTGGCCAGGATTCCCTACCTGAAATCGGTTATAAACGGCTTAGTAGGCTCCGGCGCTTGTTGAATGGTTCCCCAATGCTTCAAGGTTAATACTTATGGCTTTGGTTCTGTGCCGCAAAATCCACAGACGGGCTGGCATATGTGCAAATTTATTTACTCACTCTACGCACGACTCGACGAGGGATTCAATTTCGCATTTTATTAAGTTTTAATAACTTAACCAGGACTGCGACACTTAAGGCTCGAGGTTATACTACTAAAATGGGCATATAACTCAGTACGAACTCCAATGCCTATTAAATTAAGGAAGAGCATTGCAATCTGCAGGGCTATTTTATATTTATGTTTCCAGGAAGCTTAGAATATTACAGAAATTCAGTTAACAAGTTAAACATACTCCCATATAATTTATTAAGATTAATTACGAAGAATTTGCAACAATCGCTTTTTAAGTAATGTGTATTTTTTTCCAGATAACCAAATATATCTGAGTCTGCGGTTAGAGCATTTCGTGTCCATTATTCTTAAAGGACTTTCGGAATTGACTTAAAGGCTTAGTGACAGTGTAAAACCTTTTCGTAAAAACCCTTTCACTTTTATGTGAAATATTTAATATGTAAGCGGAAATTACGCTCTTGTTTTGTGAGCGTTGACGACAGCATTGCAAGATCATGATTTATGGCTGCTTAAATACAACACTTTTACGGCCTAATCCGTCCTTCAAGGCGGGGACCAAGCCCATAATATTTAATTGCCCCTCCAAATGGCTGTTGAATTTGTGATTTTAATGGCCGCACGTTCGAGCCAAGAAACCTGGCAATTTGTTGGTCCTCGTTAACAGATGAAATAGTCCGCATTCCAGGACAAATATAACATTTCCGAACAGCTAATAAAGGTCAGGGGTCGCGTCACTTAAAGGTACGGTATACAATCCACTTTGGCTTCATTAGCAAACAAATTCCCGACCAACATTCTCGGGTTGTGCGCACTTGAAATGATTTGGAAAATGTGTGCACAATTTTTCATTGCGTAACATGAGTAAAATGTTCAATTAAGCCGACGGCGGGCTTTGTTTACCTTTTCCGAAAAAGGGTTTTTGCCCAAAGACTTCCTCATTATACATAAGTGCCCAAGGAAAATATGAAAGCAACAGCGGGTAATGCCCTCTCAACAAGTTTGCCCAGGAAAATACGAGAAAATCTGCGAAAATGCCTTTCCAGGCTGAGTAATGGCACATTACTCGTTTTCGCACGTTTAAACACAATTTTCCCGCGAGCTGATAGGTGGCCCTTTCTTCACTTGGTTTGTCCGCAGCGAAAGTGCAGTTTTGGCCTTCGTAAAATACCTCAGCGTATCCATTAGCGCTGATTATGCTGTTTAGCAGAGAATATGGAAATTTTTGAGGGCCTGTTTGTGAAATACAACTTCTGACATTTTCCATTTGCATTCGTACATCTTTCGGACACATCCCTCACGTGAGCCACCGACACACTTGTGTGGTTTACCATAATAACTTATGTAAATCGCTTCCTCCTCTGTTCGTTTTTCCAGTTTCCACTAACC